GAGTGATGTCATAGTTGCCCACTTGCTCATTAGTCTAGGACGTGCAGCAGTTGAAGCATGTCAACTTGGTGGGATGTGCTTCCTGTTAATCCAATCATTACTGGTACATACACATTGATCTTAGGTCGGTTATAAGAGGTTGTTGAATGTTGCACTTGTGTTCTGAAATAATACACTGACTGCTGAATAGTTTGATGGATTGTTACTGTGGGAATTAGTCTCAAATTGATTGTTTTTCACACACATAGTCTGAGTTGATGTGTGGGTGGCAGAGACTATGATACAAGTCTCTTTGGTTGCAGGCATCTTGGGCCTGTGCTTTTCAATCTCTGCTGCCTCTGGAACCCTGATTTCTTCTGCTCAGTGGTCTCTATATGTCCCCTTGAGAAACTGAAACTAGTACATGTGTAATATATATTTTGTTTCTGCTCCCAGCTGCTTGGGGTACTCTTTGAGTATCCTTTCCGATGATTGTCCTTCAGCTTGGTTCAGGAAAAATGAGTGCGAGGGAGCTGCCAATCGAAGATTGGCAGTGGATGAGCACTCTGGTTCTGGTAGGATGTTACCTGGAGTCTGCAGGTATTATTGACTGTCTCTTCCACTGGGGACAAATGACCTGTGTGACAGAGCTGCCAATCTTTGATTGGCAGCAGAGGAGCACTCTGATCTATGTTACTTGTGTCTAGTAGTGCAGCTGCTACTATCCCCTGGGCTGGGTACAAATACAGTTTTGTAGCCACCAATACCAACCAACTTTTAATCTGTCAGAGTGGCAGGGACTTTTATGGTATAATGATGGCAGGGCCACAGGAGGACAAAGTATGAATGAAGGGGACATTGCACATACAGATCTAAGGGCTTTTGATATGTGCATAAGAAAGAGTACTGTATACATCAATTGGAACATTTATACACCCAATGCTATCACTTATCAGACACAACTCAGGACTCGTGTCCTGCCATGCATAGCAATGGCCCTCTACTGACAGGTTGTATCGGTGATATGTAGGACGAGTTTGCAGTCCGGAGGCATCGAGCATCAGTGTTGTGGCAGTGCCCAGCTATAGGTTAGTTGTAGAGTCAACCAGGTCGATAGGATGGTGTATGTCTGAAATCACCTCTAGGTAAGGCAGTGGAGCATGGCGAGGTTTGGGATGTTACACTTCGATCTATCACTTCCGAGTCCATGATCTCAAACCGCCCCGCGGTTGCTAAACAGATCCAGAGTTGTAGGTCGCCACACAGTGGCACACACTAGACCCAGGCAAAGGGCATGCTGTAAAGACCTCCACCATGAAGCCGTGAAATGTGTCCACTGACATATCTCTTTCTGTTCGCACTGATGTCCGGTTTCCTGTTCGACGTACGACCCGGACGCCAAGAGATCGACGGCCTGGTACAAGCCTGGTGCTCAGAATAACCACTGTAATAAATTAGAGCGTATAGAGTACGTAGCTAGGATCAAAGCAAAACGACAAAGCATCGTAATATCTGTAGAAACTACACACCGCTGCGAGATTTCTTCGACCTCCGCTCGTCCCCGACGCCCTGCTTTGTAAGCTCACTGATACTGCGCTTAGAGGCCGCTCTGGAAGCGCGCGGCATGACCCAGGGGTCGGGCGTATAGCCGTCCTCCACCTGTACTTCTAGCTCTTTGTCATTTGCAGGCCATCCCGGTCTCTTCAGTTGGTCAGTGAAGAGCTTGATTGCACGCGAATGGCTCTGCACACATCCAGCAGCTTCTTCATATACCTCTCGCACCTTTTTTGCGTCAATTGCAACATCTGAGGTTTTTTTCGTCGGTAGATACTTCTTGCTGGGTTTGCGAAAGTCGTCGTCGGGGTCGAGGACATCAGCTGCCTTTTCGGAGGGGAGCGCAGATTCCTCCGGGACCTGCGGACGGTCTTCATGAAGAAGAATATAATAGGCTCTGAACCATGTGAAGAGACTCTTGACAATGTGCTCAAGGTGTGCGCACTTGAACTTGAACTTGAGTCCACCGGTAATAAACGAATAGGTCTTGTGGATACCGCCGAGCATTTCGCCATCATCGGGCTCTACTTCGTCGAAGAACGTGTTCATGAACGACGCCACGGAGGAGCAGCCCTCACGAGGCAACCAGCTTAGGGACTGGTAGAGAAGAACGTGAAGGAAGGATTCAATATCGTCATGCACCTCGTGGATCTTCGACGGGTGGCGAAGGAGCCGTGCAGACATGAACTGCCATGTACCCTAAAACAAAAATACGCAATTAACGCGGACTGTGCGAAGGAATATCTAGGGGCGATACGTACGGTACGATCCGATTGCCTTGCTTCCTTGACATTTACGTCCTTGGCAAGATCCCAATCGTTGAGGAGACCACTTGTGTGAACCTTCCCGTCCTTCGTGGTTCGCAGAATCAAAATATTGCCAACGCTCACATCTCTATGGAGAATGTGCGCTTCTTCATAAGCCTCGGCGTGCGCTAAGCAGCAAACATGAACCCTGAGTATTTTCCCGCTGCAGAATCGACCGACGTACCATAGATGCACTCGTAGATCACTTTGACTAGTTCCCGCGAATTGGTGAAATCATCAAGATGACACCCAATTTCCTTCACGACGAGACGATAATGGACGTAGGACTTCATTTTGTTCACGGCGAGTGCTCGGTCCTTCCAATAATTCGGAGAAACGGTGACCTGACCTGCTACGTCCCCGTGGTAGAGCAAGGTAGGAACGGATTCGATCCCTGCCTTATTCAGCCTCTCTATCGTATCCCCTTCCTTCGCCAACGTCTTGACTCGCCAGCAGTCCTTCAGAAACACCAGTCTGCGGTCCGAAAGGTCCCAAGCAATGTAGCCCCGTGTCGCCCGGCCCGTCAAGCCAGTGGTGGGCGCGTGCGGCTTGCCCACCAAGAAATAGCGAGGCTCCGTGTCAGGGTCCTGGCATGCTGACCTTCGGCTGCCAGACCCGTGCGCTTCGGTGGAGGTAGTTTTGGGGACATCGATACGCAATTTGTACCAAGGCCACTCGCGGTCGCAGGATCTCTTGAAGTAATCCAGCTTGTATTGCTCCTCGCCGGACGCGCGGCAGGCTGCAAGCATAGTCTTGTAGAGGCGGGTACCTTCCTTTATCTCTGTCGCCGTCACGTCGTATCCTTGATGCTCCGGGGTAGCTTTCGTGAACCGCCAGAGAAACTCTGAGAGATGTCGGGGTTCGTCAACGTAGGGGATCCTCTCCGTAAATACCGCGCCAGAACGATCCCACCGTACAAGCCTGACGTACTCCCCAAGGATGATGAGCGAAAAGACGTGCGTGCGGTGCTGACGCGCAAATATCTCCGCAGCGTAGTTTATGATTTGACCTCGAACGTCCCTACGAGCAATGCTTTGGGGCTCGGGGGGGCGATCGATGTTGTCCTCAAAGGGGTCGCATAATGTCGTATTGGCCTGCGTTTTGAACTCGGCAAAGAGTGCCACTCTGTTCCATCGCTGACCCTCCTTCGAAGGATCGGGCGCATGCTCCTTGAGATAAAGACCCATATCCACCAGCTGAAACCCCTTGTCTTTCTCGTCCGTACTATCACGCTTGACAGATGTGTCAACGAGTTCGTACTTGCCGCAGAGTTCATGCGCCTTAGCGCACTCGACCTAGTCGACCGCGGCGACTCAACACACGAGCAACAGAGAACCTGAATGTACTCACAAACTTCAGATACATATCTTTCTCCGTCTGGCATGACCTCATTTCGGTGAAAATCGCTTCGGATCTCGCCAGCTTGGGGGCGACCTTGCGAGTCGGTAAGAATGCATTCAGGAATTCCTTAGGATCCATCGGCCCGGCAAATTTGTCGGTCATTGCAAAAGCCTCCTGCTTGCGCTTTGTCTGGGCGTCAGGTACTGTAACGGAAAATTTACGGTGGTTGGAGGGTCCGCATTTGTGCGGTGACGAGGCTGCTTTAGAAGTCGACATGATGGCGGGAAAGACTGAGCTCACCTGGGAACGTTGGTCACCTTATATATGTTCGGAATGTGGCTTGAAGGGTATTCCCGCTTATCAATCAACCGATGTAGAAGCGCCTTTGTTCTGCCACGTTTCTCCTCGTGAGGATGAGCCACTGACCGTGGACGTGTGATATGTCCCTGCAACTGCTTCCTGGCAATTTGTCAGAAGATTATCTGTCACCCATATTCAAAGTACTAACGAAGCAAATCGATGGGACCAGAGGTACTAGGATTGTCACTTGGCTGGTTACGAATCTGGCGGTCAGGTAGGGAAGACGCGAGCGTGACTTGTCGCGTCGGTATCTGTCACTCTGTCACGTGTGGGTCCCTCCATCACTATGGCTGTGATTGGCCACGTCGGCTAAGTCACTAAGTTGGCAGAGTCGTCAATGGACTCTTAGCCCAAGTCCCGCATTGTCTGTGGTTCCTTCGCATACAGCGGTCTAAGCGGTCCCGTATCGACACGCAAATGTACTCTACTCCACTGTATCCTATGCGCTTCAGGATCTATGTCGACAGCTTGATGAACTGACGACGCCGCCTGGGTCAGGAGCAGCGACAACCCGTATCTGAAGCGCAAGTGATGCACCATCGAGTAAGGGTTGTGGCCGACCCTGCCAAGGTGAGCACCCGCCCGTCGCAGTGCCTGTATCACACACATAACCAACCCTCTGATTAGGACGAACCACCGCCAATCGTGATATACTCGAGCAGCATGGACCTGTGCTCGTGCGACATCGACGACCTGAGGCAGGTCTATCTTCTCAAAGGCGGTCCGACGATGCGATACCAGGACCTATATGACGCAATACTGAAGCGCCAAGCTGAGGGTGACCGGACAGGGAGTATCATCCTGCCGACGCCCCGGGTATCTTTATCCTCGCCATCCAAGAGTCCGGTTGACGGCTTCGTCTGCAGGCTGCAGCCCGATCCTACGCTAGGAAAAGCGCATACGGTGGGGACATACGAGATAATCGTGCAGTGCCTCGAGGCGGAGAGGCGTTTGATCTTCCGCCTGGACGAGATAACCTTCTTTCCCTGCCCGAATTCGGTTGTCCTGAAAGCTGGTGTGTCTGCCGCCGCGACCGACCGAGCGGAAGGAGTATTGAAGATGACCCGCATCTGGGAGGGAAAGGACGGCCAAGAACTATTCGAGGGATTCTTCTCATTTGGCGAGACGCGGAAGTGGGCGGAGATGACGAAGAGTGGGGACCCGCGAACTTCGCAGAAGTCGGTGAAAACGAGACCAATTGGTACAGGGTGGCATTCTGGGCTATCAGGTCGAGGAACGGTCAGAGTGCAAAAGGAAGCGGTCGCCTTCAGCGAGTCACTCTAAGGTGCAAGCACGCTCTGTAGATATAAAGCGGACATAGCCGGATATAATTGAACGGTGTAAATTATGATACCTGTAAACGATCACTATTCACTTCGAACCCAACCCGATCTCGCTCTCCTTCGTCCGCCCAAAATGCACCTCTGAAAGCCTTACCTCTCCCATGTCCTTTCCTCCGGTACAGGCTGATGTGCTTCACAGCTAACGAGGAGCACGGCTCCTGGCTATCGTCGCCGATCCAAGCGCGCTCCACCTTGAACGTGCCCTGGGCAGAGCTAATGCTGCAGTCACCTTCCGGATCCGCGGGGGCCATTGAGAAACTGCAATTCTCCCTACAAAATTAGGGACGCGGGTCACTATAAATGGAAGGTTGAGACACTGTGCGGTAGCCCCGCAGCGGCGCGAGGGACTTCGTTGGATTGAACCTCGAGCGCACATCATTGGATCTGAAATGACCCGTCACACTAACCCGCTTCTTCATGTGGAGATCCAGTACGTGTGTCGCTAGATCCAGGGCGACCGATCGTGAAACTGTCATGCCGTCGGTGTCTGACATGACCGGAAAAAATGAATGCTGACGCGCTGACGTCCATGCTTTAGCACTTACCACAGTTGCGAGATGTTGTATGTGCTAACAATAGATCATTTGGAATGTCTACATGGTTACTTTCCAGCACCGCGGAAGTTCTTTAAACGAGGTAGCAAATTCTAGCCTTCCCTCCATCGCGCCTGATTAGCAGCATCCATATCGTTTTTCCCATGTTCCTCTCGAAACCACCTGCACATCGCACCAGGCATCCACTGCACTATTGCGAACCAGGTTTCGTTGAGTGAGACAGAAATGTTGGAATGTCGCACCAGTGCCGAGAAGATAAAGACAGAGGACCCTGGAGAGTGCCCAAGTGCAGTAATTGCACACCAGACAAAGGGCGCGTTCAAATGGTCCGTGTGGATAAACGCTCGAACGCGAGGCCCTAAGTTAAAACAACAGCACGAGAACACGGACCGCCGCCGGAAGCGCTCCAGCTTTGAGAACTTTGAACAGATACCATCAAGCACCGTGGAATAGTAAGCATGGAGCCTAGGGGCTGCCAAATTGAATGCTTCTGGAGGGACAAGTGAGTAACTGCCCTACCTAGCTTCGCAATCTGCCACCCACGGTCGGTGAATCCTAGCAGCAGCTGGATATACGGGTTGGAGAATAATTCATGCAAAACTGCCACGTTGTGCTTCGATTTGATGCTTATATTCCCTTGTTCTTAGCCGTTGTATAAGGGTGAGAGACGAGTGGCACAGGCTTACCTTCCGGCCACCTCCATGGGATATCCCAAGCCACGCTGCAGGAAATCCCCGCGGCGATGGTTTTCCGGAGTCGGCGTGAAGTGATATGGAGCTTGGGCGATGGCAAGGGCGGCGGTGACCGCGTGGGGGCCCTCCAGCCAGCTCCCCTTCTGCGAAAGGCTTCCTGCCAATACCGCAACCACGAGCGAGTCACCATCGGTCCCCAGAGCATTGGGGGTCATATCACTATCCCCAAAGGTGATCACTACAAAATAAGGGCTGAACGCAGATGACAACTTACCGCCCATCTCACTCCACTCGTTGAAACCCCTCTATCTCCGCACTTTCCAGCGTTATCTCCTTCCGCTCCAGAGCACTCACCGGAAGACGGCGTGCTTGGTATCCAGACGTGCTACCATGCATCTGCTCAAGTGTGTCCGGCACCTCTACCTCGAACTGTGCAGCATGGCGCCGCTTACGAGCAACACGCTTCTGAGACGTGCCCACCCGTGCCAGCTCGTCCTCCCTTCGTGCCCTCCTCTTTGCCCGATATTTATTCTTGGAAGCAGCGCGCTCGCGAGCGCTCGCCTTCTATGCAGGGTACTGGCTCAGGGATGGGGCATGGAGCTGGGCTGTCGAGTGGAATAGCGGAGTATGGCGACTCATCCACGAGCTCGACGTCGTGCTCGTCAGGAGGGGCTGTATCCGCTGCCAGCTCTCGCTCTAAGGCCAGGCGGTCGGCCTTGCGCAGTGCGTCCTGGATGTCGAAGGGGGTGTCGATTGCTATCGCCTTGCGGGAGTGAGGCGAAAACTCCGCGCCGGAGCGCGTGCATCGAAATGCGCGGAGTACGCCTTCTGAAAGGCGCAGGAGGTCAGTAGGGGCTTTCGCTAGGGCCCGCAAAACGCGAGGTTGTGCAATGCAAATAGGGCCTTCGGCGAAACCAGGTCCGCCAGGATCGTGGTCCCAGAAACTACCTCCGGCCTACGTACGCGCTGTATGGCCTCGCGCTTCGGGGAGGGGAGGGGTATGACTCACCGAACATCTGGCGCCTACGCAGTGGCTTACCACTCGGGCAAAGCTTCACCGCCGTGTAGGCTTCAGGCCAGAGGCAGGGTTACGAGGGGCGGGAGGAGAGGAGAGGGCAAGAGAGGCCTGTGGAATGCATGGCCTGCGCGGCTCGTTTTATGCTGCAAAAGCTGTGATACCCCGGTAACTGAGATCCAGAGAACGCTGCCAGCGATGGCGCTCGCGTGGTTGAGTAGCGGGAGCGCGTTGTGTACGTATGGATACGCGTTCCTGACATAACGCGCTGCATAACCCTAACCTAGATGTTACTGGCATTCGCCGACCGGACGTCAACTAGTTTTGCCAGCGCTTACTATGGATCTTGTCAGCATACGCCCGCGCCCATAGCGCACGTTCGGGCATCTTGATCTTGGAGCGTTGGAGGCCGATTCGAGAGCCCTTACGCTGTGTCGACAGCAGGTGATACAGCTCGTGTTCGCTTAAGGTACGTATGGGTGCTATCCGTTGTAGGTCGATAGGGGTATATGACGCAGAGAAGTGACATTTCACGCGAACTGGAGACAAGCCTCTCCCTCTTCCTCCCTTCAGGGCTCATGAACCAGGTCTCCTCGCCCCCCACATCGACGCCGTCCCTATGTCTAGAATCGCCGGCCCCGATCCGGCCTCTGGCTACCAGGGCACTAGCTCGTATTCGAGTCGCCATTTGCAAGCATCTTGGCCGTATACCCCTTCCCTCAAACGTCACTTCCGCCCCAATCTCCTTTATCACGGTGAGGATGGGCTGCGAGTTTACCCCTCGCCGTGAACATCTCTCCATACTCCCGCTCCCCCACGTACCTCTAAATCGAAGACGCTTATCACTGACAAACCCGCCGCGCGTATTGACAACTCCGGAGCCCCAGCATCGGCTTGGCGACTGCTTGAGCGACGGGCGTTGAGCCGGAGAAGGAGCGGCGGAGAGGGACTGCCCGAGAGTGGTACGCTACTGCGCTCGTTGAGAAGCCCGGAGAGGGGAAGCTTCGCCATCATATGGGGCATCTATGCCGCGAAGTCGCGAGTGAAGAGCTTCGAGCGGTTTCACATTTCGTCAAAGCGCGAGCAAATTTTCCAGCTGTCCAAGAGTTCGCGCTGAGTATGCACTACATCCATTCTCAACGTCTCGCGAGTCCGTCCTCCCACTGTGTTCTGTTGCCGCACAACTCGGCGCGCGCTGCCCGAAGTTCATATACCGGACCTATATGTTCTTCTACGCGGGGTGCCATTGACAAACAAAACATCCTGCTCGACAATTTTGGCAAGTCGCTCGAACGACTGGGCATGGTCGGTGCGGAAAAGCGCGAGTGGGTCATGATGGCTGTAGTGAATATCGGAAGCAACCTGGAGCGTGGCTTCCCTAGTGGCGTCCTGAAGACCGGCGTCTTCGGTGCCAGTGCCGCCTCGACTTCTTCGGCAACCGCGAAGGTGAAGCTCGCAAAGAAGCAAGATGATGGCGATAGCAAGAGGATGGACGTTGATGAAGATGAAGATGCTGACGGCAATAAGAACATGAAGCTCGAGTGTGGGGGCTTCGCCCGCCCTGTCAGAAGCGGCGGCACTCTAACTGATGTTTTCGATGCTCTCGCACGCACTTAGGAAGCCCACGCGCAAGAAGTCGGTCTTACCAAAGCCCACTCTGAACCCGTATATCACAATCACCCTCACTTTCCTTGCTACCCTCTTGAGACATGAAACTATGCGACTTCGTCTGGAGCGGGCACTGCCACGGGAAGATCTGGCGACGTTCTACTCCCGGCCTGTACTAACCAGCATCATGACTCATGAAGAAAATTTGCGCTGGGCGATGCTGACTAGCAGCTGCCACCCCTTGCCGGAGGGCTGGAGCATTCGTGGTATGGCTGAAGGTTTTCGAGCGCCGATTCTGGAAGGTTCCCGAGAGCGACGCGAAGCATGTTGAGCTTGAAGTCTTCAAGAGACGCGACGTGCAAGACGCCGACATCGACGAGATCACGAAGAGGAGGACGATGATGGTACAGGGCACAAGAAGTCTGGCTCTGAGTCATGGCGGCGATGGGTGCGGGCTGCCACTAGACCACCGTGCACCTCATGCTGAGCGGTTGACGCTATCACCTGTCGCCACCCTCATGTTGTGGTTCCAGTGCACTAGGTACCATCTTTTTCATCTCCCTGATCCTGAGTCATTCCAGGACAAAGGGCATAGCAAGATGGTACTGATCCACATGCCCGCGTCAAAAGAAGTCCTGATCAATGATTCATCCTCGTTGCGCTGATGGAACACCTAAAATGGTGAAGCGCGGTCGAGGTGGCCACAGAAAGAGTTAACAGAGAGAAAGAGTCTACATTTGGATAGTACGCCTAAACAGGCCACATTGATAGAGCACGTCCACACTGCGCATCCACTGTCCTCTTGAAGATCGAGAACAATGACCTGTAGAAATAACAGATGATACGTGTGCCCGCGTTGGGATTCGTGCGACTTCGTGTGGCTGGCACATTGCCGAGACCATTGGCCACGTGACCGCGCGCGACCCGTGACGGTCACAGTCGTGCTTCTTTCATCTCGTGGCTACAACACCAAGTCCGTCACCGCGAGCAGTTCCACGGTATACGCTGCTTAGGTATGTACTGCTTTCTCCATTTGTAGCTGTAGACCTAGATAGAGTTTTCAATGGCCGATTGCGTTCTCATCTTTAGGGCAAATTAATTCAGGCGTGGTTCATACGCGAAGAACAAAGCACGCCTGGCCTATCAACGGGTGGATTCGCGGAACCACCCGTGTGGCCACAATCGTCGATCTATAAGAGGGCTCGTCATCGTTCTGATCAGTAAGTTCCCTCTCTTCCCCATGTCGTCCAACCATTTTCATGGCTTTGGTTCATCACCAGTCAAGAAAAACGCTGCAGGATCGCATAACTTCTCAGCTGAGAAGCCTAACGCAGCAACTCTCAAACAGGACCTAGTCGACGAGATGTACGGCAAATTCATGGGCCCTCAGCCGATTGACGACTTTCTGGCGAACTTCGTGCCCGTCAATAAGGCTTGTGACCCCGAACAATTCAGTAAAGTGTTCGACAAGATGGCCAAACCTGTGAGTAAGAAGAACAACAATGATCGTTTGCAAAACGACGAAGACAACCATGGTGCGCAAGATGGAGCGGGAACGGAGCATGCGCAGGACAGAGCCACGGAGCATGCGCAGGGACAGGAAACGGAGGAGTCTCTAAAGGAAGAAGAGATGTACAACAAGTTTGTACGTGGCACGTCGTAGTTTCTCCCTTCTCGTACTGACGTTGGTGCCACATCCGCAGATTGCTTGTGTCGCGAAAGGGTTATGTCCCGGCTATACCTTTGTCGCCACACCCAATACGTTCGATGCAACGGAGAAGAAGATAATCGGGGGCCAGAAAGTCGATATGGCCTTGTACCGCAACGAGGACCAGCCTAAGGCTGTCAAAGGCAAACCGCTTCGACCTCGATGGGATCGTATGGCGCTTTACATTGAGTTCAAGAGTTACGGGAATTCTGTCAAGTCCGATCCGTTCGATGATTGTCGCGCACGCCCGAATGAAAGCCCCTCTGCGCAACGGAAACGCGCAAGGGGACAATTAATCGCTTATGCCGCTGCGATGTTCGCCCGTCAGCAGCGCACTCATGGGTTCTCGATTATTATCCTTGGGGAATACGCTCGGATTATACGATGGGACCGCGCGGGCGCTGTATTCACCGAAAGGCTCAACTACGTTGCGCGTCCCGAGAAACTCGCCATGTTTCTTTGGCACTTCGCTCACCTGGACCGTCGGCAGCAAGGTTACGACGACACTGCAGAGTTGATTGAGGAGGACTCGCGTCTGCACAACATGATGATGATGAAGATCGCAGACGGGAGCAAGATGAGTGCAAAAGACAAAGACCTCCCGGAAGCCTACGTACTTGACTATTTCAAGGACTCATGCGACCCGGATTGGCCCAAGTGGAGGTTGCAAGTAGATGGTCCTGTATCTCCTGGTGACTCCGCCGCGTCAGCTTCGGGGGTCGCTTTGAGCCCGGCAAAACCCCGTTACTTCCTCGTCGGCAGACCTCATTTCGCTGTGCCTGGGATGACAGGCCGCGCCACCCGCGGCTACGTCGCTCTGGACGAAGAGAGCAATCAGCTCGTATACCTTAAAGACTGCTGGCGTGTGGACCTCCCGGACATGACGAGAGAAGGCGACGTCATACAACTTATGAACAACGAAGGGGTGAAATATGTCCCGACGTTGGTCTGTCACGGCGACATAGAGGGGCAATGTACATCGACTCAACAGTACTGGTCTAAGCCCAACCCATTCCGGCGGCATCAGCATTATCGACTAGTGGTGCAGGAGGTTGGCTGTCCTCTCTCAGACTTCAAGCACTCTGAGGAATTGGTTAAAGTTATTACAGAGTGTATAGCAGGTACGTTATCTTGTTGCGGCTCCGATTGACACCTCATTCCGTTTCGCAGGACATGCCGACGCCTTTGTAAAGGCGAAAATCCTTCATAGAGACATCAGCGCTGGAAACATCCTAATCCTCCGAAAGATGGTGGACAAAAAGGGCCAGACATCTGTTGTGACACGAGGTCTCTTGAATGATTGGGATTTGTCGAAAAGCGTGGCCGACAATAATGTCGGACCGAGGCAGCCTGATCGTACGGTATGTCTCATTGTTATCAGGCTTCTCTCTTCTTTTGCTCACACCCGCATACGTTCCCCCAGGGCACCTGGCAATTCATGTCAGGGCACCTCCTGCAGAAACCTTGGAAGTTGCATGAGCTCCAGGATGACCTCGAATCCTTCATGCACGTCCTTATCTACGAGGCCATACGCTATCTGCCTCATAATTGCACGGATGTTGGGGGATTCGTCAAAAATTTCTTTGACATCGCGACCAAATCCGGAAACGTCATCACTGGCGGGATCGGGAAGATCGCAGCCATACGAGGCCGAACACTTGTTACGCCTTTGGGGAACGACCTCAAGTTTTCCGAGCCGCTTCAGAGTCTTATTGACGAGCTCATGTCGTGGTTCCAGGCCTACTATCACATGCACAAAATTTTGACTCCAGAGCAGCCTGAGGAACGTCCCAGCAATGAGCTGGCCTATGTTGATAGAGAGAAGGATCTCGATATACCGCAGGCTCATCTTCCTGAGAAATCCGTCGACGAAACTGACCCATCGCCATCGGAGGAGGAACTGGACAAAGTGAGATATGAAGCGCTGGCGAAAAAGCTAGACACCCACAGTGCCATGGTGCACCTCTTCACGTCCTACTATTATCGAAAGTGGCCTGAAGATGACAAGCAACCGGACCAGCTACCAGAACGCTACAATTCCGACCAGCAGCCCCCCGATGCCTCCCCTACGACGTCCAAGCGAACTGCCAGCCAATATGAAGAGGGCGCAACTTCTGAGGGCGGCAGCGGACGGCGCTCCAAAGTGGCGAGGAGCGGGACGCGTACCAGTGTCTCTCGCCGCTAATGGATGATGTCGTGTGGTGAATGCCACCCGATTTCTTTCTGTCGTTCTTGGTTCTCTGCTACCACGCAATGCTTTCTCTGCTCTGGTATGGGTCGTCGGAATTAGGTAGCTTCAGCCATTGTATCCTTTTCCATGGTACTTCAAGGCAACGATCTGATTACCTTTACAGAGCATTCTCATTTCCATGTAGAGTATCCGATATCTATACTTTATTGCTCAACATGCGTGTGTCGCCAGCTCAAGGGGGACAACGGCCATGTCGTCGGTGTCTGATACCACCGCAAGAAAAATGCGTATCATTACTTGAGATGTGATGGCATAAAATACCTTGGACAACTTGGAAGACAATCCCACGCGTGCCGCTCTAATCCTGCGTGTGCACCAATCCCACTTCTTTCAGACCTTTTACCGCTCTCCAGTTTCCCCCCGACGGAAGACTTCGTAACTCTTTCTCGTTCTCACAGACCTGCTCGGAAGACGGTCTTACGTCGTTGAGATATGGCTTTTCGCTTCAATGTTCTACGTCGTCGCTAAGCGAGGCTGCGACTTTCAAGATCAGTCATGCCTGATAGTATACACAGCACACTCTCAAAACACTACGGAGTCTCTTCATCAGCAAATTGAAGCTCGTGGGGCGTCAACGAAAACCGCAGAAGTCATTGCGATACAGAAAGGTGAAGCGTCAAAACTTGAACGTGAACATCATAAAAAGCGTCAAGTACGTTTCGTAAGTCATGTCATCCTAGGCGCGTCCGGCTAATCAGCCTGGTACATCGCAGGCCCAGCGATGAAGTGCGGGTCCAGGTAGGACATGTTCGCTGGGGTGATATACGGGTTACTGTCCGTAATCAAAATGAACCTAGAAGCAAACACATCAGCATCCCCTTCGCCCTCTCGAATGCGCAACAACATACTGAGTCCCATTGACGACGTTCGCCGTACCGGGGCGATAAATCGTCCCATTCGGCTGGATCGTGTACGCCCAGTTGCGGGAGATATTGTACAGCTCCGTGTACGTCACGTTCAGCTGCGCGATCCACGCCGCGCACTTCGGCGCGCCTGCAAGCGTGCGGGTGGTGTACGAGTTGTTAGGGCCGACGGACTTGCCGGGCGAGTCCCAGGTGAAGTGAACCTCGTACCCCGGCTCTGTGAACGAAGAGGCATTCGAGGAGATGACGAGGAGCGTGTCGCGCGCAAGGATAGCTTCAGTCGGGTCATTCTATGGCGAGCTATCAGAGTCAAAGTAATGAACACAGAGAGAAAACGTACGGTGATGTTCAACGCCGGGAAGTTCGTCCAGTTGAGGTGCGGGTTGCCCGCGGGGCAGCTCACAATGTGCGGCGCGAGCAGCGTCCACTGCATACTCTGTGTAATACCCGTGCTGAACCACTCCGGGTACGGGAGAGGCCCTCGAACTGGCGGAACAACATCTGCTGGCGCGCCTCCTGCGTGATCCACTGGATAAGCAGGTTCGCGGACGCGCGGTTGTGCAGGTGCTCGAGGAAGCCGTAGACGCCCGCCTCGCCCCACCGCGCGAGGTGAGCGTCGCCATCTCAAGGCAGTTGATGTGACGATAGCACTTACACGAAGCCCAGCCATGCGATGGCAGCTGCCAGCGCGTCCGTCGCGGCCACGCCGATGAGGTTGATCAGAGGGAGGACGCAGGCGGTGCTGGCGGCCAGGATGATGCTCCGGAATGCGCTGCGGGTTATACGCGACTGGATCAGCATGTTTGCACTGCATGCGGGTAGGGGTAAGTCCTGACGTACCCGCTGGTTGCGATGACCTCCGCGCTCTGTCTGTGCACGTAATACGCGTTCGACGGGCTCAGCACGTTATCGATCTGTCGTGTGTTCGTGCGTCAGACGTCACGGGAAACCGGATGGCAAATGCAGACGTACCCCGATGCCGTTGACAAACAGGCAGATCAAGTTCAGGACGATGCCCGGCGTCCCATCAAAGAATTGCGTTAAAAGCCCGCTCAGGAGTATCGACACGGGTACGAGACCAGCGCTCCCCAATAGGTCGCACGCAGCCGGTCTTCAGGGACCCATTCGCCCCTGCGCTTCGTCTGCCATCGCGCCACCACTCTATCGGATATGTTTCTCCCGAGAGGCGCCCCAACTACGGAGAGTTGCTCAGGCAGCAGACGGGAGGATGGTACGAATGACGACTTAGTGACGTTGCCCAATCCTGCGGGTATGAAGAATGCGCCGATCAATGCCTCATTTTTGAATTTGTATGGGACTCCCTGAATCCAAGTCAGTGCGATTGATACACGTAAGTACGGAATATCTGACTCAGGACGGTATGAGCTAATGGAGTCATAAGCACTGCAGCAGGTCAGTCAGCATGCGGGGGAGGAGTAATGAAAGGGCTACTCGACGCACCGAAGTCCGTCATCAACACGAAGGTGCCTGCCAAAGTCTATGATACGTCAACTGAAGATGTTTCCAGTGACCCATTTTGCAGTACTCACAACTTCCAAGACGTTCGGACTTTTCAGTGGCCACAGGCTTTGAAACGGGTTTAGCCAGACCCACACCCAGCTGTCCAGCTGCTTGCCCTTCTCCCGGAGGTACCGCGACAGGCCTTGCGAGTCGGGCTGCACGGTTTCTGGCAATAACAAAAGCACCGATAGCCACGCGCTCACTCCTGCGAGAAAGAGCGCGAGCTGCATAACTCGCCACGAGGCGTAGTGCGCCGCTAGGGCCCCGGCAAGCGGGACGAGCGCAGGTTAAAGCAGGCATGCCGACAGTAAACGGATTGTATCAGCTTGAGGCGTTTGGGAGGTCAAAGGACATCAGCAACTCACTGCAAAAAATACGCCCATGGCAGTTCCCTCCCCTTCTCTTCCAGGCGATAGATGTCACCTATTACGGCAGAAACCATGGACATTCCGCTGAATGCTCCGAATGCTTGGACGATACGCCATGTCATTACCTCGGTGACATCACGTGCTGAAGCCACGCCCAGAGATCCGATACAGAGCAAGGGGTATCAGAACAGGTATATTGGTCTGCGACCGTCTGAATAAGACATGCATAAGCGAGGTCCCAGAGAAAAGTTGGGATACACATACAGAAGCTACAATATCTCTCCCATAGGAGGTTTGCTAGCGCTGTCGTCAATGTAGATAGACTCCACTGGGCCGGGTATGGACCTTTCTCCTTCGCATAAGTCAGCTGAAGAGAAGCGCAAGCCTGAGTCGACGCGTGGCTGCGTGACTCGGAGGGCGAGTAACCGGATGCTGGGTGTTCATCATGATCCTCGGCGTTTGACGTGACTATCTTGCTCGAGCGAGTTCGTCGAACTCCTTCTGAGTCCAATCTTACTTGCATAACCAATGGCGACAGGACCCCTGAAAATACCGATGGAGGTTAGATACCAATTCCGTAAAAAAGTGAGGTCTGGAGGCCGTATGTTAGATACGGTTGCGGTAAAATGTGGCGAAGCGCCCAAGAGGCCGGATACTTTAGTCCCGGTAGAATTGAGGCTCAATATCCAAGGTCAGATACCATTGTGGTATATACCCGGCTTCTCCCGGCACTCAATCACTGGCTTGTGCAGCCACAATTTGCCCCAATAAATATTTGAGCTGAGATTGCACTGTTCTGGCAACATTGGGCCTATATATGGCATATTGTAGCGGATAATGCCTTATTTTGATCAAATTTGGCTAAGAAAAACCCTTGTGACCGGATCAAAATTCAGAGGTTGGATATCTGGGTCCCGGTAAATCTCGAGCCACACAGCTAGGTTGGTATCGCGTCCCGGTAAAAACAGCCAAATTACGCGAAATTCGGTCCCGGTAAAAATGAAGGAAATCAGGTCCTCTGGTATCTAACCTCCATTGGTACTTTCAGGGGTCCTATGGCGACACGAGGTGGACCCACACGTGACGTGGCATAAAGACGACGCGCGCTGGTCATACATGTACCTACTACACGCGTCCTACTCGCCACCGTGATTGCCACAGCCTTTTCCGAATCCTATGATATTCTCGACCGGGGTGTACTACTGTGAAAGGAACACTGCTGACGGGACTTAAATCCGTGATAGTTGTTCAGGAGGGTATAGCACAAGTCGAGCATTCGTGATACGTCTTCGTGACCGAAACGTAGCAGAACAAAGGCGCGTCTGCACTGATTGATCGATAAGCGGGATTACTCGCAGGACCACATTCTTAAGATATATAACGAGAAGACTTTTGCCGTGTGAGCTTAACTCTTTCCTCCTACCATGTCCTCGTCTCTAACGGGTTCGTCATTTCGCAAGAACGCGCCCGCTGGCTTCCAGCCGTATTCGGCCACTGTACCCGACGCCAAGTACAAGAAGCAGCAAAACGTTCTAGAAATGACGAACAAATTTGCAGGCCCCATGCCTGCTGACGAGTTCCTGAAAAAGTTCCTGCCCGTGGCTTGCGAGGATAGACCAGACTGTCGCGGAGTATTCAAGCACATGAAGAAGTGCGCTAGTGAGAAAGCGATGTATGATGTCTTTGTGAGCCAATACTTGTCAATGGTTGCTCTTGCGGTCTCTCGTGCCTTGACTCCTCACTCTCAACTAGATCAACTGCGTTGAGGCGGTGGGTCTTGGCAAAAAGGACAAAAAGACCAAGGAGTCGGAATACGTATTTGTTAATACTGCCACCAAGAAGGACCCAGGAGATGCTCAGGATAGGGGCTACCAGATGATGGACATGGGTCTCTACCACAAGGATCACGTACCCCCCAGGCCAAAGGACGTAACACCGAATCCACGTTGGGACCGGGTCGCACTCTTCGCCGAATTCAAGACGGAGGCGAATACGGTCAAGTCGGATCCCTTTGAGGACGATGACGAGCTGCCTGACGGTGCCGACTCTGATGAGCGAAGGAACGTTCGCGGCCAGATCATAGGATATGCAGCGGAGATATTTGCACACCAACACCGGACGCATCTCTTCTCACTCGTCGTTCTCGGTCACTATGCCCGGTTCGTTCGTTGGGACCGCTCTGGCGCGGTGTTCTCTAAGAAGATCAACTACGCTGATAACCCCAGTCTGCTCTCTGATTTCATCTGGAGGTTCGTCAATGCTAGTCCCAAGGAGCAGGGATATGACGAGACCGCCGAGGAGATTGTAAAGGACTCCCCTGAATACGAGACTATTGCCACCGCCCTGAAGCAGACTCAAGATATGCAGCAATACCAGTTGAATTACATCAACAAGTCCTTCGACCCGTCGTGGCCATGGTATAAACTACGCGTCGACGTCACAGTCGATGCCCCTCCCTCTGACAGCGCTCCTGCATCCTCGACAAGAGAGATCCCAACCACTCAGCCTCGCTATTTCCTAATGGGCAAGCCGCATACCCCCACTTCTGGCCTCACAGGCCGGGCCACTCGTGGCTACATTGCCTGGGACGTCTCGGGTCGTCGGTTCGTGTTTCTGAAAGATTGCTGGCGAGTAGACTCTCCGAATCTGCTGAAGGAGGGCGATGTGTTGCGTCGGTTGAACAAGGCCAGCGTTCATTTCGTGCCCACATTGGTTTGCGACGGGGATGTTGCAGGTCAGACTACATCGTCACCGGATCATTGGTGCGATCGGGATGGCGCATTTAACGCCATGAAGCGGCACGTGCATTACCGTCTGGTGGTGAAGGAAATTGGACAAAAGCTAGAGGAGTTCACTGATTCGAGGGAACTGGTCGAGGTGATATATGAATGCATCTGTGGTACGTGTATTTCCCGATGATCTGGAATCTCTCGAGGCTTATACTTCTCATTAGCGCATGCCGAGGCCTTTGACGAGGCGCGCATTCTTCATAGAGACGTTAGCGCCGGGAATATTCTAATCTTGCGAACGCGAAACGCGGATGGCGAGATTGAGACAAGTGGGCTGCTGAACGACTGGGATCTTTCAAAGAGTATAGATATTCAGGGAGCCAGACAAGTTGACCGGACCGTGCGCATCTGATTCCTTCGTTACATTTCCGAAACCCCGAACTAACCGCGTCCGCGGGGCTCAGGGTACATGGCAATTTATGTCCGGACTACTCCTGGACGACCCCTCCAAGACCCATGAACTGCAGGACGATGTCGAGTCTTTCTTGCACGTCTTGATCTTCGAGGCGGTCCGCTATTTGCCTTGCCAAGGTTGTACTTCCGCGGGAGATTTCAGCAGCAAGTTCTTCGACTACGTGGAGAGCAAGAACGGCGATATTTGTGGCGGTGTCCACAAGATAAAGAGCTTTATGGACGGTGGACTCGAGTTCCAATTCATGTGCCCCGGCCTTGAGGCCATCGTCAGGACACTCTTCGAATGGTTTCAAGGACGTTATCACCTCGTCGCCAGCCGCAGGATCTCGTTGCGCGCTGGGATTTCTCACGTCACAGATGTGCAGAGGCCACGCAAGAAGCTCTATCAGCCTAAAGAGAAGTATCTCACAAGCGGCGAATTGGACCACCTTAACGAGCAGAAGATGCGAGAGGAATACCAGAAAATGGCTGCGCATTTGCAGGGTCATAGCCACATGATCAGGTTGTTTACTGACCTGTTAAAAAAGCCGATGTGGCCTGTGAACGACAAAGAAGAACTGAAGGTACCAAAAGGTTATAAGAACGAGCTGTGGCGTGCGGCCTCGCAGACGACATCGAAGCGCAGCATGCGTAATGATGTGGAAAACGGCGATGAGCGGAGGTCGAAGGTGTCTCGTACGAAGGCCTAGTTTGTGACGTCCTAGAGCATGATGTAACGTTCCCGTAGCTGTGCGCAATCAGATGGGACTGTTCTCTGGTCGTATGTCACTGTTAACCTGAGCGTATGTATGCCACGAAGCATGCACACCCAGTTGCGAGATACTGCCAGATGATCAGCATTAGGGGAATGCACAGGGGTATCTCAAAGTCTGGCCGCTGTTCCCCATAATGATGAGGAAAGCAAAGCAAATGCGCTTTGACCGATCTCGCGCGCCACACCCTGGTCGGTGCCCTTTGTGCTCACTTACGCCACACGCCACAAGCCAGCATATAAAGGGCACCGCGACTCGTGTCACTACTTGACCACGACCTCCATCATCTTACACTTTTGCACTCATTCATCTCGATATTATACACGTACGATGCCGAAGGTCACTCGAGTGAGTCGTCATGCTAATCAGTATCCTGATTCCGTTTCGATTCCTTTCTTACGGTGCCAAAAGCCCAGCCCAGCAGGTCCGAACGCCACACACCATTCACATCCATATTACCCGCATCAGGTCCTGTACAATCATGAGTCTTCTCGGGATACCAGACTGCATGGAGCGGGAAATGCGATCCCGAGAGCTGGGCCGTCGATGGGTTTTCACGAGCCTCCTCACGCTACATTCCCTTCAGGAGGACAATATTATCATACCGGTCCTCCTGCAGCCTACGCGCCCGCAACCTGGCTTTCCCATGAGTACCCGACCGCCCAAAGCGTCTGGGCTGCTCAGAGCACTCACGTGCAAGCGGAAGGATATCCACCTTCAGGAATGAGGGCCACAACCGCCACTTGGAATCCTTATGGTTCGTACAATCCATATCAGGCAGCAAGCCAAGGGAGCGCGGCCCAGCCTGGAAATACTGGCAGGCATCCAGAAAGATCCTTCTACGGCGAGAGCAGAATGCAAGCTGTAAACGCTGCCAACGCCACCGGTGGCGAGAGGGTCATAGTGCCCGGTGCTAACACACATCCCGGGAGGACAGTCTTAGGTCATCCTCCTGCAGGAGCTGAGTTAACGCCCACTGTAAATCGGGAGCCAGGCCGCAAGAGAGCCAGATCTCCCGATGATACGGCAAAAGACGCCCACCGACCGCACGCTGCGACCGGTCCAGCCATCGCGCAGACGACCATGCATCCCCAGGGCAAGGGGCGAAAGAGGGCCAAATTCGACAAAGCCAGCGACAGCCGAGATGGACGATCGTTTCAAGGCGTCAGTTCATCCAGACCAACGGCTGCAAGTACTTGCAATTCGCGCACGGGAAGTGGCAAGCGGACTAGGTTGCCTTCCGACGATGCGACGGACGTGACGAAAGCGAGACGTTCCGGGGCCCAATTTGAACATGTCCGAGCTAACCAAGTCAAGGGCTCAACAATTCCAGCCAGAGTAAGTATCTCACAATATCTATGCCAACAACGTGATGAACTGACGACGTCGCCTGGGTCAGGAGCAGCCACCACCCGCATTCGAAGCGCAAACGATGCATCCTCAAACCAGAGTCGTGGCCGACCCTGCCAAGGTGAGCATCCGCCCGTCGCAGTGCCCGTATCGCACATCCAACCAATCCTCTAATTAGGACGAGCCACTACCAATCGAGATGTACTCAGGCACCATGGACCTGTGGTCGTGCGACATCGACGACCTGAGGCGGGTCTACCTTCCCAAAGGCGCTCTGACTATGCGATACCAGGACCTGCACGACGCTATTCGGAAGCGCCAAGCTGAGGGCGACCGGACAGGCAGCATCTTCCTGCCGACACCCCGGGTATCTTCATCCTCGCCGTCCAAGAGTCCAGTTGGCGGCTTCGTCTGCAGGCTGCAGCCCGATCCTGCGCCAGGAAAAGCGCGTACGGCGGGGACATACGAGATAATCGTGCAGTGCCTCGAGGCGGAGAGGCGTTTGATCTTCCGCCCGGACGAGATAACTTTCTTCCCCTGCCCGAATTCGGTCGTCCTAAAGGCCGGTGTGTCCGCCACCGCGACAGACCGAGCGGAAGGAGTACTGAAGATGACTCGCGTCTGGGAAGGAAAGAATGGTCAAGAATTATTCGAGGGATTCTTTTCATTCGGCGAGATGCGGAAGAAGGTGGAGATGGCGAAGAGTGGGGACCTCGAGAGCTTCCCGGAAGTTGGCGAGAACGAGACCAATTGGTACAGGATGGCATTCTGGGCTATCAGGTCGAAAGACGGTCAGAGTGCGAAATGAAGCGGTCAGCTACTCGCCTTCAGCAAGTCACTCTAGGGGTCACAACAGCGGACAAGCACGATCTCTGTAGATATAGAGCGGACATAGCCGGATATAATCAGACGGTGTAAATTACGATACTGTAAAACGAGCTTCGAACCTACCCCATGCACCTTCCCGATCCCTTCATCCCTCAACCCAACCACCCAAAAAGACTCTGTAAGTCTTACCGCTCCCACGTCTTGTTCTCTTTCTTAGTCTGCTGTACTCCCAAATAAATGACAAGAATCCCTTAAACGGCGCCTGACTATCGCCGCCGACCCAAGCGTGCTTCTCGAACGCGCCCTTAGCAGAGCTAATCTCATCGTTCTGCGGGGTGAGGACCTGGTGATGGGGGGAAAGTCCTCGCTTTCGATGAAGTGATAGACGGCTTCTCTTGAGTAGATTCAATTCTGTTTCGTACGGCAGGCCGGCCCGCCATCCGATCGCGGATGGGCCGGCAGTGAAACCAACCTGGTGCTCTTTCATCTCCGGCAGAGTATAGACGCGGCAGGAAGGCTTGAGCGGTGTAATCGGGATTGGCTTGTTACGCGAGGATAGTGTTGTAAAGATCGATGTACATGCCTTCCAAGCCATCTTTCGGCAGGGAAGCCTTGCGCTGGAACGGCAAATTCGCAGAGCAAAAGTCGCAATTACCAGTATAAGCCGTTCCAGATACCTTCTCCGGGTCCGCGATAGGCTGACGGAACGTTAAAGTCGGCCGCTATTCCACCTCTTTCACCGTTGCAACAGCGGTGTCCCCGCGCTTGGACGCCTCATCCGAATCTACTGAGAGGGCGGCTTTATCCGACTTACCGGTCAATTCTGCTGCTTTGCGGCAAGTGAATTTGGCCGGTATAGAAGCGTTCATGCCAGCAGAACGTGGCTTCTTCGCCTACGTCTTCCGTATGTGTCAGGCATCGACACACAAAGAGTCAAGCTCACCTAAAAATCTGCTTTTGGTATGGTGAACGACAATGCGCAACGGTACGAGTGGCTATGAAATGGATGCTGTGCTTGGATCAGAAGAGTGGCGGCGAAGATCGGTGTGGCGACCAATCTAGTGACTTACGCACGTCACGTGAGTGCAATCCGTGTGACAGCCTGTGACTCGCAGCCACAGCGGAATCGACCCTCCGGGGCCTCAGTACGACTGCCACATGCCCTTTGGCATACCTCTCGCACTGCTGATGCTGTAAAGACTCATTCACCTTGATGTCGACTCCAGCACTCCAGATACACGAACCAAACGATCCCAGAGCGGCGAACCGGGCCCGGTTCGAACTCGAACTCGAATTCGTGCAAGCGCTCGCGAATCCGTTCTACTTGCATTCGCTCGGACAGCAGGGGATTTTGGACCAGCCAGCTTTCATAAATTTCCTGGAATATTTGCAATACTGGAAGGACAAGGACTACGCAAGATTCATCCAGTGAGGCTGTTGCCCTTCTGAGAGGTGTTCGTGCACTGTGACATCGCCGGATGCCAGCTACCCGCACGCTCTTCACCACCTCGACCTCCTACAACATGCCCAGTTTCGGGCAGAAATTCGGAAAGACGAGTGGAGAGAATATCTTAACCAGAAGCAGTTTGATCACTGGCGGACTTGGTGAGCGCTCTTGCTAGTAGTCCAACCTAAACGGTTGTCAATCCTTGGAGCAGGCGTGACCCCAAATATCTCAATGCGCCTAAACCTGTGAAAGAAGATCCGGTTAATCCGGATGCCATCGGAAACGAGTCAAGCACCATCTTAAATACATCAGGCCTCTGATAGTTTCCTCTTGTCTAACTTCTGCTTTTCCAGCAAGTGTCTAATGCCAGAAGAAGCTCACTCGGGTGTTTGCAGGAAGTATGACGCTCGTTTTCATGACGAGGGCTATCTCTAAATGCTATTCCTGGCATTCTTCTTTGAATATCTCTGTCTCTCCGTCACGGAAGTTCGCCCTTGTATGCGCCTATTAACATTTACGAAGAATCCACAAGGTTCCACGGCCACTCGGCGTTGCCGTCAGTCCCTGTGTCTGTTGCTTGTGACTCTCTTCAGACATGTCAATTCAACGGTAGGCGCTCGCGGCACTATCTCGCGATGTCGTAGGTGTGAAGCTATGGCAACCCGGCAATTTAAGGAATCCTTAGATTATGAATTCCAAGTCGCAGACCTGTTTTTCGTGATTTCCCAGCGACACTGACTTGATCGTGTTTTTTCTCCTCTCCCCAGGCACTTGACTCTGGCGTTGCGTTGCACGCGCATCCACGCCGCACTTGGGCGTCATTATCTTATGACTAAATGTGTCCCAGCATTTTCTACTATGTAGCGGTGAGTCCGCCGCTCCTGCAAAGTCCGACTGATAGTACGAGTGAATGTGCCGATGTTTCGTAGGATCGTGCCTAGATCTCGGATGCAGATTGACATGCAGAGTCCGATATCTCGCTCGGTGAACCTTCGTCGATTTCTCGTTGCACCCCGACCTTTGACTAAGACAGATACCAATTTCATGTGGGGTGTGTACACTGACGCCCAAGGGTGCTCTCGAATCTTAGACTATCAACCATTCTTTGCGTAGTTGGTTGAGAGGCCAAGAATAGCATAACCTGCAACACGCCGCTATTCCGGAAGCTGTGTGAGGACAGCAGAGGTAAGTCTTCTTCCGTTTGATGAACTTGACCCCCACGGCACGTTATCCTCGATCTCCGGACAATTTCGGGTTAGATTGAACTTTGTGAATCCGGAGCGAAGACGTCTGAAGCCTTCCGACGGGCGCAGTCCGTAAACCAGTTGTACGTGGTTCCTCCCAACCTACATTATTCTCCTTGATTTGAATGCATTCGCGCCTACGGTACCACGATCCACTTCATCGCTTCATATGTGACCGAACTATCGATATCCAAGTCGGAGTGAGTCAAATGTCTCGTCTGGGCTACCCGAATCGCGTCGCGGACGGTCCTAGTCTTTGGGAGCTTCGGGTACGCTCGGCAACTCTACGCGATCGCAGTCCAAGATGTTAAAAGGTCGGAGCAGCAGCATTAGGGATGCCGCCAGTACCTACAAGGTCGGTCACAACACTATTTATCTCGCTCATGTGTGTGCTGGAGGCGAAGGAGTCGAAGTACCCTTGCATACAGTGGTCCGTACGCTCGTTCGCACCTGACTCTCACGGCTGTACTGGGTGCATCCCGACATCAGCGCTCGCATCCCCGCCTCACACCCACACCCCGCACGCCCCGCCCCCGCCCCCCGCGCCTGAGCTAGCATCCGGCACCTTGGCACTGCACCGCAACTGCACCTCGTAAGTATCCCGGCCTCGCACACAAGTCTTGCATCTGGCACCTCCGAGCCCACCGCACCGGCGCCTTGCACCAGAGTCCAGCTGTATTACCGTGGATCCAGGAACAACGAAATGTTTCGGCTCACATACGCTCCCGGGCCTCCCATTCACCCCTCAAGTTCCAGGAGCTATATGGAATGAGCTGAGACGCTGTGTACATATAGTCTACATGTGCGGCGTCCCAGCTTATCCCAGTAGCATTCAAGACTCGATACTGCACTCTCCGAACTTCTCTGAGAGAACTCCACTAGTACAGTTGACATTACTATCGCTATTTTGAACCCATATAACCTCTACAGCGCCTATCCAGCCCAGGCTTAAACTTGAAATGTAACGGCGCCTCCCTACCTCCGACATCAACCCCATTACCTCATCCGGCTGAGAGCGCCCAGCCGCGCGCTATAAGAGGTCTCGAGCTCGTCGCACTCCGTACGCGCCCACTCGCACCTATTTCGACGATGTCGTTCGTGCCGTGGCCGGAGAAGCTAGATTACACAAGGCAGGCAGAAGAGGTCCCGGGCACGAAGAGGGCTGGGCAGACCGCGCATTATCGGAATGGTACGTCGGCATCGACTTTGGACCCTTGGTGCACCGACTGACGAGTGCGCTATAGCCATCTGGGGCCTCGTCGGCCACACGCCCGACTCCATCCAGACCCTCCCGCAGGTCTTTGACATCGGCCTGGCAAAGTCGCGGCACGAGCCCTTCCTTGGGCATCGACCTCTTCTCTCTTCGCCCTCCACCGATACCCCGGTGCACGCGGGCTACTATGTATGGCAGACATACGCTGAGGTCGATCAGAGAAGGAAAGCGATTGGGAGCGCGGTGTGCAAGTTGTTCGAGCGTGGGGGGTGGGAGGGCGTCAGGGATGGAGGGAGGGAGATGCAGACGGTGGGGATCTGGAGCGCGAATCGCCCGGGTGAGTACTAGTGGACCGATAGTCAATGGGGAGGGAAGGAAAGGGGCGTGCTGACGCGGTGTGTTAGAGTGGCAGATCGTTGACTTTGCGCTGCACGCGTACGGCAAGGTCGGCGTGAGCTTGTACGACACGTTGGGGAAGGACTCTGTCGGTGCGTCTTTCCCTCCCATCTTTCCCTCTCCTTCCATTGTCCTAACAGCCCCTTCCCCGCTTCACCCCTCTCTCATAAATTACAAAGAATATATGTAAGCCCACCCCTTCTCCCACCCCTACCCTGCCCTCCCTGACATAACACCCAACCCTAGCATCACCCACGCTGCCATCCCCCTGCTCTTCGCCTCGTCCTCGCACATCTCCGCGCTCCTCAAGCTCGCCCACCAGGGACTCATCCCGTGTCTCAAGACTATCGTCTGCCTCGACAGCCTGCAAAGCGAAGAGGGGCATGTGTTGAGGGAGTGGGCGGGAGACGTTGGCGTGGGGCTTTTGGATTTGGGACAGTGTGAGTGATCTGAATTTGTGCAGGAGGGGATGGGAGAGTGCTGATAAGGGGACGGACGGGAGCAGTGGAGGAAGAGGGACAGAGGGAGGTGAGAGAGCCGATGCGGGTGAGTAAGCATGATGTGGCGTGTATATGTTACACTTCCGTATGTCCCCCTCTCGTCCTTCCCCTTCCTTCCCCGCCTTACCTCACCTCACCTAGGGAACCACGAGTACACCAAAAGGCAAGCACCTCCATTCTACACGCCGTATATGCGCTAAACTCACAATGCGCGGCCGACGACAGGCGTTATCCTCACGCACGGCAACCTCACGAGCGTGACGCAGACGAATCTGTACGGGAACACGTTCCCGGGCGGCAAGGGGCGGCTGTTGAGCTATCTGCCGCTCGCACATATCTACGAGGTGCGTCGATCCGTGCTGTCCTGTTCTACTCACCTGACCCACCCCTCCTTTCCTATCCAACCGAATGTCCTCGTGACCTATAATCTAACCGTGAACACCACAGCGCATCTGCCAGCACTTCGTCGTTGTCTCCGGTGGGTCCATCGGGTTCAGCACCAACAACCCCCTCGCTCTCCTAGCCGACCTGCAGCTGTTCAAGCCGAACTTCTTCCCCACCGTCCCCCGTGTTTTGAATCGGATATACCAAGCCTCGATAGCAGGGGCCGGGGATGGGGTGAGGGGGAGGGTGTTTAGGGAGGCGGTGAGGAGGAAGGTGGGGGTGCTCAGGGAGACGGGCGGGAGTGGGTGGGGGGTGTGGGATGTGGTGGTGTTTCGGAAGGTGAGTGCGGCGGGCGGATGTGGTGTGGAAGACGGAGGACACTGAGGGGGTACGATACAGATACAGGCGATGCTGGGCGGGCGCGTCGCGCTGATCACGTGCGGGAGCGCGCCCATCGCGCCGGAGGTGATGGAGTTCGTGCGGGTCGCGCTGAGCTGCGACGTGATCGAAGGTGCGTTTCGCCCCGCTTTCCCCTTTCTTACTCGCCCTCGTCTCATACACCCCGTCAGGGTGAGTACATATATGCCCTCGTATCCCCTCGCCGCACACTCACCCCGACTCGTCGCCAGCTATGGCATGACGGAGAACTGCGGCACGTGCCTGCGCGTCCTGCCCAACGACCCGCACTCGAGCGGGACGGTCGGCGGGCCGCAGCCGTGCAACGAGGTGAAGCTGATCGACGTCCCCGCGATGGGGTACCACGCGGAGGACCGGAGGGGCGAGATTTGTGTACGGGGGGAGAATTGTTTTGGGAGGTATTTGAAAGGTGAGTTTGAGTTAGTCGTTGGGAGGTGTGGGTGTGGAGATGGAGGCGAAACGGAAACGGAAACAGAAACCGGACAGAGGGACACAAACTGACGAGGAATTGCAGATGACAAGAACACGCGCGAGACGGTGGACGCCGAGGGGTGGGTGCACACGGGGGACGTCGGCGAGATGGACGCGTGCGGGCGGATCCGGATCATCGACCGCGTCAAGGTGCGCTGTTCTCACCCCCCACCATTCTCTCTTCCCAGCCATGCAGTACTGATTTCGATGACATGCAAACCGCGTAACAGAACATAATGAAGCTTGCGCAGGGCGAGTACGTCGCGCTCGAGAAGATCGAGAACCTGTACAGCGCGTCCCCGCTCGCGGCGCAGCTCTTCGTGCACGGCGACGCGCTGCAGTCGTACCTCGTCGGCGTCGTCGTGCCCGAGCCGGTTCACCTCGCTTCTATTGCCTCCAGGATCCTCGGTGCGCAGGTGAAGGCGGAGGATGCGAAGGCGCTGGCGGGGGCGGCGCAGGATGAGAAGGTGCGCGCGGCGATTCTGGGGGAGCTGGATAAGGAGGCGGGGAAGAATGTATTGAAAGGGTGGGTGGCTCGTTTAGGGTGTTGTAAGGTGTGCTGAGCAGGTCTGTAGGTTCGAGAGACTGAAGCGTATCCACGTGTCGCTCGACCCGTTCACAGTCGAGAATGGGTGCTTGACGCCGACGCTGAAGATACGACGGTACGGCCGTCCCTCCTGGCCTTGCATCTTCGTATCAGCTGCTCACCTTGTATCTTACGACCGTTCCAGGAAGGATGCGTATAACAAGCATAAGGTGGAGCTGGACGCTTTGTATGCGCTGGGCGAGCCGACGTCCTCGCAGGCTGCTGCTAAGTTATAGATGTCTGAACGGCATCCTGGTCGTGCGTGATCATGCTATTCTTTCATCGTTCTATTCATGACTTATATGACGAATAAATACAATTCAAAATACACATGCGACCCTCGAAAGTCCGTGGATGTTTTGTTATGCTCCTTAGAGGCCCACGGCGGTCCTCAGCTTGGCGTAGTTAGGCGTGCCGAGGCCGGTAACCTGTGAAGGAGCATACAGTCAGTAGCTTGCGATGTAGAAACAGTGATAGCGACGTACCGGATCCCATCCAGATGCCGTGGGGAAGCCGTTAGTGTTGCAGCCGGGGTTGGAACCTTCAAACGTCCATCAGCACATCACGAAGTAAACCGCCATCGTAGAACCCACCGCTCGTGATGTCCGTGAAAGCAGACGCCGCGCCAGAGTAGAGCAACGGGTTCAAGAATCCCAGCGTGCTCTTCCCCGCCGCGAGCAGCTCGCTGTTCAGCAAGCCCACAATGCTCGCGAAGATGGGGCTCGAGCAGCTCGTGCCCGCGACGTACACCGTGCTCCCGCCCACGACGATCTCGACCTCGTTACCCTGCGCAGCGACGTCGGGGTACGCCCGCCCCGAGGCGTTAAAGTACCCTGCGTTGGTGCTGCCGAGCGTGGAGAGGTAGCTCGAGACGGCGGAAGATTGGTAGTCGGGGACGCCGAAGTAGTTGGAGAAGCCACCTGAGGAGAAGGAGGCGCCGGTCTCGGGCGCGGTGCCCGTCGTCGCGCCGACGGAGGTCAGGCTGGGGGAGGGTGAGAAGGCGTGTGAAAGGAGAGGGGGAGCACTCACTAGGGGCAGCCGGAGGGGAAGGTCGGCACGAATGCGCTGCAGCTCGCGTCGTTGCTGCCGCCGACGCCGCTGTCGCCGGACGCGTACAGGACGGTGACGCCCTGCGCGCCGAGCTGCATGTAGTTGTTGCACAGTTTGCTGGGAGGGATCAACCATGTATCGCCACCTGGCAGCTTATGGCGAATTACTCACTTGGCTTCGGCGATGCCGACTTGGCTCTCAGTCTCGCCTGGACAGTCAGATCAGCTTGCAGTTGAATGTACATATCTGCGGTGTGCATACCATACGATGTGGTGACCACTTGCGGAGGCGACTCCAGGCCGAGCAACCAAGTGGACACGTCGTAGAAGCCGTCGCCCCCGTCGCCGACGGAGACGAAGGTGACAGGGACACCGGTGGCAACGCCGACGGTGTACTGCATGTCTAGGTCCTGTTTGCGAGGTCAGATGAGACTCCTTTGTCGTCTGCGAAAGTACGCACCGCTTCGGTCCCGGCTTGGCTGGGGTCCTGGGGGTTGCTGCCGCCGTCGAGCGTCTCGAGGGAGAACGTGGTGGACGGGTCGATGTCCGTACGGAACTGCTCCAGGAAATCCTGGAGAGCGCTGTGTCATGGGCGTTCCTTCAGATCCCTGTCCGCGCACGTACCTGCAGATCAGCCTCGTTGGCGTACTGGTCGATGAAACCGGTCACCAGGATCTTGCTGTCCTGGTTCGGAGCAGCTGTCGACGGGATTCCGTAGATGCTCTGCAGACAAGCCGGGGTGATCCCGCCGCTGCAAGCGTCATCGGCGGAGGTCGAGACCTCCGGGGCAGGTACGACGTGGACTGGAGCGTAGATGGTGGCCGAGGCCTTGGCTATGCCAAACCTAGGAGAAAGGTACGTCTAACTCAGCAACCGGACAGCCACAAAGGGCGGCGGACGTACGAGACGGTCGGACGGACCAGTTCGATATGCTGCTTCAAAGAAGCAGGGAGGGAGTAGGACAGCGTGCGGATGGCTTTCGTGCCGGTCTCGGTGTGCGTGAAGGTCGTGAAATCGGCGTCGAAGAGCTCGTTCGCCTGGCTGACGGGGATCGAGAAGCTGAGCCAGTCGCCCGCGGGCGTGTCCTTCGTCGCGGTGATGTTGTTCGCTTTGAACCAATCCGTGACCGCGTTCACGGTCTCATCGGTGGGTTTCACGTATTCGTCCACCTAGACGAGAAGCACCTTAAGGTATCTCAGAGAGTAGTGGTGAGGAATGATCATACCTCGGCTTTGGACAGGTGCTGGCCGTATAGGGGACTCTGGGGGGTACTGACGTCGTAAAGTACCTTTTGCAGACCAGAGATGTCTTTGGAGTACAGACCGACGGAGAGTTTCAGCATGGTCTCCGGGGATGCTGGGCCCTCCTTGACGAAGCCGCTGGGAACGCTGTCGCGGCGCTCATGCACTACAAGGTCGCGCGTGACCGGCTTGGCGAGGGTGCCGGTCAGCAGCAGCGCGAAGAAAGCAGCGGAGACGAGCATCCTGCTGGAGGGGGGGGGGGCTTGCACGAGTCTAGCCGGCAAGGAGTCAGAGCGAGATCTGAGGGGTTTTTGTATGGCTTCCGCAGTGCGGCAACACATGGTCGCTGGGAAGCATAGCCGTGCCTTCGTATGTTGGAAACAGGAGAAGCATGTGGTATTCGAGCTTCTTGTGGTCGGAAGACTCGCGCAAGTGATGACGCACAGCGAGAGACCCTCTGTTGAGGTGTTGCGGTCTGTCTGCTGTTTGCATCAATCCAATGCTACTATGACGACCAGAATCTTTGAATATTGTGTGGGCAGGGTATATAATATTCTTCCATCGAGCCTTCAATGAGACTCGATGGGAGCATACGCACACTGCGGACACCGTGTATTCCCCTGAGATAGTGATATGAGAATCACGGCGTCCACAATGTTTGCTAAAGGGTCAATAGCTAGATGTCGAAGCAATTGCCTATATGGCATCGGCAGAAGATGTCGACGAGCAGCGACGAGCGATAAAGCAGATTACTCGTGCGTCACCGACGTTCTCCAGGCATGCGGGCCGTGGCGGTGTTGCTCTGGAGACTCGTAGGCTTGTGTTCCAATTGCCTCCGCTGACGGCAAGACCGCGCTGAAGTGGAGCAAGACGGCGTTGAGTCCTGTCGGTCTTGTGTAAGTACGGCTGACTCACTCTCAGCTATTCCTGTTTGGTGCCATATGGATTGCAGTCCTTGTGCTCAGTGTCGCACAAGAATACCAAACGTCGCGGAGAATCTGCATATGACACCCTAGGCTTGCTATTTGCCTGCTATCGACGTTCGACTTTGGAAGTTGCATCAAGAGCTAGTGAGAACGGCGACGCTGAGACAGGGAGGCGAGTAGCCACATCCCCTTTCTGACGAGGCGGAGCCCAATTGTTTCTGAAGTCTCCTGAACCGCGACTCGAAATCTAGAGCTCGGCGACCTAACCCGAGTCTTTGTATCTCACCGGTACGAAAATGGCTGTGTTACGCCTGCCATGCTTGCAGGTGGGTGAGCCGCTGAGACGGTATGTGCGACGACAGTCTACGATCACCGATGTCGAAACATGAGAATCAAGGGACCCCTGACGCGCCGGCTTAACTCAATGGCAGAAAACTAACCATCCCTAGCGCATCATGAAGGAATTGTCCATCAAAGGAGGTCGCTGAAAGACCACCGCATAAAATACAAAGGTATACTGCAAGTGCTCCAACGTTCACACTTATCCAAGTAAAGATCACAGGCCCGTCCATTCGAATCCCTTCTCAATCCTGAACGACTTTACCAGAGGCAGGGCATCGCTGCTAGGCCCCACCCTAACCGTATACTCGCCCTTGTCGACCACCCACCGATTGATCCTCTCCTCGAAGTACGAGGCGGCATACTTGTCCAGCTGAAGCTGCACAGTTGCACTCTCGCCCGCGCGGATCGGGACTTTGGCGAACGCCTTCAGCATGAGCGGTACCTGTGTAAGCCCCGGGTCCGCTTGGGCAGGCAGCGTGACGTAGAGTTGGACGACCTCCGTTCCCGAAACGTTGCTCTTGTTTGTGACGGTCACTGAAGCCGTTAGCCGTACATCTCCGTTCGCAACGGTCGGCTTCGTGAGAGTTAGGTCGTCGTAGGAGAAGGTGGAGTATGACAAGCCGTGCCTGAGGCGGGTCCAGTCAGTTACCCCATCCCAGCCAAAAATCGACCAGACGTACCCAAAAGCGAATGCAGGTGCAATCTTACGGTGAGCGAAGTGTTTGTAACCCTGTTTTAATGGTTGAGCCAGTTTGAAGCATACACAGGGCGTCCTATGCTTACAACGAACAAGTCTTCCCCGTAACGGACCTAGGCTTCCGTTCAATAGGGCCATCTCCCCACAGATTAAGCACCACATACCTTTCCATGCTCAGACATGAAATGGCCATGCGTGGGCAAGTCCTCAATCCGCTTGGGGAAGGTCAAGGAGAGTTTCCCGGACGGATTCACCTTTCCAAACAGTACGTCGGCAATGGCGTCACCCGTAGCATTCCCTAAGTACCACGCCTGTACAATGGTGCCCACGGAGTCCGCCCACGGGAACAGGACGGAGGATCCCTGAGAATGGGGGGAGGGTCAGCTCGGAGACGCGACCTAATGCAATGACCGAGACGAACCGACTGGTTGACGACAATAGTCTTCGGGTTCGCCTTGTTAACCTTTTCTATCAGCTCGTCCGTCCTCCCCGGCAGCGCCAACGTCGTCCTGTCGTACCCCTCCGTCTCCCAGTCCGCGTTCAGACCGACGACCGCGATGACGACGTCTGCCTCCTTCGCGAGTTGGACGGCCTTCTGCATCTGCTCGTCGGGATCTTCGACCTCCGCGCCGCCGAGGCGCACGCCGGGGTTGGAGTCCATGACCGCCTCGTCTTCGTCGCCGTCGGCCGGCCCGCGGACGTTGCAGAACTCGACGTAGATGTCGTGCGCGACGTTCGCTTTCAGCGGGTAGACGCCGCGCTCTTCCACGGTGCCCACGCCGAAGAAGTACTCCCCGCGCCGTTGGCGAGTCCAGTTGTCGATGACGAGGTTGCCGTCGACGTACAACTACGATGATGCACCCATTTTGAGCATCCGACGGCTGACGAGAGGGGTAGGCTACTCACTTTCGCTCGGCCGGCTACGGTCAAGCCAAATTCGAAGTTGCAATCGTACGGTCTGGGCCGCAGCTTTCCTTTCAAGCGCAGCGTCCATTTCCACGTGATGCCTTTGGGGTACGAGGTGCTGATGAATATCCGCGATTCGTCGATCAGACGTGTCTCGATGGGCTCCTCAATGGGAGTCATGCTATTGTCGTCTTCGTGGGTGTGCCAGTAGCCCATCCAACCCCGCTCGCCGGATTCCGTGAACAGCTCGTAGTCGAGCGACGGCATGGTCATATAGGCTGTTCGGGAGTCAATATAAGTGTATTGTCAGTCTGGCGAAGGAGTGACCTGACGTACTTCGCGCGCCTTCGTTGAAGGTCACCTGCACGTTGTCACCCAAAGCGCTGACGATTCCGTCATACGGTGAAACGAAATATGAAGGCTTCAGTGCAGCTGAACCACCGCCGGACAGCACGAAGGCTTTGGCATTTCCACCTACGATGGCGACCTTCTTCAGCTTGCTTTTGTCCAGAGGAAGAAGCTTCTGTTCATTCTTCAACAGCACGATCGACTCTGCCGCGAGCTTTCTCATGAGCGCCTTGTCGTCCTCGCTCTCCCTCGTATACTCCTGCTTGTCTCCGTCCAGCACCTCCGGCGCCTCCTTAGCGCACCGTTTGACTAGCTCGAGCACTTTGGCCGCACGCTCTTTTACCGTGCGAGCCGTGATCTTGCGGGACTGGATAGACCGGTTCATGAGATCGAGCGTACGCCACTTGTTAGTACCGGGCATTTCGAGGTCGAGCCCAGCATTGATGGCGTGGTCGATACTGTAGATGCCGAACCAATCACTCATGATCATGCCCTCGAAACCCCACTCTCCCCGCAAGATGTCCTTTATCAGGTGGGGGTTCTCAGAGCAGTGCGTGCCGTTGACTCGATTATACCTACAATCTTAGGTTAGGCATATCAGGTTGGCTGATGTGCAACAGGACGCACGCTGTCATGAAGGACCAGGGCTTGGCGTATTTCTGGGCTAGCATGAAAGGCATCAAATAGATTTCGCGCAGAGCACGCTCGGAGAGAATGCTATCATACGCCATGCGGTCGTTCTCCTTGTCGTTACACCTGGAACGAAGGGATTAGTATGCGATTCTTCCGACAAGCGATGGTCCCCTACACAAAATGCTTGATACAGACACCGATACCGCCTTCCTGAACTCCCTTTGTGTATGCCGCAGCAATCATGCCGGACAAGTACGGGTCTTCGGAGAAACTTTCGAAGCTCTGTGAAGTCGGGAGGAGATCAGACCGGATGAAGGACAGTGGCAGGGCGACTCACTCGTCCTCCTAGCGGATTCTAAGAAATTATCAGCGCATCGCACGAAGCGACAGCATGTCAGACTTACCCTCTGAATATTGCATGTCGGAGCTAAGGCTATAGATGCTGCTCGGAGCTTGGCCTCCGCGGCGAGGAGCTTGAGTCCGACTTGCTGGATCAAGCCAGTGTCCCAGGTAGCTCCCAAACCGGTTGCAGACTGACGTGCATTAGCACGACTATCAGCGTTGGATGCCGTACTTTGACTCACGGGTAGACATTTGGCGGGTGTGCCCATGAAGAAATGATTTCCTCGTATACCTGGAAGCAATTAGGCTTTTGTCAAGTACGTATAAATCTACAATCACCATTCGGTCCGTCGCTAACCTATGAGTCTTTCGGTAAATTTTATATTAGAGTGCGGGACAAGGCTGCCTACCTTGATTGCGGGTATCCCAAGCCTCGGAACTTCGTGGGTATGCCAGAACCCAACGCCAGCAGTAAGCAGAATGGCTTCATCCGTCGTTAACTTCTCCACGACCTCTGCAATATCTGCTTTCGCGAAATCCGACGGCGCCATGGTCGTGCTTTACCTGGTTTCTCTTCCCCGGACTCGTGTGTTGTGCCTGTTCCCGCTGTAGGCGATGGAAGCGGGGTAAGATACAGAGGGAGGCGACATTCCAGGCTCTGTTATATGTCTTTCGGAGGGTACATGCCATGCTCGGATGTCGGCTAGCGGGTTCACGTGAAGAACGCGTCTCCGAGGATACTCCGGGGTCGCGTCTCTCGAGTGCGCGCCAATCTAGCGTTGCATCGAGTTCCGACGACTCCCCATGGCCATGTCAAATACATGGCAGAGAACGGCCATGTGATAGCTGTGTCACCTGTTATATTATACAGTGCTGAAGGTTAGTTCCGGGGTTGAGGAGCGAAAACGAGGGAAACGGTGATAATGACAGGATCCTTGACAGTCTATCATCAGTTCAGTCATATACAAGATGCCCTCGATAGTGAAGCGATCAGATGGCCAGTGGTACCGTAGGCGCCGATGCATTAAATATATGTAGGCTGGGAACCACGTACAACGGGTTTGCCGACTGCGCGCGTCGGGAAGCTTCAGACGTCTTTGCTCCGGATTTACAAAGTTCAATCTAACCTGAAATTGTCCGGGGATCAAGGATACCGACCCGTGGAGGCCGAGTTATCTTATTAAACGGGAGAACCTCCGGAAGACTTACCCCTGCTGTCCTCGCGAGGCTTCGGCAACAGCGGTATGGGATACTCGTCCCTTCAGTCAACTACGCACCGAATGGAGGACGGCGTAAGACTTCGATACCCTCGCCCCCCGGGAGTCAGAGTGCACAGACTCGTACATGATATTCTTATTCTTCTTGGTCAAGATCGGGTAGAAAAATCGACGAGGATTCACCGAGATCATCGTCCGCCGCGAGATATCGACTCTGCATGTGTACCTGCTTCCGAGATCTAGGCACGATCCTACGAGACATCGGCGTATTCACTCCTACTATCAGTTGGACCTTTGCAGGAGCGGCGCACTCACTGCGAGTGAAAACGGCACAAGACATGGAGCCCGAGCGCATGCATGAAACCGCGTAACCCAAGGTCGGAGCCAGGCACCTGAGGCGAGGAGAGAGGAGAGGAAAGACGCTCCGGTCAGCGTCGAACCACGCAAAACCGGTCTCTATGCGCTTGAGTTCTTAAAGTAAGAGATCGATAGAACGCAGAGTTGCCAAAGCTTCACGCCTACGACATCGGGAGATAGTGCCGTGAGGCATTTCTTCACTGTATAAGATAGATACGTCTGGGGAGAGTCACGAGCGACACATGCAGGGATCAGATGCCGCGTATTAGCCATGGGACCGCTTGGATTCTTAACAACCGTTAATAGGCACATAATATACCGGCGTATACAAGGGCGGACTTCCGCGATGGAGAGCCAGAGATACTTGTAATGGCTTTCCCCGTCCAATTGGACATTGGCACGAGATCCGTACTTTTCAAAAATAACAGAGTAGCGTGTTCTGGCGTTAGACACTTGCCGGAAAGTACTTAGCAGAAGGGAGGCGAGACCAGCAGAGGCCTGAAGGGTTCAAGATGGTGCTTGACTCGCTTCGATAGCTTCCGGATTAGCCGGCTCTTCTTTCACAGCTTTAGGCGCATTGAGATATTTGGGGTCACGCCTGCTCCAAGGGTTGACGATCGTTTGGGCCGGACTACTAGCAAGGGTGCTCACCAAGTCCGCCAATGATCAAACTGCTTCTGGTTAAGATATTCTCTCCATTCGTCTTTCCGGATTTCTGCCCGAAACTGGGCATGTTGTAGGAGGTCGAGGTGGTGAAGAGCGTGCGGGTAGCTGGCATCCGGCGATGTCACAGTGCACGAACACCTCTCAAAAGGGCAACAGCCTCACTGGATGAATCTTGCGTAGTCCTTGTCCTTCCAGTATTGCAAATATTCCATAAAATTTATGAAAGCTGGCTGGTCCAAAATCCCCTGCTGTCCGAGCGAATGCAAGTAGAACGGATTCGCGAGCGCTTGCACGAATTCGAGTTCGAGTTCGAACCGGGCCCGGTTCGCCGCTCTGGTATCGTTTGGTTCGTGTATCTGGAGTGCTGGAGTCGACATCAAGGTCAATAAGTCTTTACAGCATCAGCAGTGCGAGAGGTATGCTAAAGGGCATGTGGCAGTCGTACTGAGGCCCCGGAGGGATCCATTTCGATTCCGCTGTGGCTGCGAGTCACAGGTTGTCACATGGATTGCACTCACGTGACGTGCATTCAGTGGCTGAAATAACCCCTGTTGGACCCTCTTAGCTTCGCGAGCCTTCGTGCTTGGCTAAACAAAATCGTCTACCTTTCGATATGACACTTCTTAGCCCAATATATTTCCAAGATGGTTGGGCATATCATTGATCCTGTAGTTTATTTATCTGAAACGGAGGTGTCGCATTCCTGCTCCATCGAACTTACCCGCGCCGATGGAATTTCGACCACCGCCGAGTAATGACAATCAAGAGTGAGTTAAGTATGTATGCGATCACTCTGTTGTATACATGGGCCACACATCGGGTGAAAATGGGGATTTTAGTCTGATTCTGTGGCGACGAAACCAGCATCCCTGACCGTTGGGCGGAAGCGGACGTATACACAAAGTATCCCAAACCCATCCAGGGCTCCCTCGTGCCAAGGTTCTGTGACGTGTATCAAGGCAAAGCTATCATTCCAGTCTGCAAGTGTTTGTGCGAAGTCGGATGCATCCTTATCGACCATTGTGGAGAGAGTATCCAGACCACCTTTCTAGATCTAGATATTTCCATCATGGTCTGTCCCACAGCTTCCTCAGGGAGTTCTCTGATGAACCTTCCTCAGAATCAATATAATTGAGCAGCTCCGCGAAACCGTCATTACGGAATCACTCACGATGACTTGCTGAGAGCAGTGTCGTCATGCTCGATAGCAAAATCCGCATCCTTGACGTTCATGATGTCCACACACGATTGCCACTGTACGCAGAGATTGTGTTCCAAATGCGGCTACCCAATCCAAGGACGATCCGCTGTTTCGATCTGTGGTACATGTGTAAAGGCATGTAGATCTGGAAGAGTAAGCTCTTCCTGCGCATCTGCTGTCATCCAATCCTGACTCGGATGCCCTGCTTTCGAATATGTCAAGATTGCGGGCCAGCAGTATCCCTGGAGTTTCTTCCCCCCCCCTCCCCCACAACGCGTTATAGATATGCATCCGGGGGCCCGAAGGTACGACAGCACGTCCACAGAGATAGCGGAGCAACACCTCTCGGGGATGAAGCAGGCACGGGATAACGGCGCACGCGAGGAGGACATAACTTGAAGCCCGGTCTGGTCTCCGTTGCCTGGCGGGTACGCTGGCGGCAGACTTTTCCCTCAGGACTTCATGGATCGCATATGCGAAGGCGAGGACATCGCGTACCGCTATGTATTTGAACAAGCACTAAAACTCTTTTTCTTTCTTTTCTGGACAAGCATTGTGACCAGGCAGCAACCGACAATTGGTCCAGCCCTACAAGGTCCGCTATAGAAAACACGTGTTTGGTCCGGAGGAAAAATGCATTTATGCACGACCCCCGGCGGGAACCGGAGAGTGTGGGACTCGAGGATACGCCTGGATACTCCGCTGAGTAGGAGCCCTGGGCGCCCTAATACCCACTAAAACCTCGGGGCGCAGCACCCAAAATTTATCGAGACTGTCAGAATTGGCTAGGACGGGAGTCCACGTTTGGACCACTTTCTTGCATTCTTTTTCAGAGCGCTTAATTTTACTACCTGCGACGTGGTCGATACTTAGCGGGCAGTCTATGGCCTTTGTCCAGCGTGTAACAATTGACTTCGTGGTGTGGGACTTGCCCTGGATAACTCTCTCACATCGGAGGACCCAGATGAGGTAAATAGCTTCCGAGACGAGGATTTGTAGCAGGCAGGAGGCGCCGGCATTGGGTTTCGCTGGTGAGCCGTCTTGCGAGTGTTCGGTAGGTGCTCCAGGTGGGTCAGGAGCTGTAGTGTGGGTGGGTAGGGTAACTGCTAACTTCCCGCAGCTCAGGAGGGAGCCAAAGTTGAGGTCTGGCCATGGGCCGAAGCGGTCGGGCCACAGGTCTGTGGTCAGTAGCCATATGATTCCCCGCGCGGGTGAATCGCACTCGAGTACTAAAACTCTTCCTAACTGTCAAAGAGCGTCTGGATAGCGGCGTTCTCGCTGGTGCGGACGTCGAGGAGATGGTGGAAACAAAGAGGGGTATGCTCGCGGCAGGCCAGAAGCTCTGGAATTACCAACACTGAGAAGTCCAGAACGGATTGAGTGAAGTGTCCTACATTTGATTTATATTTTCTCTCATCGTGTGGACGGCGGCTTCGTTGGTGGTCCAGCAGAAAGTCCTTGTGTAATCGTCATTTTGACCTGTAACAATCCATACTGTACTGTATTATCAGCCAAGGTGTCGGAAGACGGCCCGTGTATGAAAAATAGCCTTCGAACGAACAGATTGGTGAAAATTAAGGGACACTTTCGCGTTTGGTACGGGCCTCCGAGTCCTGTATGCCTGAGGAAAGATTAAGAAGTTCCCACATAGATCAATTCCGCAGGTTCTGCAGACCAGATAAGTTGAATGGCGTATCGATGCCAACTCGAGTTTACTGTGCTAGATTGTGGCAGCTATTGTGGCGCCCAGAGGTTAGTCACGTGATGAAAGCGCGTTCGGTTGGTTTGGCCCTATTTGTGTTTGGCGTCTATCCCCATTTCTGGCCGCGCTCGTCCGTCCGTCCGCCATCCATCCATGCATTGATTCTTATACCCTTTTACGAGACTTCTTACCCCAGCACACTCATTCATTTTCTCTACGGTCTCCGCAACCTCATAAACCGTTCAACCCCTCCTATCAAACAACAAACTCCAAGATGTATTCTTTATCAATGAAGCTTACGCGCACTTACGATAACGAGGGTAGCGAAAACACGCAGAAGGACAAGCAGAAGCTGCGAGGGCGGCGCGTCTCATGGCTTTCAAAGGCGCTCTCGAGGAAGGCGTCGCCTACTGTGTCGCTGGTGAATACAAACGCATCCTGTACCACGACCGCAAACAGCGCTTCGTCAGTGATCACACTACCTCTCATGTCCGTTCAGCCGCCTCCTAGCTCCATACCCTTTCCATCTGCACCTATCCCCGTCCCAACACGTACTCCAGACCACGAATACCCCCCGAAACGAACGCCATTCGCACCGTACACACTCGACGACTTGGAGAACGCGGCATCTAATGACCAGCTCTACGGAAACGTTAACGAGAAATCTGTGTCCTTTGACTCGTCTCCCTGGCACGTCCAGCTGCACAGACGTCGATCCCAGTCCTGCCTGGTGCAGACCTTCTTTCACGACGAGAACAACCAGCCTGACCCTCCTCGTCGTCCCTGGCGTACGCGCAAAGACGCTGCTCGAACCCGAGCTACGAGCCACAGCGCTCGTGCCCCTATGTTCATACCGACGCCTGAACCCCAACCTGTGGTTATTGTTAAATCACCCAAGGAGCGCAAGGCCAGCAAGAAGGCGCAGGCGGATATGCGCTTCCTCGCTGCCGTCTACCGGAGTCTCAAGTGGTTCATCGACTATCGGGAGCTAGAGGATGCGCTAGCGGAAGATAGCGAGTCGACTGCGCAGGGAGGTGAGATGACCGAGCAAGATAGGATCTTTCTATGTCGGCTGTACGAGAATCTTGTCCATCAGGGCTGCCAGCCGATCCTTCTCAATGTCTCTTGCCCCTCCAATCCGACCCCCCTATGTTCTCCCGACAGCTCGCGGTCCTCAGTGTCTCCGCAGGCTGTTGACATTCCTGCTTCCCCCGTTCTGTCCGAGGCTCCTTTGAGCGCGCCGCCTGAAGTACTCACGCCGCCGCAAGTCGTCGCGTCGCTCATCCTGAGGCACCGCGACCGTTCCACTGTCCGCCCTCGCTCGTCTTCTCCTACTACTCGAGCAACGAAGGGATCCTCGCCTCTGCGGGAGTGCGTCCTCTTAGCGACGGTGTAGGTCCTTTGTGAGGGGATTACTTCCTCTCTGAACGTCCTCGTCCACGCGACTGGAATCCGGGATCCGGGATCCTGCCAACATGCTTGTACCTACCTCTCGCTATGATCGAGTCCACGCCAGCGCGCACTATACTGTAGCAGTAGATAGAACATATTGTAAGCAAAATAACTGTACATTGGCTTCTGGTAAGCCGTATTTTGTATGTTTATTCTATCTTCTCGTACAATGTACTCATTCCTGAATTCACGCTGTAACGGAAAAGTAACCTTTCACGTTTATCGCAATAACGGGACGTCTATACGACCCAGCAGGTATTCCTCGCGATATTTTTCTTGAGAGGCGAGGGCTGCGCCAATGCTCCAGCCACCACTCGAAAAGGAGAAAACGTCGCAAGATCAGCTTCCGGTACGTTATCGTATGCACAAGCAAGATATAGTAATCACGCGAAGGCCAACGGTGTACGATGAGGATACGGAGCATACAGCTTAATTTTGGCCAGAATCTAGGTTACAGTGCATTTATATGATAATACAAGACCGTTGTATTATGCCGAGGAACCCCAGACAATGCGGGACTTGGGCTAATTATAAGAGTCCATTTGCGATTCTGCAACTTAGTGTCTTAGCCGACGTGGCCAATCACAGCCATGGCCAGTGATGGAGGGACCCACACGTGACAGAGTGACAGATACCGACGCGACAAGTCACGCTCGCGTCTTCCCTACCTGACCGCCAGATTCGTAACCAGCCAAGTGACAATCCTACTACCTCTGGTCCCATCGATTTGCTTTGTTAGTACTTTGAATATGGGTGACAGATAATCTTCTGACAAATTGCCAGGAAGCAGTTGCAGGGACATATCACACGTCCACGGTCAGTGGCTCATCCTCACGAGGAGAAACGTGGCAGAACAAAGGCGCTTCTACATCGGTTGATTGATAAGCGGGAATACCCTTCAAGCCACATTCCGAACATATATAAGGTGAATAACGTTCCCAGGTGAGCTCAGTCTTTCCCGCCATCATGTCGACTTCTAAAGCAGCCTCGTCACCGCACAAATGCGGACCCTCCAACCACCGTAAATTTTCCGTTACAGTACCTGACGCCCAGACAAAGCGCAAGCAGGAGGCTTTTGCAATGACCGACAAATTTGCCGGGCCGATGGATCCTAAGGAATTCCTGAATGCGTTCTTACCGACTCGCAAGGTCGCCCCCAAGCTGGCGAGGTCCGAAGCGATTTTCACCGAAATGAGGTCATGTCAGACGGAGAAAGATATGTATCTGAAGTTTGTGAGTACATTCAGGTTCTCTGTTGCTCGCGTGTTGAGTCGCCGCGGTCGACTAGGTCGAGTGCGCTAAGGCGCATGGACTCTGCGGCAAGTACGAACTCGTTGACACATCTGTCAAGCGTGATAGTACGGACGAGAAAGACAAGGGGTTTCAGCTGGTGGATATGGGTCTTTATCTCAAGGAGCATGCGCCCGATCCTTCGAAGGAGGGTCAACGATGGAACAGAGTGGCACTCTTTGCCGAGTTCAAGACACAGGCCAATACGACATTATGCGACCCCTTTGAGGACAACATCGATCGGCCCCCCGAGCCCCAAAGCATTGCTCGTAGGGACGTTCGAGGTCAAATCATAAACTACGCTGCGGAGATATTTGCGCGCCAGCACCGCACGCATGTCTTTTCGCTCATCATCCTTGGGGAGTACGTCAGGCTCGTTCGATGGGATCGTTCTGGCGCGGTATTTACCGAGAGGATCCCCTACGTTGACGAACCCCGACATCTCTCGGAGTTTCTCTGGCGGTTCACGAAAGCTACCCCGGAGCATCAAGGATACGACGTGACGGCGGCAGAGATAAAGGAAGGAACCCGCCTGTACAAGACTATGCTTGCAGCCTGCAACGCGTCCGGCGAGGAGCAATACAAGCTGGATTACTTCAAGAGATCGTGCAATCGCGACTGGCCGTGGTACAAATTGCGTATCGATGTCCCCAAAACTACCTCCACGAAAACGCACGGTGCTGGCTGCCGCACGTCAGCATGCCGGGACCCTGACACAGAGCCTCGCTATTTCTTGGTGGGCAAGCCGCACGCGCCCACCACTGGCTTGACGGGGCGGGCAACACGGGGATACGTTGCTTGGGACCTTTCGGACCGCAGACTGGTGTTTCTGAAGGACTGCTGGCGAGTCAAGACGTTGGCGAAGGAAGGGGATACGATAGAGAAGCTGAATAAGGCAGGGATTGAATCCGTTCCTACCTTGCTCTACCACGGGGACGTAGCAGGTCAGGTCACCGTTTCTCCGAATTATTGGAAGGACCGAGCACTCGCCGTGAACAAAATGAAGTCCCACGTCCATTATCGTCTCGTCGTGAAGGAAATCGGGTGTCATCTTGATGATTTCACCAATTCGCGGGAACTAGTCAAAGTGATCTACGAGTGCATCTATGGTACGTCGGTCGATTCTGCAGCGGGAAAATACTCAGGGTTCATGTTTGCTGCTTAGCGCACGCCGAGGCTTATGAAGAAGCGCACATTCTCCATAGAGATGTGAGCGTTGGCAATATTTTGATTCTGCGAACCACCAAGGACGGGAAGGTTCACACAAGTGGTCTCCTCAACGATTGGGATCTTGCCAAGGACGTAAATGTCAAGGAAGCAAGGCAATCGGATCGTACCGTACGTATCGCCCCTAGATATTCCTTCGCACAGTCCGCGTTAACTGCGTATTTTTGTTTTAGGGTACATGGCAGTTCATGTCTGCACGGCTCCTTCGCCACCCATCGAAGATCCACGAGGTGCAGGACGATATCGAATCCTTCCTCCACGTTCTTCTCTACCAGTCTCTAAGCTGGTTGCCCCGTGAGGGCTGCTCCTCCGTGGCGTCGTTCATGAACACGTTCTTCGACGAAGTAGAGCCCGATGATGGCGAAATGCTCGGCGGTATCCACAAGACCTATTGGTTTATTACCGGTGGACTCAAGTTCAAGTTCAAGTGCGCACACCTTGAGCACATTGTCAAGAGTCTCTTCAAATGGTTCAGAGGCTATTATAATCTTCATGAAGACCGTCCGCAGGTCCCGGAGGAATCTGCGCTCCCCTCCGAAAAGGCGGCTGATGTCCTCGACCCCGACGACGACTTTCGCAAACCCAGCAAGAAGTATCTGCCGACGGAAGAAACCTCAGACGTTGAAATTGACGCAGAAAAGGTGCGAGAGGCGTATGAAGAAGCTGCTAGATGTGTGCAGAGCCATTCCCGTACAATCAAGCTCTTCACTGACCAACTGAAGAAACCGGGATGGCCTGCGAATGACAAAGAGCCAGAAGTACAGGTGGAGGACGGCTATAAGCCCGACCCCTGGGTCATGCCGCGCGCTTCCAGAGCGGCCTCTAAGCGCAGTATCAGTGAGCTTACAAAGCAGGGCCTCGGGGACGAGCGGAGGTCGAAGAAATCTCGCAGCGGTGTGTAGTTTCTACAGATATTACGATGCTTTGTCGTTTTGCTTTGATCCTAGCTACGTACTCTATACGCTCTAATTTATTACAGTGGTTATTCTGAGCACCAGGCTTGTACCAGGCCGTCGATCTCTTGGCGTCGTACGTCGAACAGGAAACCGGACATCAGTGCGAACAGAAAGAGATATGTCAGTGGACACATTTCACGGCTTCAAGGTGGAGGTCTTTACAGCATGCCCTTCGCCTGGGTCTAGTGTGTGCCACTGTGTGGCGACCTACAACTCTGAATCTGTTTAGCAACCGCGGGGCGGTTTGAGAGTCATGGACAGATCGAAGTGTAACATCCCAAACATCGCCACGCTCCACTGCCTTACCTAGAGGTGATTTCAGACATACGCCATCCTATCGACGTAGGGGGAGAGACACCAGCACGTATTACATGTATCCGGCAACGATCGTGCGTCGCGGCGACCTGGTTGACTCTACAACTAACCTATAGCTGGGCACCGCCACAACACTGACGCTCGATGCCTCCGGACTGCAAACTCGTCCTACATATCACCGGTACGATAGTCATCTCAAACAGAGGTGATGCACTGGCAGCCGGACTTTCGAATCCTATTTGCTGGGTTGGGTTCGTGACCTGGAGGGCATCTGTATTGGATATAAACCCCGGAAGTGTATAGCATACACATGCATAGTTCGCGCTGTTGGCCTGGATTTTGAAGCAAACACGACAGGTTACCTGTACGCGTCGATAAGAGCAACGCTATCCAACACGAAATCGAATTCACGGAAGATACTGAACTTGGACGATGAGCTCGCCGCGTCCTTCCTGCCAGGTGTCACTGCGGTGATGAGCCTAGCAACAGCCAGTGTCCATGCATGGTCAACACTTCCCTTCGTTTCTCTGACGAGCGCCAGGAGAGCCGCTGATAAATGGCGCGACGGACGTGTCACGCATCAGCTTATCATCACGAGGAGAAACGTGGCAGAACAAAAGCGCTTCTACGTTGGTTGATGTGGAAGCACCCATCAAGCCACATCACGAACATATATAAGGTGATTCACATTCCCATGTGACTTCAGTGCTTCCTGCCACCTCGTCTCTTCTGAAGCGGGCTCCTCACCCAGCGAATACTCGCTTTCAGGCCCCCAGACGCCACAATAAAGGTGAAACACGGCTTCTACGGCATGAGCGGAAAGTATGCTGGGCCCCTGCCGGCCAACGTCTTTCTCAAGACATTTCTGCCTCTTCCTAAATCGACCCTCGAAGCACAGCCAAGCCGTAAGAGTGCGTTTGCTAAGATGGAGAACCATAAAACAGAGAAACAGATGTACGATGAGTTTGTAGGCCTTCCACGACTTTTTGCATTCTCAAGATGTTGACTTGTCTTGGTACTCTAGCGTGCATGCTGTGAGAAAATCCTCCCGCCCGATTATAAATGCCAGTGGGTTAACACCGCGAGTACCATAGACGAACTTGAAAACGACGGGTCTCAGCTGATTGAGATGGGCTTATATCTTTCCGGCCATGTCCCGTCTCCTGAGGACAATCGCTCTCTACCTCGACAGCAATGGGACCGCGTGATTCTCTGCGCCGAGTTCAAGTCACATGCTAATACAAACACAATGGACCCTTTTGACGATGGCCCCGGTAAGCGGTCTGAAGCAGTATCCCAGCTGCACCAGGATGTACGGGCTCAGATCGCAGGCTACCCCTCGCAGATGTTTGCTCAGCAGCACCGCACTCATGTCTTTACTCTCTTTATTCTGGGCGCATGGGCGCGATTCATTCGGTGGGGTCGCTCCGGAGCAGTATTCTCCGAGAGAATCCATTACGCACAGTGTCCACAGCAAATCTCCGAGTTCCTCTGGAGGTTCGTGAACTCCAGTCCTCAGCAGCAAGGATACGACGAGACCGTCGAGGAGATCGTGAAAGATTCGGTCGAGTACAATCTGATGCTTGCTGCTCGGGACGCCAAGGAGGAGCAGTACAAGCTCGACTATTTCATAGAGGATACCGACGGAGATCCCTGGCCATGGTACAAGCTGCGCGTGGACGCCGAAGTACAGCCCCCTCCCTCCAAGTCCTCTCACACTGGAGCGTCTTCCACCATCGCACCTCGGTCGACTCTAGAAGGGGAGGCTGCCATAAAGACAGAGCCTCGTTATTTCCTAGTGGGAAAGCCTCGCACTGATCCTCCTGGTTTGGCTGGCCGGGCAACGCGAGGCTACATTGCCTGGGATGTCACCGGCGAAAGGCTGGTGTTCTTGAAGGACTGCTGGCGAGTGCCGACGCTGACGAAGGAGGGCGATACCTTGTTGAAGCTGAAAAGTGCTAACGTCCCGTTCGTGCCGACGTTGGTCTGCCACGGTGATGTCGGAGGCCAGACCACATCAACTCCGGACTTCTGGGACACAACGCGAGACGGAGAAGAGAGCTCGATGAAGCCACACACGCACTATCGCCTTGTAGTGCAGCAGATCGGTTGCCCCCTTAAAGAGTTCAGCGACTCGAGGGAGTTGGTGCAGGTGATATTTGAGTCCCTGTGTGGTGCGTCGCACCAGTTTCGCATCGATTTCCGTGTTAACCATGCGCGTACAGCACACTGCGGCGCCTTCATTGATGCGCACATCCTGCACCGGGATATCAGTGTTGGGAATATTCTTATTGTGCGGAGAACGGAAGCGGGTGTTATGTTATCGGAAGGTCTCCTCAACGACTGGGACCTCTCCAAGGACGTTGACATACAGGCTCCTAGGCAACTGGACCGCACTGTGCGTACCTCATTTTTTTCACCGGATTTTGGGTTATTAGGAGCTGACGAAGTATTTCGGATTTAGGGAACATGGCAGTTTATGTCTGGTCGACTCCTTCTCCATCCTTCCAAAATCCACGAAGTACAGGACGACCTGGAATCATTCCTCCACGTTATGATCTATGAAGGAGTGCGATACTTGCCCCATACAGGCTGCTCTTCAGTTGGAGCATTCATACATACGTTCTTCGATGACACCCACAATCTAGGGGACGGCGTTCGTGGTGGATTACTCAAGATGCATGCGTTCGAGGCTGAGACGCTGGGATTTAAGTTCGAGAGCACCGCTTTTCAGGCTATCATCAAGACTCTCCTCGAATGGTTTCACGGATACTACGACGTGCATGAGGGACGTGTGGAGGATGTGGCTAAATTCGTATCCAAGGATAACCCTACGTCGACAAAGCGGCTCTACGACGTTCCCGAGCGTTGGCGGTCGAAGAAGAATCGCGAAGTTGTCTCAGAGGAGGAGAAGCATGAAGGGTATGCCAAACTCGCCCGCAATTTGGACGATCATACACAGATGATGGACCTCCTCCGAGACGCCTTCCATAAATCGGTATGGCCTGAGCAGGACAAGATGCCAGATCAGTTGGAGCCGAAATACAAGCATCAAGTCTTCAGCATGCAAGGTGCTTCGAGGTCGACGTCCAAGCGCACCGCCAGTCAAGTTTTCGAGCCAGAATCTGATCACGAACGAAACCCAAAGATGTTACGGTCTAGCACTGGCAGCAGATCCTGATTCTTTATGCAGTGCACTCCAGGGGCCTTTGTTTGCTGATGTACTCTCCCTTGTCTCTTCGCGTTCATCGCCAATTTCGTAATGCCTACTTAAACCTTTCTTCTTGTCATGTATCATATCCCAACTCACGATGGATTGCAAAAATCCTGAAACTTTCTGACTCCCAGCCGGGGGGCAAGCTTTTGACTCGGCCAACCTTCCTTCGACTTTCAAGATCGTCACAGAAAAAGGGGGTCTTTCCTCGATGTCTATCAACAATGACGCCGTACCTTATACAGACCAGGCGCCGGTGCGAGTCTTGAGAATAGACCAAAGCGAACACTAGTACGGCCTCCGTCAGCACTCACCGCATTCTGTTCTCGACGACCTTTCCATATCGCACTACCCATTATCTTCAGAAATTATCGATTGTAAGGGATGCTATGTCTGCAGAGGAAAGAGCAACAGATCCCCGACTCCCACGGTAGTTGGGAGGAGGGTTCTGTCGGGAAGAAATGGTCGCTCCACCATACAACTCGCTCTCGCCGTGAGAACCTCATGTAAGCAACGTCCCGACCGGACCGACGCCACTTTCGTTTCGACTTGAAGACAACTGCCCACACACACCTGACATGAAAGGTCAAAGTGATGCAGTGCGTAGCATTCGATAAAAGGATGCATTGACACAAGTGAGGCTGACAAATGTGACTAGTATCTCTGAGCGGGAACTGGGAGGAAGCCCCTTTAAATACTGATGTAGATATAAGACAGGACTTTATTATGTGTCCGTACGCGTCAAGACTGGCATTCCGCAACTTGACCAGACACTAGTACTGGAATACTTGATGGTTTCTGACTGGAGTCGGGGATTGGCGCTTGCGCCGCTACGATACACATCGCCGAAAGCGCAGCCTCAGCCAAGCCTCAGCATCCGCGATATCCCAACATGACAGGAAGAACTATGACCCGCCGGACACCGTCCGCTCGTCCTGAACTCGAACTGATGGCCCTACTTCCGCTGCTGAAGGATGTACTGTACACTCTAACAGATGATTTTCTCTTTCTGCCTATCTTTTCGGCCTCGTTGCGCCTTGAAAAGTCTGGGAAGTGTTCCAAACATGGACGTTCACATGTCAGCAGACCAGGGGATCCGCCTTTGCGCTCCTATCTGTTGTTCTCGTGTCTGGCATTGGCGTTCCCGCGAAAACCGATTATCTTCTACCCTTAGGCTCTAACCTGCCACCCATAAAAGCTGCCGATATGGGGTGATCTGGCAGGAACCTCCACCCGCTATCCGCGATCCATTGTGATATGTCTACCGAGATCCCGAAGACGCAGCGCGCTGCCTTGGTTGTAGAGTACGGGAAGGATCTCGTCATCAAGAACGACCACCCCGTAGTCCAGCCAAACGAACTCAAGCCGGGAGAATGTCTGGTTAAGCTGGAGGTGACGGGTGTCTGCCACTCCGACTTGTCGACGAAGCTGGGGAACTGGGGGTACAAGCCCCCGTTACCGGTCATCCCGGGGCATGAGGGAATAGGACGAGTGGTTGCGATCGGGCAGGGTACAGTAAATCCGGACGTGAAGATCGGGGATAGGGTAGGATTGAAGTGGGTGGCGGAGACGTGCTTGAGGTGCGAGATGTGTCGGAGGGGGGAGGAGTCAAGTGAGTCATCAGATGCTGCTTGGAGTTAAGATCGTCAGAGACGAGTACGGGCCCGTGAAGTGTGTCCGAACCAGAAAGTACACGGGTACAAGGTGGATGGAACGTTCCAGGAGTATTGTGTATGTCACGCATATTACCCGTAATATCCGACGTGTGCGCTCATGATCCTAGGTATCTTGGGTTGACCACGTTACGCCTATCCCGGATACGATCTCCAGTGAAGAAGCGGTCTGCATGCTGTGTGCGGTACGCGCTTCAATAACTAAACTGATCTTCGGATCCCTAACCAGTCGCGTTAGGGTCTGACCGTCTGGAAAGCACTAAAGCAGACGAATACTGTGGCTGGCAATTGGGTGGTTGTTCCCGGGGCCGGCGGAGGACTTGGCCATCTGGGTACGTCCCCACGAAACGGGACCTGGCTTGCGTCCTAAGCTTGTCCACAGCCGTTCAGTATGCCGCTTATATGGGTCTGCGAGTGGTAGCGATTGGTGAGTAGCGACAGCTCCTAGGCTGTTCTTCTCCGATATCTGATTATATTGTCAGATGGCGGCGAGGAAAAGAGGAAACTATGTTTCGAATTGGGAGCGGAGAAATTCATCGATTTCCGAGAGGCGGAGGACATTGTAGGGGAGGTCAAGAAGGCGACTGATGGGTTAGGTCCCCACGCTGCCATTGTCACCGCTGCCTCGGTCAGCAACCCTGTCGTCTTACTGCAGGGGTTCTAAGTGATAAATCTCACAGGGTAAAGCATACGAGCAAGCTGTCTGGTATCTCCGAGAAAGAGGGACACTAGTTGCTGTCGGCATGCCGCCAACGGACTTATTCAATATCCCAATAGTCATCATCGTAGCTAAGGTCGGTTGGTGTCTCATTGTACACGATTTCGAGGCTAATACGCTTAATTGGTAGGCTCTAAGGATAGTTGGATCCGCTATAGGGTATGTATACACAATATTTACCAGGGTTGTGTCGAGTTAAAGGTTCTTGCTCTATAGCGACCGACAGGATGCCATCGAAGCCATGGACATCGCCGCGCGAGGGAAGGTCAGGTGCCATTACGAAGTCGACAAACTGGATAACATTAATAAGTAGGCAATCTGCCTTTCTACCGGAGTAAATCGCTGACCGGCCTTGTCTGGAACTAGGATCTTCGACGCTATGCAAGCGGGCAAGCTTGTAGGCAGAGTGGTCATAAAGTACTGAGAGCCTTGGAGAGCGAAATATTGGTTCATTATCAGTCTCCTGGACCTGAAGTACAACCTTTGTATTGATCACCCTCACCTGTACATGTATTACATCCAGCTTTCGTTTACACCATTTGTATCCGTCTGAACAGCTACATGGTCACGAACGCGTCTGGCTCTACGCTACAGGTCACGGTCACCTGGATGAGTCACGTCGCGTTTCATTTGGCAAAATTCGGTGCCGCAACTTTGGCCGCGTCCTGACTTGTCTCACTGGCACGCTGTTGTACCTTGTTGTACTCTCACTGGCTCTCAGTCTATATCTCTGCTACTCAACGGCGAAAGCTAGGATATACATACAACACACAACGATGCGCAGTAATAACGTTCGCGGGCCTACCTCTGCGCTGACTGAATTCTTACGGGTGCGTATATGGTGAACGTCGAGAAACTATGTGGCTAGACGTTCGAAACGATCTTCTAGGAGTCGGGCATCACGGCGACGACTATTGCTCGGAGGGTGCGAACACAGGACAGGACCGAGGAACAACCTGAGGCTGGTCCCAGCAACGTCGACCAAACGAATGAGGAAGCACAGGACGGGAGTCAGGACGAGGTGAGTGCTTACTACAAACGGTGTTACGGGCGGAGTATAACGCCCTGCGCTTGAGGTGGCCGAGGAATACCACTCAGATAATCTAGACGAACCGGACGAACCAAGTCCGAAAAAGCGAAAGGTTGTGGACAAGGGCAAAGGCAAGGCGAAGGCGGCTGCGAAGAAGTCGAAGAAGGACGATGACGATGCGTCGTACGATGAGGAGGAGGACGCATATACTGCTATTTCGAAGCAACTGTGGAAGGGCAGTGGTTCTGGTGGTGCTAAGCCTCCCGTAGGGAGCTTTGAGAACTGCGCGAAATGCGAGAAACAGTTCACAGTCGTACGTTGCGCCCTGGATTGCTTCTCGGAGCCATGCATGACTTCTCTCCAGACAAAGTACACTATGGCCGCTCGACCTGGTCCGGGATGGTTATGCCACCAGTGCGCGAAGGCTTCAGGGGCGGACCCGTTCAAGAAGCCAGCTGTCCCCAGGAAGCGTAAGGCAGTCGCGGAGAAGCGAAACGTTGTCAGCTTCGAGGAGCGCACACTCCCCAGTCTCGCGTCCTTGTGTATAAAGATTATCAGTAACCACATCGACGACGTGGAAGCTTTGGGTGATATCGGTACTATGAACCTAGACGAGATTGCGAAGTCGATATCCAGAAACAGAAGCATGTAAGTCGCCTGGCTCTATTCTTTGGATCTCATCTCACTTCCAGTAGGACTGCTGACAACGTTCAACTTTTCTATGACATTCAGAATGTCAAGCTCACACTGTACGACGTTACCAGTAAGTTCTTGAACTGTCGATTCCGACCGAGCTCACATGTCCTCTCATACAGATTTAACCTCTTCGGCCTTCAGCAGCTTGGCTATGCTTAATCCTAATCTCACCAGCCTGAGACTTGACTATTGCGGTCGCATGGACGATCACTCCATCGCAGCATTTAACCAGTCTCTTCCATCGTTGAAGCGGATTGATCTTCTCGGCCCTTTCCTCGTGCGCGTCGATGCATGGAAGTCGTTCTTCGAAGCCCATCCAGACCTCGAAGGCTTCCTGATCACCCAGAGCCCGCGCTTCGACCTCTCGTGCATGCAGTCCCTCGTCGAGAATTGCAAAGGCCTGAAGGAACTGAGACTGAAGGAGGTCGGCAAGATGGACGATACCTTCTTGCAGGAGATCGTCAAATGGAAGGGCACTCTAAAGCGCCTGGACCTGTCTGACCCCGGATCGAGCAAGTCTGTTACTGACGATGCCTGCATTGAGATGATGCAAGCTATTGGGCCTCAGTTGGAGCATCTCGACTTGTCCGGGCACGAGTATCTCACGGACGAGTTCTTGCGGCTGGGTCTAACGCCCAACGCCGGCTCGCTATCTTCGCTGTCTCTCGCGAACCTGCCGGATATAACCGATGCGGGTGTGGCGAGCGTCTTCGATACCTGGATGGGCATCAAGGCGGAGAAGCCATCTGAAGAGGCGGACATGGAAGAGGTTACAGGGACGAATCCGCCCCTTACATCTATCAACATGTCTCGGAATTCGGAGCTGTCCGCGGCAGCTTTGATGCCAATTGTCAAACACTCGGGCAAGACGCTGCAGAACCTGAATATCAATGGGTGGAAGACCGTCTCCCAAGAAGCTTTGACGGAGCTGGCCAAGAGAGTCAGGGACCTCAAGACACTAGACGTGGGCTGGTGCCGTGAGGTCAACGACTTCGTAATCAAGGACTTCTTGGACAAGTGCGAGAAGATTAGTGACATCCAAGTCTGGGGCTGCAACAAATTAACGGAGAGCTGTCCAAGAAAGGTGAGTTCGAGTTCGTCGACAGCTACGATTATCGCGCTCATACTCTGTCAGAAACGTGTTACGATTCGCGGCATTGAGACGGACTCTGTGAAGAATTGACCAACCGGTAGTTCATCGCCATTCAGCCTTATAGGGCACAGAGCCATCCCGGTATCGTTCGTTCTATCATATTTTCCGTTCAGAGCAATATAATTCTACCGATCACAAACCAATGGTCTTTAACATGCGTATACATAGTCGGATAGATGGTGCTAGGAACACTGAATACATCATTGCGGCACTAGCCCAATCTCCTTACCGTCGACATCCCTAGCTGCTCTGACGGCCCAAAAGGCAATTGAGAACTTCGCGCCTTCTTCGATTTTCTTCTTCCTGTAATCCGGATCATAGGAGACACGTAGAGAAAAGTAACCTTCGAAGAGTTCTTGAAGCTCTGCAGTTCTAGGGTCGGTCTTCACCCACACGCGTTTAAGCTTGAACACCCCAGCCGAGCCCTTCACGCCGATGTAGTTGTTCTGGAGATACGTCTTCGCGCTGACGCCAGCTCCTGCAGGTCTGCACGCGGGACCCGGGAAGAGGTTTCGCACTTTAGTATTAAACTTAAAGGCGTTCGTTTCGACAATCTCTCGGAGCCCTACGTCGAAAGCCTTTTCCGCGACAGGATCATAGACACAAGCAGCTCGCCAGCGGCCAGTCGCCGCCTCGCTGGTTACCGAGTCAGGAGGAAGGTAGCAGCGTCCGGTGTGCAGTGATTTGGCCTGGTAAGCAAGGAGAGCATGATACACGTCCTCGAATTGAGGGAATGACTGGCCAATGGGCAAGTAGATCTCGCCGAGACCCGGCAGAGTCGTAGCGTAGACATCTAGATTTCCGTAGTATTTCGGCTCTGGGGGCGCGGAGCTCGGCGCCATGGCTAAAGGCCGAGGGACAGATGGCATTGTCGCCCTTCGCTTTGCGCTCCTCCTCGGACCCTCAGGATCATGTTGACTAGTAGGAACCTGAGCAATCGAGAAGCCATGAGCTATCGGCGGGCGATGTGCGTCGGGTGCAGCTGGAAGCGGCCGGACCGGGAATTCGTGGTACGATGTCGAGCTATCCAGACCTGGGGGCTGAGGTGAGGTGGGATACGGCCGCTTGTTGCCTAGAGACGCAGTTGCTCTGTGGGAGGGTCGCTGCTGGAACGTCGGCGGCTGAAGTATGGCCGGCGAGGAACGGCTAACCAAGTTGTCTGGCGAACTGGAGCTTACCGGGAACGTGAATTGTTGCGGTTGCGATATAGGAGCATCCCCGGGACCTCTTATCTGGACTTGTTGGCCAGAACCTGTTGGTCCGGGATGTGGCGGGGGCGGACCTGTGCCTTGCCCTGGAGTAGACCCATGGCTAGAAGAGGTAAAAGCCGGCCCAGGCCCTTGGAACGGAGCTGCAGAAGGTGTCTCGTCTGCGTAAGTCGAGGAGCCCGTGTAGAAAGAGCCAGAGCTATACAAATTCCCTTGGGAATGGTACGACGAGTACGAGCTAGATCCCTGCGGATACCTTGGTTCTGTATGAGCATGGCTCCAGCCTTCGTGATAGGAATGGCGGTCGTAGCCAGTTGACCGGGGGCCATTGGTGTAATCTGAACCCAGTTCGTACGCGCCGTATTGCGGAGGGTATGTCGCGGATGGCTCCAGTACCTGGTGGTCCGTGTGATACATAGGCCCAGGTGGGTGGATCGCCGTTGGCGGGGACTCTCCATAGAAGTTTGGGTGAGGCGGACCATTGAAAGATATGCTGCTAGGTAGTAAGTCATCAAATTGGGCAGGGGCATACGTGATCTCTGACTGAGCACAAGCTCGTTCGAATGCAGCCAATGCTTCCTCATCCGGCCCCACGATAGTAGGGCTTTCCGGTTTATAGGATGTCGCCTGAGTGCATTTTAGTAAGTGTTGTATAAGAACTTATAATGAAGCTTTGGCGTACATGACCAGAAGGTCTACGGTCGTAATCATGGTAACTTGAGCTCGGGTACAGAACATCGGTCCTATGGTGACCAACTAGAGAATTGGTCTGATGTTCCTGGGAATATTCTGGTCCTGATGCCGGCATATTGTAAGGTTGCCAAGCGCTATAATGCCGTTTACGCTTCAGGTCGCATAGCAAGACAGTCAGTACCACGAACACCCTGCAGAAGCGAAGAAACGCTCACGTCCGACATGGCTCTTCCGCCTGAAAATTAGGAGACAATAGAGTGAATTACTAAGGATTCTACACGGGAGGAACTAGGATAATATGAGGGGGAATGGTAGGGTAACAGAAGAGGGGGATAGCGTGCGGACATTGGGTTCAGTGTCGGTGGGTATCAAAGTCCCACGGAGAATGCCGGAATGTCAGCCACTCCATGCCGCACTTGCGATCGGGACGCGTTGCAGGCGTCTGCGCTTCCCTCAAGCTTGTCTATACTGTCGTTGACGTCGCATTCTTCTCAGCCTCTGTGCCTAATCAAACTGTACTCGAGAAGGACGTTGCTCATCAGGAACCTCGGACTCCAATGCTGGGCGCCGTGCAGGGCACGGGCAGTTGAGGGGTTAGCTCAAACGCCCCAGATACCATTTCTATCTCGACTTGCGAACTGTCACCTATTCTAGATTATGCTGTACTACTTCTTCTCTCCCTGAGGCCACCCGAAGCTTCGGACTAACCCCTATGTCGAAGGCGCCAACATCAGTATGCACGCATACGCCTGTCAGCCTATGAGAGTCCCCGGGATAACTATAGAATCCATGACGGCCTGTATAGAAGATCTTGTGTTAGCTGTTGAGATATACCCTCAGTAGCTGTATCTCGGATGACATGCCTCTTTCTTGTTTATTCTCGCTACTGACATCCGAACGCATGCATTATTCACATGATGGACCGGCTAATACTCGACGGTACTGGTCCCAAATAGTTTGTCCTTTGGCAGGGGAGCAGACAAGCATTGTGTTATCTCTGATCCTTCCAGGACGCTGTACGTCAGCCACATTCTTTCTTCCTACATAATGCAACACTTGTCATCTATCCGTCATAAGGAGGACGGGGCACTGCCGTTGTTCCTACCTTATAACACTGACAACGCTTTCCTGCCTAGGGTCTTGGACTTGGTAGAGGTATATATTATACCGCATCATCCGCTTAACCTCCTCAACGGCGCTCCCGGGTTTACTCGTCCATCATGTTCTCAGGAGATATCATCCTGCCGACTAGAATAAGAAGTGGCTTTCATGGTCTGACACCGAAACAGATCTGTCAGACTCGTGTTATACTCCTCCGCTACTTTCCCCCTGAAATCGTCGACTGCATCTTCGACTTGGCCGCCTACTTCCCCTCGAGCATGAAGGTCACATACGAAGTGCCGCACGAATGCATACCCGTCCCCCGCTTTACTTTGAAGGACCTATCCTACCCGAAGTTCGACATTTGGTTAGAGTCGCCTCCTTTGCCCACAGCACCTGCGTCCATACGCCTCGTGCTCTTTAAACATACCGTCGGAGCGTCTATGACCCACCAAGTAGCTCGTCTTAGCATCGTTGTGAAGAGACCCTCCGGGGCGCCAGTTATCCTGCGAGCGAACTTGCGAATTCCCTTCCGGACGTTTTTCAAGTCGTGGACGGCCACGTTGTTCAGGCGAGATCTAGGTGATCTCGTCGGGAGAGGCGACAGGATCATTGTGTCAGCAACTTTTTCGTATGTGGCGCTCTTCTTTGACAGTAGCTCTGACGCACTGAAGATATACCTTCCATGATAGCCAAGCATGTTGGCAAAGGGACGTTGATCGTCTCGTTTGTATTGTACGGAATCGGTTTCCTTTCGGGCCTGAGCTCGTTTAGGTACCGAGAGTTCTCTATGCGCTCTGGTGTGGCTCACGTTGACTCATCGTAGCCTAGGTTGAATGTTACAAGAACGTAACCTACGTGATGAAATAAATAAGAGAGGCGGAAATAGTGTGCTGTCGGGAAGGGCGGTACGCCATTTCCGAATATCTTCTATACATATTTGCCTACCGCATGCTCTCTTCTTCGTGGTTCCGAAAGTGACCAGTGCACTTGACTGACTAGCTTGAGAACTTTGCCCATTAGCCATCACGTTCTTGCAGAGCGGGTGCTTTATGAAGAAGTTCACCATTCGCGCCCGCGACGAACCCGCGACGTTATGCCCTGGTGGATACCTATAGAATTTTCGAAGATGTGAATTACATTGATATACAGAACCAGGAGCTCTGGAGATGTCTCATTGCGCTATCAAGGGCGCCAGGCGCGGCCACGACTTTTAAATGTAAGGGACACAGCACTCACGAAGAGAATAACGGTGCGGACCGTCTCGCGAGCGGAGGTGCCCTGAAACCCATACCCAACCCTACTGATCTCAGTATCCCACTTGAATGGAACCCCACTGGCGCAAAATCCTTGTTAATGGCTCATGTGCTCGCCTGTGCTTTCTTCCATGCACGGAAGCACGTATCGGACCAACAGGCTGCGGTAATTAATCTGGATGACACGCGATACACAGGGGAAGCATCTGTAACCATGGCCAGTGCATAACTTCAGATCCTCATATATAGTGCTCCGTTCGGCATGAAGAGTTCTCCCGAAAAGTCCGGGTGTTCCTATGGCGCACCAGTCATCCACTCGGGACATAAAACAATTGTTAGGGGACCAGACCGAGTTTGATTGCCCATACCTCACAATGGACTCAATACAGGATGGTCGATTGCATGACCCCATGTCCGCAGTCTACATCGCATCGTTCGTAAAAAACAGAGTTCTGTTACTTATCCAATGTTGGACTTGAAGTATGATTTCTGTGATCTAGTTACTTAGCCGACGTGGCCAATCACAGCCACTGAGCCAGTGATGGAAGGACACGTGACCGCGTGACAGATACCGACGCGATAAGTCACGCTCGCGTCCTATCAGGCCGCCACATTCGTAACCAGCCCAGTAACAGTCTTGATCCCTGCGATCCCATCCCTTTGTTTCGCTAGTATTTTTCAAGCGAGTGATAGAGAATTTATTGACCAATCATAAGAAGCTGTGGCAGGGACACGCGTGGCCCGTCCTCACGAGGGAAAACGTGCCAGAACCAAGGCGCTTCCACATCGTTTGATTGATAAGCGGGAACACTCTCCACACCACATTTCGAACATATACAAGGTGACTAACGTTTGCAGGTGAGCTCAGTCTTTCCCGCCATCATGTCGACTTCTAAAGCAGCCTCGTCACCGCACAAATGCGGACCCTCGAACCACCGGAAATTTTCTGCTATAGTACCTGACGCCCAAATAAAGCACAAGTAGGACTTCTTTTCGATGACAGACACATTCGCTGGTCCGTTGGATCCTAAGGCATTCCTGGACGCATTCTTACCGACTCGCAAGGCCGCCCCCAAGCTGGCGAGATCCAAGGCGATATTCACCGAAATGAGGTCATGTAAAACGGAGAATGAGATGTATTCCAAGTTTGTGAGTAAATCCAGGATCTCTCCGCTACCCGTGTCTTGAGCTGTCACGGTCGACTAGGTCGAGTGCGCTAAGGAGCATAAACTCTGCGGCAAGTACGAACTCGTTGACACATCAGTCAAGCGCGATAATACCGACGACAAAGATAAGGGGTTTCAACCGGTGGATATGGGTCTTTATCTCAAGGAGCATGCGCCCGATTCTTCGAAGGAGGGTCAGCGATGGAACAGGGTGGCGCTTTTTGCCGAGCTCAAAACGCAGGCCAATACGACATTATGCGACCCCTTCGAGGACAGCGTCGATCGGCCCCCCGAGCCCCAACGCATTGCTCGGAGGGACGTTCGAGGTCAAATCATAAACTACGCTGCGGAGATATTTGCACGCCAGCACCGCACGCACGTCTTTTCGCTCATTATCCTTGGGGAGTACGTCAGGCTCGTTCGATGGGATCGTTCTGGTGCGGTATTCACCGAGAGGATCCCCTACGTTGACGAACCCCAACATCTCTCGGAGTTCCTCTGGCGGTTCACGAAAGCTACCCCGGAGCATCAAGGATACGACGTGACGGCGGCAGAGATAAAGGAAGGCACCCGCCTGTACAAGACTATGCTTGCAGCCTGCAACGCGTCCGGCGAGGAGCAATACAAGCTGGACTACTTCAAGAGATCGTGCAATCGCGACTGGCCGTGGTATAAATTGCGTATCGATGTCCCCAAAACTACCTCCACCAAAACGCACGGTGCTGGCTGCCGCACGTCAACAAGCCGGGTCCCTGACACAGAGCCTGACACAGAGCCTCGCTACTTCTTGGTGGGCAAGCCGCACGCCCCCACCACTGGCTTGACGGGCCGGGCGACACGGGGCTACATCGCTTGGGACCTTTCGGACCGCAGACTGGTGTTTCTGAAGGACTGCTGGCGAGTAAAGTCGCTAGCGAAGGAGGGCGATACGATAGGCAAGTTGAACGAGACCGGTATTCAATTTGTGCCTACTGTGCTCTACCACGGGGACGTTGCGGGACAGGCCACCGTCTCTCCGGATTATTGGCGAGACCGACCACTCGCGGTGAATAAGATGAAGTCGCACGTCCATTATCGTCTCGTCGTAAAAGAAATTGGATGCGATCTTGAGAGTTTCACGAACTCTAGGGAGTTAGTGAAGGTAATTTTTGAATGCATATATGGTACGTCACGTGAATCTAGTGCTGGGAACGGTTGAGGGACCAAGGTTCTTTCTTTCTTAGCGCATGCCAAGGCTTTTAGCGAAGCGCGCATTCTCCATAGAGACGTCAGCGCTGGCAATATTTTGATTGTGCGAACGACAAAGGACGAGAAAGTGGTGACAAGTGGCCTTCTGAACGACTGGGATCTTTCGAAGGACATAGATATCAAGGAGGTCAGGCAGGCCGATCGTACGGTGCGCGTCACTCGTAACTCTTAGGGTACTACCCCAACCTCCTGGCCCATTCATAACTCAGGGTACATGGCAATTTATGTCTGCTCGGCTGCTGGCCCATCGGTCGAAGATCCATGAGGTGCAGGACGATCTCGAATCCTTCCTACATGTCCTTCTCTACGAGGGCGTATGTTGGCTGCCATTTGAGGGTCGTACCTCCGTGACGACATTTATGACCGCGTTCTTCGATGAAGTTCGTCCCAAGAATGGCACCATGGTCGGCGGTGTCCACAAAGCCTGCTGCTTCTTCACCAACGGCATCGACTTTGAGTTCAAGTGCCCGCACCTCCAGCTCATAATCAAGACTCTGTTCGAATGGTTCAATGCCTACTACATCCTCTACGAAGATCGCCGTGCCTTCGCATTGGATGACGAGGTACTCTCTTCACCTCCCTCGGAAGCTTCCGAGGGTACCGACGATGACACCGACCCGGTTGATGACTACCATGCGCCTGAAGGCTTTGAGGACTACCTGCCGGATGAAGAAGCCCTGGACGTGGACCTCGAGAAAAGGCGAGAGACGTACGAGAAAGCGGCGGGATATGTGATGAGCCATCAGCAGATGCTTGCGCTCTTCTTCGGCCGATTGAATGAAAACAAGGGATGGCCTACGAATGACAAAGCGCTGGCAAAACAGGTGGACAAGAATCACAATCCGGATCCCTGGGTTATTTCGTCCACTTCCAGGGCAACATCCAAGCGCAGCGTCAGCGAGCTGACCCAGCAGGGTGCGGGGGACGAACGAAGGTCGAAGAGGTCTCGCAGCGGAGTGTAGTTTGTAGAGATCTAGGGATGCGCCTTGAATACCAAGCCTCATTGACCTGTATTTCTATACGTTCGCATTCCTTATGGTGTCTGTTCTTCGTCGATCAATAATCACGTCCTACCCTGACAGGCAACCAAACGTCGTGAGCCGACAGATAGATGCCAATGGACGGATTCCACGACTGCACGATGGAGCTCCTTGCAGCACGCCCTTCCGCAGGGTGCGGACCGGTTGCGTAAGTGTGCGCCATCTAACTCTGTCGCATAACCGCGGGGCGGTTCAAGTTTAAAGTTCAATGAAGAAAGAAATCGTGATCAAATATCCCTAAAATCGTCATGCACCACTTCCCCTGCCACTGGGTACATCACCCATATTGAGCATGCACAAAACTTTGAAAATAACCGGTCAAAGGTCAAACCTTTTTCATGATTGTCCATTGCACAGTCAGTGAAACAATCCAGAATAATACTACTTTGGAGTGCACAAAAGTTCGATTGTGACACAGGATATGATCTTTGTTCAGCACTGTTCATTGAACTTTCATTTGTTTTGCAAGGCAACACTATGAACAAATTTTGACCTTTGTCCGGTTCCTTTCACACTTTCTCGGTGGCTCAATATGGGTATTGTACCCAGGGTGCCTGAAACTGACTTCACGCATATCACACCAAAGTCATAGCTGTATGGTTAACCAGTATATCTGGACGATAGGCTTCGTTTTTGCTGAGCCGGTCCTTGATGGAAAAGTCCGACGGTTAGTATTCTTTTACTTCCGTGACACGCGGAACGCGTGACGTCACGCGTTTATTGCACTAGTCTCGCGTCACGCTCGGCACCGTTGATCGGGTGCCGGTTGTCCGCTGCCTCCAGCGGTGCCTGGCGATCTCCCTTACCAATGGCGCGTCCATTGCTATGACTGGCTGAAGTGATATTGCCGTCGCGCTTTATACAGCGTTACCCAGTGACTATGGAGACTTGTGTCCGGCGAATGTCCCGGATTTCTGATCGCGTTGCCTCCTACCATACGATGGACTGACTTCCGTCCGACTCTTCTTTCTCTTGACCGACTATATCTAAGGATCAACCTCGGTGTTTTGTCCTCCCCCCATCTAGCCAGACTTGCTGACTATATATCCGGCGCTCATAGAATCTATCTCATTGGACGAACAGTCCTCTTCATTCTTTTGTTCTTGTCATTCATTGATTGTTTCACCGTAATCCGACATGTTCCCCTCCTCGAAATCTGCACTGCTCCTGGCAGCTATCCCCTCCGTTCTCTCTGCTGCCATCCACACCGGCGTGTCTGACATGCAAGCTGCCCCCCTCCATCAACTCATGCCCCGTGCATTGAGCGTCTCTAAATCTGGCAATACCATTACGGTCGATACGGCTGGCGGTCTGGTCTTCAAGGTCCACAGCAATAATTGCGGTGCGTACCACGGCGAGGTGTAACTGAAAGATCGATGACGCTATCAGGCATCCCATAGATATCACCTCTATGGTGTACAACGGCCAGGAAGCGCAGGATCAAGTGAGAGGATCGGACACTTGTTAGCGCCCCCAATACTGATTCTGTTGTTCATTGCAGTCGAAGTTCTCTCAGATCGTATGTCGCATGAGATCTCCCATCCGTCTTGCATTGACGATGACTATGTGCCGCCCGCTAGTCCTCTGGACTCGGTTCTGCGACCGTCTCGTACACCACTATTGGCAATTATGTCAAGATTACTTGTGAAACGAGTACTCTGGTATGGCTAATGCCAGAATATTTGTGGATCTCCGACTGACTACGAACTGTCTAGACGCAATACCTTGTAGCCCAATACAAGAACCCCGCCATTCATATGGCCACTTAGTGCGAACTTGTGTCCTGATGTCCCTATGATATAATCCTTAATGGCTTGACAGCACGTCCGCTGAACCGTCCGTGGGCGAGTTAAGGTTCATCGCGCGTCTTAATCGCGCGGTTATCTACAAGGGGTATACGGAATCGGATGTCCAGGGCGGCACCGCGATCGAGGGCAAGGACGTCTTCAAAGTGGGCAGCCAGACTCACAGCAAATGTTTGCACCTTCATCTTCCATACGCCGGGAAACTAGGTTCTGACATACCTGTCAGTCTATTCCTCGAAGCGCTTCATCGAGGACCAAGTCCACGGACTCACTGGTAACAACATTGGCGCCTGGATGATAATTCCTCGATACGGTTATGAAAGCTCTTCCGGCGGGCCCTTCTTCCGAGACATCGATAACCAAGGCACGGAACAGGAGGAACTATACTTCTACATGAACTCCAGTACGCATCTACTCCATTCGCCTTTTTCTCTTGCTCACTAGCACCACGCAGATCACATGCAGACGGAGTCCTACCGCCAGGGACTGCACGGCCCCTACGTGCTCCAATTTACCACGGGCTCCTCCCCCTCTGCCGACGTCAACCTCGACTTCTGGGAGACCCTCGGCGAGATCAAGGGCATGGTCAACTTCGCCGACCGCGGGTACGTCAAGGGCACCGCGACGGGCGTCCCGCCCGGCTTCGACATCGTGCTCGGGTGGAAGAACGACCAGGCGCAGTACTGGGTCAAGGCGGGCTCCGACGGGTCGTTCACGTCGCCGAAGATGAAGCCCGGGAAGTACACGCAGACGCTGTATAAGGGCGAGCTGGAGGTCGCGACGAGGGATGTCACCGTTGAGAAGGGGAAGACGGTCTCCGGGAGCATCGCGAGTACCGAGGGCCTGCCCAGCAGCTATATATTCAAGTTCGGGGAGTTTGATGGCACGCCCAAGGGATTCCTCAATGCCGAGTGCGTGCTGAATCTATTTCCGTGCTCGTTGACTGACGTACGTATACTTCTGCTAGTATGATCGAGACGATGCAGTAAGTGGATGGTCGACCTTCTTGGACAAGCAGCATTCCTAAATCACTGCCCCCTAGCCCGTCTGACAGCCGCATGCACGACTGGCTGCGCACAGTTACGATCTCGCAAGGCACCGGCTACTTCCCCATGGCAGTTTTCAAGGACATCGGCCCCGTCACGATCAGCGCTACGCTGACCTCCTCGCAACTCGGCGCCAGGACCCTCGTCGTCGCCACTACCTCTGCGTTTGCTGGCGGCCGTCCGCACGTTACTGTGAACAATTGGTCAGGTACGAACGCAGATGCGTCGCGAACGTGTGACGTCCACTAACTCTCCCCGATTTTGCTGATACAGGGCCTAATCCATCCGCCCCCACTCAGCCTGATTCGCGAGGCGTCACGCGTGGAACATGGAGGGGAAACGTACGGCGCTCAGTGCAATGTTGGTTTTGCGCTACTGACATGATCTGATTTACCAGAACAACCGCTACACCATCTCCATTCGTAATTATTTCCTGTTGTATGGCTTTCAGATAGGTATGATGACTGAACGCACCTCATCTAGCCGACGGAGTCCTAGTAAAAGGCTCTAATACCATCAAAATCGACGTACTTTCCGGATCGTCAGGAAGCCAATTCCTGTAAGCACCTGCGGCTTGTCCTGCACGTGTATCGACTGACAACTGCCCTGCAGCTCACCTAACTTCGTCTTCGACGCCGTCATGCTTTATTAAAGCCGTCGTTCAGCCCGGCAGCAGTTAGTGCTCGCCGAGTGCGGGTTCTGACGTGGTTTCTCTGTGAGGCGGGTTGACGCGTGCCAGAATCGAAACATCTCCGGCGTGTACATACGATTCTCGATGTCCATTGGGTTATGTGCTGTCGGCGTTGCACTGCTCGCGCCCGGGGACCTCAGCAATGCGGTCCCTCGCTTGTGAGCACCTCAGGCACCTCTCCGCGACTCCACTCGATGGGAAACGGTGCAGAGGGGTGTTGATGTCTCGGAGCCTTTGACGGACCTCGAGAACCTCCCGCAGCGAAGACTCCACCGCAAATCCTTCCCACATGCCACGTCGGGTTCCTTCTCAGAGCTCTAAGCTATAATTGTACCCTGCTCGGTATTTGACAACAAAGTCTGAGAAGGCTTCGAACCAACAACTTGCATGGGTTGGAAGATGCCTGCGTTCAAGCGACTATCTGCTACCAGGAAAGCAGTAGATATCGTCCTCGGGTTGACTTGTTTCAAGCGACGAGCAAAGTCATTACTATATGTAGAAACGCCCTTACCCGATCGGGTTGTGTTCGACGCCTGCTGGACGGTCAACCTCGACATATGCCAGACTCTGCATCGATCTCTCCGACACTGACTATAAAGGGACTGAAGCCCTGAGACACCCGGACACCTTTCTTCCCCTCTGCCCTCATGTCTTCCCCCTTTCTTTTGAAGTATAAGTCTTCGGCGGCGCATATGCTCATTGTTTACGCGTCTCCGAGTGCCACACGGAGTTTTCTACGGGATTGCTAGTCGGCGCCATGAAGTGCCCCGACATGAAAGGTGCACCTAGCGCCTCTCGATTTCGTACTTATAGGTAAGCTTCTTACTCGGGAGTCGTTACCTTTCAGTCAACTTTAGAGCCGGGAGCAGTCAGCAGCAGAGATATGCTGCACCCGAGTTGCTTTTGCTTCCAATCACCGCGAGTGCGTCGGCCGATGTCACGCTCACGTGCAATGTGACGATCGCGTCTCGATCAGAGCCGCCGGAGTAACTCTCTGTGTGCTCCACAGCGTCATAATTCGCAAGTCGTTTCCGTTTCATGACTTGTTATAGGGCAGAATATCATTCAACAGGCCGCATGCGGCGCGCGGACCCAGGCAGTGGGTCATGCTCAGTTCCGAGTCTCCAGGACTTGGACAAGTCGGGTCTAGCGGACGACACTTTGCCCCGCGCGGTTCATTACCGAGGGTTAAAGGCTTTCCAGGAAGCCCGATCCAACGCTGGCTCGACATCATCTACTTCGTCATCCGCACAATTCAGGCATCAGCATCGAGCCACGGCGTCCTGGTCGAAGTTCATAGAAGTCAGCTCGTCGAGCTTCCCGTCCTGCTTAGGCAGGGATCCGCGTCATCCCTACTCGGCGTGACTTCAGCAAGAGTAATATTTTTTCCTCCGATTGCCCGAACCCATCTACAACGCGACGACGGACTTTGACTACCAATCGTTGCAACTCGGATTGCATCAAGAGTACATCGAGCTTGACCTGTTCCACTATGGCTTGGCCAAGTTCTCAGACGAGGACTTTGAAGCCGAGGGACTCACTGCAGAGGACCGATTCTTGATCGAGCACATGGCTGATCAAGAGGTTGGACACGCCATCATGATATCGAATATTCTTGGGGGTAAACTCGCTCCTGCCTTATCGTTTTGCACTCCACTCACTGTATTTCAGCGAGCGCCGCCAAGGAGTGCACTTACACCTACCCCTTCAACACCGTCCGCGAATTCATCGACTTCTGCCAGAAACTGACGCGGTGGGGCGAGGCGGGCGTCTACGGCTTCCTCGAGCACCTGCACAACCGCGCGTCCGCGAACCTGCTCATCCAGTCGATCACTCAGGAGGCGCGCCAGCAGATGTCGTTCCGCCAGTTCGAAGGCCTCTTCCCCTACCCCGAGTGGTTCAGCACCGGTATCACGCAGAGCATGCAGTGGACGCTGCTCGCGCCGCACATCGTTAGCTGCCCTGCGGGCAACCCGCACCTCAACTGGACGAACTTCCCGGCGCTGAACATCACCGTGCGTTTTCCCTTTGTTTCCAGCACTTTGACTCTAACAGCCCGCCATAGAACGACCCGACTCACGCTATCCTGCCGCGAGATACGCAGCCCGCCATCTCGTCGAACGTCTCTTCGCTCACGGCGCCCGGGTACGAGGTCCACTTCACCTGGGATTCCCCCGGCAAGTCTGTCGGCCCCAACAGCTCGTACACCACCCGGACCCTCGCCGGCGCGCCCAAGTACGCGGCGTGGATCGCGCAGCTGAACGTGACGTACACGGAGCTGTACAATATCTCTGGCAACTCGGCGTACACGATCCAGCCCAACGGGACGCTCTACGGCCCCGGGACGGCCAGCGTCCTCAATGGAACTCAGTAAGTTGACGCGGCGTTGATAGGGGAGGCGGACGCTGACGTGTTTGCTTCCAGGTTCGTCCTGATCACCGACAGTAACCCGTATATCACGCCCGCGAACATGTCCTACCTGGACCCGCACGTCGTCGCTGGGCCTGCGATGTACCAGGCTGATTAAGCGGATGCGCTCAGGATGAGATAACTTAGGAAACGTACAGGAATGAATGAGTTGACGCTTTTATTGGTTCGTGATGCCCATGTGCAAGTTCGGACGCTTCGCTTTTTCCACCGTGATGACTTTGCAGTTTTCCGTTCACGCCGCAGGACCTTTTCTGACGCAGAGACTCTGTAATGTGTTTTGTAGACGTGCTGTTTATTATACTAGTAGTAGCAACGATGATTAATCTTGAAAGTCGCACTTTCGATTTAGAGGGTATACGCAGAATCTTGAAGTGAAGACTCGGAAGCACGTCTGGCCGATGTAAACCCGCCTCCCGAGTAGGTCTGTGAGAATGAGAATGAGCTACGAAGTCTCCCGTCGGGAGGAACTGGAGAGCGGTAAAGCGTCCGAAAGAAGAGGGTTGGTGCACACTGCACACGCAGGATTTAGAGCAGCAGTCGTGGGGTAGGAGGAGCTCGCAGTGCGAAAGCGTTGATGTGTGATGTGATTTGCTTTTCGAGCCGCGTCTTGAAAGCCCTGTGGGCAGAAACGCGGCGCAAGGGCTTCCTCCGATGCTCGGAGACAGAGTGAGAAGAGGTTACATCGTAGTGATGAAAGACCGAGCAAAGGGACTGAAAGCGGAGAACTGGAGAGCACCCTTCTTGTCCTTGCAATTATGTACTGATTTCTGCGCACCCAAGCGTCTCCACATGGCTTCGAATTCGGTTGACTGTGCTCTGGTACTTGACTGGGTGGTAGTGTATGATTTTTTTGCGGTCGATGTAGAATGTACGTAGAGCTCCGGTCGGATTGTGACATTCGCTGGTGTCTGCATGCCTTATGAGATCTCGAGAGGTTCGATGGGTCATTCAAGTTGTGAAGAGGAGACCGTATTCGAGGTTCTAGCCCTCATATATCATGTCCAATACCTATCAGTAGCTGCTATATAAGAGGAGCAGTAGATAATACCAGGATTGCAGATGCGACTTGGAAGGGGACAAGCAGCTATAGACAGCTGCAGGATTGCTACTGGCAGTGGCTACGTCGTTTACAAGTCTAGGCAAGCACATGAAGCAGGTCCTTGTACATGTAGAGTTTCCCAAGCTTCAAGTTGACACGTGTTTGCTTTTGCCACCGAATCCCATCGCGATCGCAGTTACTACACTGGCCTGCAAGTACGACGGTCTATCGATACATCTATCTCTTGTGCATAATCCTCTGTTGGTTCAGCCCTAGGCGAGCCCGTGCTTCGCGAAGGTTCAGCGGAGAACAGGAAACGGGGCACAACGGATGTCTATGGATCCTCCGAGTCGATACTGAAGACTTCTTCTAGTGCTCGCCGACTAAAGAACTAGCCTCTTTGGTTGCTAGAGCACTGACCGTGTTCCGAGTGCCGCGTAGGCCAGAGTCTCTTGCATGTTGGCACAGATCTCAGACCTCTAACTCATGGAATGCAAGTCTGCCTTACTGGAATGCTTTCGGTCTACATTCACGGACTCAAGTATCCACTGACCACTTCCATCCTATATTCGGTTCCTCCGACTCCAGGAAGACTGGTCCCAGTCCAATCTCCTCGCCGAGCTGGTCCCTCCTCGCCCTGACCGCCCAGAATGGCATCTTGTAGGCTACCTCGGGCCCGTGTCCGGCCATTATCCACGTGTAGCTATAAGTCACGTCCAGCGAGAAGTATCCCTCGAACAGCTCCTCGCCGCCTTCTCCGACCCACACGCGCTGCATCTTGAACACGCCCTCAGCGTCGCTGACGCCACAGTAGCCAAACCGGGTCGACGTTCTCCCGGACATACCTGCGCCCCTCGGCGGGCTCAGCTCGGGTGCAGGCAACAGCGCTCTCTCGTCTTCGCTGAAGGTCAATGGGTCCTCCATCTCGATGTGGATGATAGAAATCTCATATTCATCTTTCGAGATCGGGTCGAAGATAGTGTCGGTCCTGAAGCGGCCTTGATCTCCGTCCAGGAAGATCCGCGCGCTGTACTCGTGCCTCAGCTGGAGCTCCCAGATTTTCTCGTACACCTCTTTGTACCGCACCGTGGCCGTCTCTGCACCGTCGGGCAGGTAGGCTTCCTTGAGCGATTCCAGCTCACAACTGTACAAGTCCATGTTGCCGGAAAAGATGCTCGACGCTCCTTGCTCTGCCTCCTCGCTTGCTTCCCTCGCCCCTCGCGACTTGGGAGTCTTGCGCGTGCGGCCTGCTGGCCTGCGAGCTGTTGGTTTCGCGGGACTCGAAACCCCGCTGGCACGGCTCTTCTTTCTCTGTCGTATGGTTAGGATCGCGCGAGAAGAATACGATGTGCGCGCTCACAGTGACACGTTTCGTCATCGGAACTGGGTAATGGTTGGTGAGATGGTCGAAGTGTAGGTGGTTGATTGAGAGGGGTACTGGTGCGCCGCATGCCTTTTATATGTCGAGTGGTGTGGCTTGTGCCCGTGACATTGTGGCACTCGAGAAGCGCGGCAATCTGATGGGCCACAGAACAAGTGGCAACAATCTGCGCACGACCGTGCCAGATTTGGCTTCCCTTGTACCGCTGCGGCGCATGGAAGCGGGGGAAGTATTGCGCAGTAGAACCATCGGGGCCTAATGCATTATAATCACCCTGCGGGACGCGAACACATGCCCTTGCTGTTGTAAGTCACTCTGACGCGCTCATAGATTGGTCACCACGTCGATCTCCGCGGACACTCTCGTGTTTCAAGCACAGCATCCAACTCTCAGCCACTCGTCTCGTTGCGCATTGTCCCTCGCGCATTGTCCACCATACCAAAAGCGGATTTTTAGGTGAGCTTGACTCTTTGTGTGTCGATGCCTGACACATACGGAAGACGTAGGCGAAGACGCCGCGTTCTGCTGGCATGAACGCTTTCATACCGGCCAAATTCACTTGCCGCAAAGCAGCAGAATCGACCGGTAAGTTGGATAAAGCCGCCCTCTCAGTAGATTCGGATGAGGTGTCCAAGCGAGGGGACACCGCTGTTGCAACGGTGAAAGAGGTGGAATAGCGGCCGACTTTAACGTTCCGTCAGCCTACCGCGCACCCGGAGAAGGTATCTGGAACGGCTTATACTGGTAATTGCGACTTCTGCTCTGCGAATTTGCCGTTCCGGCGCAAGGCTTCCCTGCCGAAAGATGGCTTGGAGGGCATGTACATCGATCTTTATAACAATATCCTCGCGTGACAAGCCAATCCCGATTACACCGCTCAAGCCTTCCTGCCGCGTCTATACTCTGTTGGAAATGAAAGAGCACCAGGTTGTTTTCGCTGTCGGCCCATCCCGATGGCGGGCCTGCCGTACGAAACAGAATTGAATCTACTCAAGAGAAGCCGTCTATCACTTCATCGAAAGCGAGGACTTTTCCCCCTATCACCAGGTCCTCACCCCGCAGGACGATGAGATTAGCTCTGCTAAGGGCGCGTTCGAGAAGCACGCTTGGGTCGGCGGCGAAGGTCAGGCGCCGTTTAAGGGATTCTTGTCATTTATTTGGGAGTACAGCAGACTAAGAAAGAGAACAAGACGTGGGAGCGGTAAGACTTACAGAGTCTTTTCGGGTGGTTGGGTTGAGGGATGAAGGGATCGGGAAGGTGCTTGGGGTAGGTTCGAAGCTCGTTTTCAGGTATCGTAATTTACACCGTCTGATTATATCCGACTATGTCCGCTCTATATCTACAGAGATCGTGCTTGTCCGCTGATTGTACCCCTGGAGTGACTTGCTGAAGGTGAGCAGCTGATCGCTTCATTTCGCACTCTGACCGTTCCTCGACCTGATAGCCCAGAATGCCATCCTATACCAATTGGTCTCGTTTTCGCCAACTCCCGGGAAGCTATCGAGGTCCCCACTCTTCGCCATGTCCACCTTCTTCCGCATCTCGCCGAATGAAAAGAATCCCTCGAATAATTCTTGACCATCCTTTCCTTCCCAGACGCGGGTCATCTTCAGTACTCCTTCCGCTCGGTCTGTCGCGGTGGCGGACACACCGGCCTTTAGGACGACCGAATTCGGGCAGGGGAAGAAGGTTATCTCGTCCGGGCGGAAGATCAAACGCCTCTCCGCCTCGAGAGACTGCACGATTATCTCATATGTCCCCGCCGTACGCGCATGTCCTGGCGTAGGATCGGGCTGCAGCCTGCAGACGAAGCCGCCAACCGGACTCTTGGACGGCGAGGATGAAGATACCCGGGGTGTCGGCAGGAAGATGCTGCCTGTCCGGTCGCCCTCAGCTTGGCGCTTCAGAATAGCGTCGTGCAGGTCCTGGTGTCGCATAGTCGGAGCGCCTTTGGGAAGGTATACCTGCCTCAGGTTGTCGATGTCGCATGACCACAGGTCCATGCTGCCTGAGTATATCTCGATTGGTAGTGGCTCGTCCTAATTAGAGGATTGGTTGGATGTGCGATACGGGCACTGCGACGGGCGGATGCTCACCTTGGCAGGGTCGGCCACAACTCTGATTTGAGGATGCATCGTTTGCGCTTCGAATGCGGGTGGTGGCTGCTCCTGACCCAGGCGACGTCGTCAGTTCATCACGTTGGCATAGATATTGTGAGATACTTACTCTGGCTGGAATTGTTGAGCCCTTGACTTGGTTAGCTCGGACATGTTCAAATTGGGCCCCGGAACGTCTCGCTTTCGTCACGTCCGTCGCATCGTCGGAAGGCAACCTAGTCCGCTTGCCACTTCCCGTGCGCGAATTGCAAGTACTTGAAGCCGTTGGTCTGGATGAACTGACGCCTTGAAACGATCGTCCGTCTCGGCCGTCACCGGCTTTGTCGAATTTGGCCCTCTTTCGCCCCTTGCCCTGAGAATGCATGGTCGTCTGCGCGATGGCTGGACCGGTCGCAGCGTGCGGTCGGTCGACGTGCTTTGCCATGTCATCGGGAGATCTGGCTCTCTTGCGGCGTGGCTCCCGATATACAGTGGGCGCTAGCGCAGCTCCTGCAGAAGGATGACCTAAGACGAGCCTCCCGGGATGGGTGTTAGCACCGGGCACTGTGATTCTCTCCCCACCGGTGGCGTTGGCAGCGTTTACAGCTTGCATTCTGCTCTCGCCGTAGAAGGATCTTTCTGGACGCCTGTCAGTATTTCCAGGCTGGGCCGCGCTCCCTTGGCTTGCTGCCTGATATGGATCGTACGAACCATGAGGATTCCAAGTGGCGGTTGTGGCCCCCATTCCTGAAGGTGGATATCCTTCCGCTTGCACGTAAGTGCTCTGAGCAGTCCAGACGCTTTGGGTGATCGGGTACTCATGGGAAAGCCAGGTTGCGGGCGCGTAGGCTGAAGGAGGACCGGTATGGTAATATTGTCCTCCTGAAGGGAATGTAGCGTGAGGAGGCTCGTGAAAACCCATCGACGGCCCAGCTCTCGGGATCGTGTTTCCCACTCCATGCAGTCTAGTATCCCGAGAAGATTCATGATTGTACACGACCTGATGCGGGTAATATGGATGTGAATTGTGTGGCGTTCGGACATGCTTGGCTGGGCTTTTGGCACCGTAAGAAAGGAATCGAAACGGACTCAAGGATACCCATTAGTATCAGGACTTACTCGAGTATCCTTCGGCATCGTACGTGTATAATAACCAGATAAAAGTGTAGGGTGATGGAGGTCGTGGTCAAGCAGTGACACGAGTTGTGGTGCCCTTTATATGTGGCGTGTGGCGTAAGTGAGCACAAAGGGCACCGACCAGGGTGTGAGATCGGTCAAAGCGCATTTGCTTTGCTTTCCTCATCATTATGGGGAACAGTGGCCAGACTTTGAGATACCCCTGTACATTCCCCTAATGCTGATCATCTGGCAGTATCTCGCAACTGGGTGTGCATGCTTCGTGGCATACATACGCTCAGGTTAACAGTGACATACGACCAGAGAACAGTCCCATCTGATTGCGCACAGCTACGGGAACGCTACATCATACTCTAGGACGTCACAAACTAGGCCTTCGTACGAGACACCTTTGACCTCCGCTCATCTCCAGCATCAACCTCATTACGCATACTTGCGCTGCGCTTTGACGTCGTCTTCGAGGTGGAACGCCACGGCTCGTTCTTATAGTCACGAGGAACCTTACAAGGCTCCTTATCGTTGCCGGGCCAGTTTCCCTCGAGCAAGTGATCTCTAAAAAGGTTAACCATGTGCTTGTGGTCTCGCAAATATCCTGCCACTTTCTCGTACTCCTCTCGAATCTTGTGAAGGTCAACGGGATCCGGTTTATCATCTGCCCTATACCTCCGGTCTAGCAAGAAAACTTGTTTCCGTGGCCCTTGTGGATATGTGACTTCAGGAAGAGGCCCAGCGGCCGAAAGAACTTCCTGACTGTCTTCGTGGAGGCGGTAACGTGCTTGGAACCATTTGAAGAGTGTGCTGACGATGACCTGAAGGCTCGGGCATTGGAATTTAAGCTCGAGTCTTCCCGCCAAGAAACTCTTTATCTTGTGCGCACCGCCGCAGATCTCGCCATTCTTCTTCTCGACGTAGTCGAAGAACTTGCTCATAAAATCCCCTACAGAGAGACAGCCGTCGGCTGGCAAGTACTGGACTGCCTCGTAGATCAAGACGTGCAAGAAAGATTCGAGATCGTCCTCCAGTTCATGGGACTTGCAGGGGTCGTCAAGCAGTCGTCCGGACATAAATTGCCATGTGCCCTGGATCCCACAGACGCGGTTAAATAGGGCTACTCGAATGTGACGTAGAAAATGGGCACGCACCGTCCTGTCGGCTTGTCTGGCACCCTGGATATCTATACTCTTCGACAGATCCCAGTCGTTCAGCAGCCCACTTGTCTCAATCTCGCCGTCTGCGTTTCGCGTTCGCAAGATTAGAATGTTCCCGGCACTAACGTCTCTATGAAGAATGTGTGCTTCGCCAAAGGCCTCGGCATGCGCTAATGCGAATATAAGCCTCGCAAACGTTTGAGAGATTACCGATCATCGGGGAAAACACGTACCACAGATGCATTCGTAGATCACCTCGACCAGTTCCCTCGAATCGGTGAACTCCTTCAGGTTTTGTCCAATTTCCTTCACCACCAGACGGTAATGCACGTGTCGCTTCATGGCATTAAATGCGCCATCCCGATCGCACCAATGATCCGGTGACGATGTGGTCTGACCTGCAACATCCCCGTCGCAAACCAATGTGGGCACGAAATGAACGTTCGCCTTGTTCAACTGACGCAACGTATCGCCCTCCTTCAGCAGATTCGGAGAGTCTACTCGCCAGCAATCTTTCAGAAACACGAACCGACGACCCGAGACGTCCCAGGCAATATAGCCACGAGTGGCCCGGCCTGTGAGGCCAGCAGTGGGGGTATGCGGCTGGCCCACTAGGAAATAGCGAGGCTCAGTGGCTGGGATCTCTCTTGTCGAGGATGCAGGAGCGCTGTCAGAAGGAGGGGGATCGACTGTGACGTCGACGCGTAGTTTATACCATGGCCACGATGGGTCGAAGGAGTTCTTGATGTAATTCAACTGGTATGGCTGCATATCTTGCGTCTGCTTCAGGGCGGTGGTAATAGTCTCATATTCCGCGGAGTCCTTTACAATCTCCTCGGCGGTCTCGTCATATCCCTGCTCCTTTGGACTAGCATTGACGAACCTCCAGATGAAATCAGAGAGAAGTTTGGGTTTATCAGCGTAGTTGATCTTCTTAGAGAACACCGCGCCAGAGCGGTCCCAACGAACAAACCGGGCATAGTGACCGAGAATGACGAGCGAGAACAGATGCGTACGATGTTGGTATGCAAATATCTCTGCCGCATATCCTATGATCTGGCCGCGAACGTTCCTTCGCTCATCAGAGTCGGCACCGTCAGGCAACTCGTCATCGTCCTCAAAGGGATCCGACTTGACCGTATTCGCCTCCGTCTTGAATTCGGCGAAGAGTGCGACCCGGTCCCAACGTGGATTCGGTGTTACGTCCTTTGGCCTGGGGGGTACGTGATCCTTGTGGTAGAGACCCATGTCCATCATCTGGTAACCCCTATCCTGAGTATCTCGGGAGTCCTTCTTGGTGGCAGTATTCACAAATACGTATTCCGACTCCTTGGTCTTCTTGTCCTTTTTGCCAAGACCCGCCGCCTCAACGCAGTTGATCTAGTCGAGAGTGAGGAGTCAAGATACGAGGGGCCGCAAGAGCAACCATTGAATAGTATTGACTCACAAAGACATCATACATCGCTTTCTCACTAGCGCACTTCTTCATGTGCTTGAATGCTCCGCGACAGTCTGGTCTATCCTCGCGAGCCACGGGCAGGAACTTTTTCAGGAATTCGTCAGCAGGCATGGGACCTGCGAATTTGTTCGTCATTGCTAGAACGTTTTGCTGCTTCTTGGACTTGGCGTCGGGTACAGTGGCCGAATATGGCTGGAAGCCAGCGGGCGCGTTCTTGCGAGGCGACGAATCCGTTAGAGACGAGGACATGGTGGGAGGAAAGAGTTAAGCTCACACGGCAAAGGTCTTCTCGTTATATATGTTCAGAATGCGGTCCTGCGGGGAATCCCGCTTATCGATCAATCAGTGCAGGCGCGCCTTTGTTCTGCCACGTTTCGGTCGCGAAGACCTATCACGAATGCTTGACGCGTGATATACCCTCCTGAGCAACTATCACGGACTTAAGCCACGTCAACAGCGTTACTTGCACAGTAGTACACCCGGTGGAAAGGTTGAGAATAGAATAGGATCCGGAAAAGGCTGTGGTAATCACGGTGGCGAGCAGGACGCGTGTAGGTATGAGCAGCGTGACCTCGCGCGTCGTCTTTGTGACACGTCACGTGTGGGTCCACCTCGTGTCGCCATTGGTTACGCAAGTAAGATTGACCCGTGAATGGATTCAGACGACAGCGGAAGGAGTTCGAAGAACTCGCTCGAGCAAGACAGTCACGTCAAACGCCGAGGACGATCCTCCAGCATCCGGTTACTCGCCCTCACTCGGCCACGCGTCGACTCAGGCTTGCGCTGCTTATGTGAAGAACAAATGTCGCATGGTCCATACCCGGTCCGTGTCTAGATAATATGCCTAAGGTACAACATTGACCAATTCAAGGGGGTAGTTCTTTTGCACCTGTTGAAATTCTCGCTTTCCACCATGCCATCTAAAATTTGGAATTTTCGTATCTCTGGGTCTTTCCCTGGCAAGAGCGAACTCTCGATAGCACACCAACATTCCACTTTAGGTCAACCGAAGATACCATCAAGAAGAGTATACGAAAATGCCTGGTAACTTCAAGTTCGTCGGGCAGCTAGCCCTCGATGAGCTTCTGGACAAGTTCTTGCGCGTCGGTGACACTGACGACCCTCAGTGCATGTAATGATATGATTCACGAAATGCAAATGGAATGAGAGATGTATGAGATGTTTGTGCATGGGGTGTGCTGACCCGCCGCCCTGGCCATACATCAAGATCTGCGGGACGAACTCATGCCACCTGCGTCACCGATAAAAGTTATGTCCGGACTCCGGGCTATATATCTGTGTCTACGCCTGACACCTTTCCACATAAGGGGACGAAGATACTTGGCAAGCATAGAGTGAAGGTGGCTTTGTATCGTGATGGGGACGCACCGAAGTGTGCGGTGATATGCCGAAATTGGGTAGGATCGTATGGTCGAGTTCCGGAGCCACGGAACCTCTATGCTGCGATTTGCTTGAGAACTATGCCAAAAACCAGATGTAGCTAATCTCTAATGATCAATTGACCTCGGACGCTGCTCCAATAGCACAGTTGGTCCGAGTCCGCCGACAGCCTTCCCATAATTTCTCCGTTCTTATCCTGTATGATCATCGCAGAGTAATACGGCTCGATCGCACAGTTTCTTTATTTACAGGAAAACCTTGTCTACACCGAATATCCCAAATAGCTCTTCACATTCCTTTGGTATTTCGTCCATCTCGATGAACGGCAGCAAGGGTACGATGAGACCGCGCGATCATGGAGGACTCCACTCTACAGAATATTATGATGATGATGATTGCGGACGGGAGCAGGTCGGGTGATAATGGTGTTGAGCGCCCGGAAGCCTATGGACTGGAATACTTCAAGGCATCGTGCGCCGACTTTTCGCTCGTGTGGAAGTCGCGGGTCGATACCCCGATACCTGGCCATGATTCGGTGGTCTCCGAATCGAGTCCGGACACTAGCTCAGGTTCGAGCGATACGGTACGCTCACCGCGATTCGTCACTTTCTCGTCGAAAAACCTCAGTTGACTACGCCTGGTCTGACACCGCGCCACCCGCGGCTATGCATATATGATCTGGACCTGGAGAGCAACAAGCTGGTTTAGGTCAAAGACTGCTGGCGCGTTGACATCCCAGAAATGACTCGGATGACAGGCGACATCATATGCAGCACCGAGGAAAGAACTGTGAAATACATAGCTTGCACTCGATGGAAGGACAAACTTCCAGTGGCACCGCAATTGCAGTGGGCGGGCCTATGGTCGACCCTCGGAAGAATAGCGTTAGGAGTGGATCGCAGACGTGACATTTTGCGGCGGGCATGGCGGTAATGCATCGTCACCCTCGTATTCTTGTCGTTGACTATATTAGAGGATAACCAAGGCCTCAGCTGTCTATATGGCGCTTCTGGGATTGACGACTGTAATCAAATTAAATAAGCAAGGGGCGTGTATGTACCCAACCTGGTACGCACATCCACCGGATCACGACATATGTGGCTGATGTCGTCCGTGCAGTGTGATTATTGATAGCCAGGCCAGGCCGAAAGTCATGATCAGAGAACCCGAGGCCGTCACGCCGCCGGCAGACCAGTGTGGAAGCAGGATCTGATTGGATCGGCATTCAGGGCCGTAGCGAAATGGGTTCTGATATGATTCGGCACGAGTCACTTCGGATATATAACTCGAGATAATACTGTAAAAGCAGTTTATGATGTTGTAACTCCCAGCATTGCTTCCACCGCCAACCTAGCCAACGTGCTATGGCCAGCGAGGAAACCCCCTTGCTCGTCAGCGAGGCCGCACAGCAGAAGGCTCACGACGCGTTGTACGATCGATTCTCAAGAAGCCAGAAAAGGGCGATTGTTGCGGTTGTTTCTTGGGCGGGATTGTTACCCTGTCAGTTGCTCTACTACTACTCTGTTTCACACCATGTACTGACATACACTAAGTCTTCGTTTCAGGATCTTTCGTCCCTTCCATACCACAGATAGCTCGGGATTTTGACTCCACGGGGGCCGTTATCAAGTGAGCCTCAATTCATGACGTCCGAGGTCCATCATCTGACGGATGATACAACAGTTTGGCCGTAAGTCTATCTATATTGACGACAGCATTAGCAAACCTCCTATGGGCGAGATATTCTAGTTTCTGTATGCGTATCCCAACTTTCGCTAGAACCTCGCTCATGCATGCCTTGTGCAGACGGTCGCAGACCGATATACCTGTTCTCATACCCCTTTCTCTGTATTGGGTCTCTGGGCGTGGCTTCAGCACGTGATGTCACCGAGTTAATGTCATGGCGTATCGTGCAAGCATTCGGAGCATCCAGCGGAATGTCCACGGGTGCCGCCGTAATAGGTGACATCTATCGCCTGGAAGAGAGGGGGACTGCCATGGGCGTATTTTTTGCGGTGAGTTGCTGATGTTCTTTGACCTTACAAACGCCTCATTCTGATACAATCCGTTTACTGTAGGCATGCCTGCTTGGACCTGCGCTCGCCCCGCTTGCCGGGGGCCTAGCGGCCCACTATGCCTCATGGCGAGTTATGCAGCTCGCGCTGTTTCTCGCAGGATTGAGTGCGTGGATATCGGTGCTTTTGTTATTGCCAGAAACCGTGCAGCCCGACTCGCAAGGCCTGCCGCGGTACCTCCGGGAGAAGGGCAAGGAGGTGAACAGCTGGGTGTGGGTCTGGCTGAACCCGTTCAAAAGCCTGTGGCTACTGAGAAGTCCGAACGTCTTGGCAGTGGTGAGTACTGTAAAATGGGTCACTGGAAACATGTTCAGTTGACGTATCAAAGACTTTGGCAGGCACCTTCGTGTTGATGACGGACTTCGGTGCGTCGAGCGGCCCTTTCATGACTCCTCCCCCGCATGCTGACGGAACTGCTGCAGTGCTCTTGACTCCACTAGCTTATACCGTCGTGAGTGAGATATTCCGTACTTACGTCTATCAATCGCGCTGACTTGGGTGCAGGGAGTCCGATACAACATCAAAAATGAGGCATTGATCGGTGCGTTCTTCCTACCCGCAGGCCTGGGTAACGTCAGTGAGTCGTCATTCGTGCGATCCCCCCGTCTACCGCCTGAGCGAATATCCGTAGTTGGTGCGCCTCTCGGGGGAAACATATCCGATAGAGTGGTGGCGCGATGGAGGAAGAAGCGCAAGGGAGAATGGGTCCCTGAAGACCGGCTGCGTGCGACCTATTGGGGAGCGCTGGTCCTCGTACCCGTGTCGATTCTCCTGAGCGGGCTTGTAACGCAATTCGTTGATGGGACGCCGGGCATCGTCCTGAACTTGATCTGCCTGTTCGTCAACGGCATCGGGGTATGTCTGCATTCGCCATCCAGTATCCGGTGACGTCTGACCCACGAGCACACGACAGATCGACATCGTGCTGAGCCCGTCGAACGCGTATTACGTCGACGTCCTGCACAGGCAGAGTGCGGAGGTCATCGCAGCCAGCGGGTACGTCAGAACTTGCACCTACTCGCGTGCAGAGTAAACGGACTGATCCACATGCGCATGAACCACAGCGCGTTTCGGAGCATCATCCTGGCCGCCAGCACCGCCTGCGTCCTCCCTCTGATCAATCGCATCGGCGTGGCCGCGACGGACGCGCTGGCAGCCGCTATCGCGTGGCTCGGCTTCGTGTAAGTGCTATCGTCGGACTGAATGCCTGGCGATGGCGATGCTCACCTCGCGCACGCATCCACACAGACTGCTCTGGTGCACGATACGATACGGGGGCAAGATGCGGGCGTGGTTGGACGTGGGGTACTCGACGATCCAGGATACATAGCTTCATTTGGTATTCGACATAGACAACTAGATCTGCAGCTGCTCATTTGGGCAAGCATTCTTATAGGAAGGTCGGGAACGTGGACGGCGGTATGGAGGCAAAACGTGCCTGATGGGCTGGGGTTGTTCTGGCCATCGCCCGGGCCCACTCAGATATCCAGATATCTGCGCGGGGCCTTCAGACACCGCCTCATTTTGCACGGTTACGGCAGGTCAGGCTCCAAGGCTTGTGCTGTGCATTTTACGATTGGCAGCGGCTGTGCGGGGTAGGTGCTTCTCAGCCTCTATCAGTTCTTGGCAACGATGTCCACGTTCCGCCGGACCTCGAAGATAGACTGGTCTTCTGCAACCATGCAGAAGCGTGCTCCCATGCGTGGCCAAGGGGGAGTGCCGAGAAACATGCCATAATTGGGGAACGCAAGAGTCGAGGTTCAGAGAATCACCGGGAGCAAGACGCCAGCCCTCTTCCGTAGAGACCGTAGACGTGAGAAGCGTGGTGGAGCTGTTAGGCAGAGGTGCCAGATCGAGGGACATAGAGCAAGTCTGTATGAAGGGAAAGATTTCATAAACCCTGGTTGATCGATTCATTCTAACTGCGGAGAACCACGGTCCACGGTTGTACGGGAGAGAGACGGCCATATACGGATGCCATTCATTCCTGCTTCTAAGATTAGCTGTTCGCGACTAACCGCCTCCTACCGTGATGCGTATAGCCTCAAGCACGAGCGGGCAGCAGAGTCGAGGTAGAAATTTTGAGCCTAGTGTTAATGTGAATCGAGTGGAATTTACCTTTGTCAGGGCTACAACTTGAATGGATTTCTAGGGCAACTGACCGTCAGGTTGGAGTTCCGGTGCCCAGCATCCATCTACGCTGAGATGTAACAGGGCTGTAGACATTACAGGCGCCCTCTCCTCGCCAAGCTCAGTGGTGTGTCGTCCTGGGCTGCGAGGTTATAAGAACCGACCGAGCCATTTCGACATTCCCCGTATGTCCGAGGGACGTTGCAGACAGTCTGTCCTTGAGAGAAATGGGCGATGGTGGGACGCCAAATTTTATCGCAGGAGGGAACTCGCCGAGAAGTGGGTTGCAAAAATAAGGGGGTTTTCCGGATAGCGACAACTAGAGGGGGCACCGATGGAACATGGAAGAACAAACGTGAGAAAAACATATACAATCCCAGCGTAATCGGTCGATCTTGGGACGATTGCGGTTTTCGGGGTCCCGCCACGATGAGGTGCAGCGGCCCAACACGCGGAGAAGGCAGACTCGTGTCGTGCGATGCAGAACCGCTCAAAATCTGGAAGCGTGGCTTGAAGCCATCCGCTATCTCCTCCGTCTTGATACTGGCGACCGTTACTCTTCCGTCATCGTCCTCGACAGCGACCAGGCGTGCGTTGTTGACGACAGTCAAGCTCATGGTAGCGGTAGTTTAGTGTTGGCTTCGCAACGAGGACAAAGCGGTGAGTGCGCCTTCTCTTTTGTCCCGCGGAAGCCCTGTTTCTGCCTTTATGTAAAATTGAGGACTGACTGTCTTGATCATCTTGATATTCGCCGGACAGCGAGGCATCTCGGTTAGGCACACCGCTATTATACGAAGATGGACACGGACGCATCGGGTTCTTCTCGTCCGGACACTCAAACCGCAGTACTCGAGCCGCCAGGTTCGAATTATCTACAAATTTCTTCTTATTTTGACGATTCCATCACGGGATACGCCCCTTCATCCTATCGCCAGCAGTCTCCGTCTCTCGATCTATGTGGATTTTCCTGCGACTCTAACGACGTCCAGCGCGCCAACGGGATTATTGATTTACGACAAAGCTCGGGATACACAACTAGTCAGAAAGGCTTCTGTACCAATCCTTCCTGTATCCTGCCTTCACCGCCACTTACCGGCTCTGATCTCAAACGTACGGTTCCGTTGCCGCACGTTCACACCTTCACGGCGCCACACCATCACGCCCGCTTCAGCCACACCAATTGTTCCTCGAACATGCACCCGAACGACTACGCGCATTACGCACCTCCGTCTCCTCCGTTGACCATCCCGCTGGGCAGCCAGTCTCTGCCCGATACCGGTGACCACCTCGTATCGAACTCTGCTTTCAGCCAGCCGTCGTCTTCACGTGCCTCTTCTGTTCTGGAGCGCCAGTCAACTCTGGACTCTCCAGAGCTGCTCACGCCTGTTTCCCCCGCGTGGCACTTCCCTTCGTCATCCAAGTCGGAATTGGGCAGCATACTGCAGGATCCGCTAGAGTTCGAGTCTGAGCCCCAGGCTTTTGTGCATGACCTGCGTTCACCACCAATGCAACCTGATTCTCTCCCGCCGTTCGAGGATTTCCCTGGACAGAGCGAGTCGTGGGAGGCAAGGAGGTTGCGCCAGCCGGAGCTCCATTCGTTCCCGGGCTGGTCAAATAGTGGTGATGCGTTCGAATCAGATTCAGAACTCGATGAAGAACTATTACGTCCTCCAGAGTCCCCTCGACCTCGATCCATGTCCATGGATCTTCCTCCTGACGATTTTCCATACGGGCCACACCACACGTCTTCTGAGCTATGCTTCAATTCGAGTTTACACGGTCAATCAAGTACGGGCAGAGACCCGCTATCGTTGTCTATCGACAGTCTATACTCGAGCGACAGGGAAGTGCACCCGCCTCCTTCTGCCAGAAGTCCGGTGTTACGTCTCCGTGCATGTCTGGACTCGGACGAGTCATTCTCCAGCATGGAATCCGTAATGCCTACGGAAGAAAATGAATACACCTCTTCCCTAACACTTCCCCCTATGCCTTCCCCGCTTCCGCCATCATCGTCATCAGACTTTGATCTCCCCTTGTGCTCGCCTTCACCTTCGAGGAGATCTTTTACCTCCCTTCCCGATCCAGATCTGGAGTCGGACAATCCCTATTGCCCCACACCATTAGCATCGTTAGACTCCCCCTCAAGGAGGAGCTTCACGGCTCTCCCAGAGTTCGATAACGCAGATGAATTTGGTACCGCGCCTTTCTATTCCGTTCCCGAACCGCAGTCGCAACCGCAGTGGGCGTCGCCGCGACAAACGCTGCTGTCTCTCCCGGGAGTCGACACGGATGAAGAGCTCTTCCCGCCCATCGAACCCGACACCCAGGGAGAGTCGGAGACGCTCATGCAGAACGACAACGGTCTCCTCCTCCACCACCCAGCAGACGGCCCCTCGCGCGACGACGAAGCGGAAGTGCTCGCATCTATACCCCTCGCGCTCCGCGCCGACCCCGAGGTGCGCGCCATTGCCTCCCTGCGCGGGCGCCTCCTTGCGTCAGAACGACACGCGCGCACGATCGAGTCCGCGTTCGCGGGGCGCGTCGCGCAGACGGGCAAGGCGCTCCTCGCGTGCACGTACAGCAGCCGGCAGCAGCAGCAGTGCGAGGACGACTACGTTGGGTTCGACGTGATGGCGCAGCTGCGCCGCGAGCTGAAGGACGAGAAGGACAAGCAGGGCATCGCGAAGCGCGTAAGGAAGAAGGAGAAGGAACGCGGAAGAGAGGTGGGCGCGTTGCTTCGGTTGAAGGTGGCGCAGATGACGGGACCGGGCGAGATGGATGTTGATGAGCCTGGGCACGTGCACGTGCATGGACATGGACATAAGGGCAAGCATCGGGACTGTTGTGGGCATGGGGGTGTCTTCACGAGTGTTCACCAGCTTGTGGCGAAGATGGTGTTTAAGCGCCGGGAGTCGTACAGGCCGTTGACTAACAGGAGGGCGAATCCGTTCAGGCGGAGCAGATCGCCCCTCCCGCGCTCTGTAATTATTGCGGATTTCGAGGGTGGTTTGGAGGATTAATGATCTATGGTGAGTCGCGATCTCCTCTGCGTGACTTCGCTAGCTGACTTAGGTAATTGAGGTTGCAGAAGAGAAGACCCACAGACCTGTACAGTATCAACCGTGTTCTATATGCTTTGCATTGCTATTTGTATCTCATAGTGGCATGTTATCTATACCCTATGTGCATCCCGCTCAATCCTATCCTTTAATATCAGAACACGTAGGTTAACGCTCCGAATAAGTTACAAGGCGTACAACAAGCACTAGGAGGTGAGTGGTTTCATACATAATCGAACATATAGGGGTATAGATAGTCGTAATATATACTGAAGCATGTTTAGGTCAAAGGGCCACCCGGAGCTGGGTAACCTTGGGTCTCGATTTCGTGAGACAGGGCAGGCTCGCCATCTTCGACGTGGGGCTGAAGCTCCGTGTGCTTGACACCACGATGCTCGAGAGCGTAGGCCCGACATGCCTCCCTGCTCTGCTCCAGCTGAGGATCTTCGCGATCGAGCGCAAAGATAGTGAAACCTGGGAAGTTGTACTCCAAGAGAGCCTTGAGATCGGGCAGGAGCGCCTTATCGGGCGCGTACGTGCCCGAGTTGTTATCGATGACCAGCTCCCAGTTCGTCTCGCTGTCCTGTATGTCGTCGCTGAAGTTCTCCCACCCGCCGCGCGGGCGAGGGTGGAACTCGCCGCTGTAGCGTACGGCCTCGGCGCAGTTGCTGTGCAGCGCGTGCTTGGACGCAAAGTCGACGAAGAAGGCGGCGCCGGTCTCGGAGAAGCGGAAGGAGTCATCCTCGACGGCGATGATGTACGTGTACACAGCGGGCTTGACGCGGTGCTCGAAGCGGGTGTCGTTCTGCCCGCGCCGGTTGCCGCCGTGCAGGATGGCGAGGACGTCCTCCGGCCCGTTGATCACACCAAAGCCGTTGGTCGTGCTCCGCGCGTAGAGCATGCGGTGCCCCGCCTGGATGCCCGAGCGCACGGCAAGGGAGGTGCGGCCTTGGAAGATGGTCTGCGCGGATTTGTAGTTGACGTTCCAGTGCTGGACCCGGTCGCCGAAGAACAGCTTGACGCCTGTGCTTCGATGAGTGAAGTCTGAGGCGGAGGGCGGGTTCTGCCTACCTTTGATGTACATCTTCCACGTGCAGTACAGTCGCTCATCGTTGACATTCGTGAGTCGGCCTACTAGAGGCGAGAAGTGGCGGGAGTACCGCACTGGGCCATCAAAAACATAGGGATGCAGGTGCGGATCGTTTGTAGAAGGCGTTGATTCGATCTTGGTCCGCGCACTTAGGGTTAATCAGCTTGCCCCTAGCAAGGACGTAGTCGTCGCTCACCTTGACCCAGAAAGTACCGCGATTGCGACTGAGCAGGGGCCCCTCAATCTCTGCCTCCTTGGTACCGGGCGAGATGCTGACGGAGAACTTGCCAATGTAATCGTCCGTGGGCGCGCCGTCGTCCTTGTCTAGCACCTGGACGTTCAGACTCGCGTGCACCGGCACGTTCTTCACCTTCCACAGCTCGTTCCACACCGGGCTGAGCGTGCGCGGCTGCACCGTCGAACTAAATGTAAGATCAACCTTAAGCCACAACGCCGAGCGCGCCAAGCTATAAATACGAGGACACCTATAAACACTCAACTCACATGAATTTGATCTTATCGTCGAGTGTTGCCACGAAATAGGGATCGCTGAGCCCGACCACGTCCAGCTTCGGTAGGCCCGATGCGCCGATGAACTGGATGGCGAGATCGACATAGGAGACGTGCAGATCCTTCTCCTGCGCGTACTCCCTCGCCACGCCCTCGATGTCGCGCGCCTTGTCTCTGGCCTTGTGCACTGCGCCATGGATCTGCTCGAGCATACTTGTGATGCCTATCGGGTTTCTGCGACCTGGCATGCAGATGTGGGTGGAGTATATGGTATCGGTATAAAGGGGGCCTCCTACTCTTGTTTATTCACCCGCTATAATGTCTGAATTGTGGGCCCGGGCAGTGCACACAAGAATTCGTTTGAGGAACCGTGCACAGCTCTGCTCGGAGATGATTGGAGTGTCTGGAGTCCTCCGCATCATCGTGCCGACGGGTCTGTTCAATGTTGGCTTGGACGTCTTGGACAACTCTACACCGCGATAACAGCGCTATGTAGACAACGTATACATTGGCCCAGTACAGAGGCTAGAGAAATGCTAATTGATACAGCACCATCGATCATATGTACACTATCCAAATGTCCATCCGGTTTCCCTCATTTGACAAGCCCTGGGCGAAACACGCCCGCGGTCGAGCTTCAGTCGGAGGTAGACTGTCCCTTCTGAAATGGCGGATGACTGGTCCCGGATCATACCCCGTATGCATGATCCCACCGGGGAGGTGCACGGCGCTATCAGCGTGCGCCAGAGCGATCTTTGTTATCCAATGCAAGCACTGAATATGCCGCGGCATAGTAGCGAAGGGGATGAGGATGGAATTAGATCCAGCAGAGCACCTCCACTGAGGCATATCGGACAAAGTTCATCCATCCGGGGTACCTGAGTCGCAAGGCATTAGACTCAGAGTACACCGTACACGCACCAAAGCAGACACCCTAACTGACCTAGCTTCCGGCCATATCTCTATCCTGTCCCCCGCCCTTAGCTCCTTCATCAGCGGATGGTCCTCGGGCTTCTCCCAGACAACCGTGCGCTTTCGCCAATGCTCATCCGCATGGCGATTGCGACAGATGTCCCAGCTGCCGACGCACTCCTCCCCGCGCCTTAGGACCGCGCGGAACCACGTCCAGCTGTTCTCGTACGAGCCCCAGTGCTCGGGGAAGCTGCTCCACCCCTGGTCGTGACTCTCAATCGTGATGACCACGCGCATGACCGAGCTCGTAGGCAGCGGCGGCGTCTGGACGTAGCAGCACGAGTCGCTCTTGACGACGATCTCGGTGCCCTCCTCGGCGTACACGCGTGTGTAGTACTCCGCCTCGTGCAGGATTGGGTCCACGAGCTCTAGTGGGAGGCGGCTCAGGAGGGCATAGCGGACGTCGAGGATGTCCTGTGTAGAGGGGCCTGATATCCCGGGATGACGGGGCTCTGAGATGAAGAGTGATGCGACCGCGGATGAGAGGGCAGAAAGTAGGCCAGCCATACTGTGGCAAGTGGGTATACAAAAGCTGTAGTGCCGTGTGGCACAGACGTTGTAATAAACGTAAGTACCGAGCTGTGCCCAGGGCGGTCCAATGACGTAGAGGTTCCCACCACGTGAAAAGTCACGCACGGCTGCCACAATCTTACAGTAGAGCCAAGGAAGAACCTGGAAGAACTCAAACACCTGGACCTGAGGTCTCTCAATAAGCGGATTTCGTCTTTTGGACCGCAGCAGCATTAAACTGAAAGTAACTTCACTCGGCCTTGCAGATGAAATCTTAATACGGGCCTCGCATCCTATTGACTAAGCTTTTCCATATATTATGCATTTGTAGAGAGTGCTTAGGCCCGATTCAGAGGATAGCATTGTATGCCGCCTTATCTGTTCGCTGACGGAGGAGTCAACAGATTGGAAACTTCCACAAGGACGAGATGGGGGAAGACGATCAATCGGTCTTCCAGTCCAAGGGAAAAAAGCTGAAAGCTCATTTAGAGCGGAGGTATTACCATCACCAGAATGTCCAGGATCTCTTGTCTGGGACTTCTGCTTCTTCCACTGGTCACAAGAGCGTGTACTTATTGGGTCAGCGATATTTAAGGAACCAGCCCAAAAGTGGTCCACGATATTCATTATATATAACCATGCCTCAACTGCTTTGCTAAGTTTGCTTGAACGAGTTCAATGAACTCCTTCCGCTGTAAGTAGTCAGAGTCCATTCACGGGTCAATCGCACTTGAGCAGCCAATGGCAGCACGAGGTGGACCCACACGTGACGTGTAACAGAAGGCGACGCGCGCAGTCACACTCAGCCACTGCTCTCACACACGCGTTCTGCCCGCCACAGCCTTTCCCGGATCCTATTCCTATAACTGCTTCCTCCTCGTGTACCGCTTTACCGTAAAATAGCACTGATCACTGGGCGTGGTAAAGGGATAGATCACCCGTGAACTATCTGTAGTTCGTCTTCGCGACGAAAACGTGGTAGAACAAAGGCTCGTCTGCACTGATTGATCGATAAGCGGGATTCGCCGCTGAGCCACGGCGAAGATATATAAGGGGGTGACGCTCTGCCGATGTGAGTTCAACTCCTTCCTCCGACGATGTCGTCTTCTAAAGAGAGTTCGTCTCCCCACAAGCCGAAGCCCGCCGGGCACCACCCATTTTCTGCCTCGATCCCCAACGCACACAAGAAGAGACGGTATAACGTTCTGGCCATGACCGACAGATACGCTGGCCCCATGGATCCAGAAACTTTTTGTGATGAATTCTTGCCAGTCTCCGGCGAGCAAAGGCCCACTGCCGTTGCAGCATTCAACGACATGAAGAAATGTGAGACAGAGACAGATATGTACAAGGCATTTGTAGGTGGATGCGTATCTCCGTGCTCCACATACGTTGACTTGTCACGACTCACTAGATTGCATGCGTCAAGGCAGCCAGATTCTGCCGGGACTACGAATTCGTTGCTACTGCTACCACAAAAGACCCGAACGACCCCAACAAGAGAGGATATCAGATTGTGGATATGGGTCTCTATCACAAAGACCATGCACCCGAACCTGGCCCAAACGGGGGGCTACCCGCTTCACGATGGGATAGAATTGCATTATTTGCCGAGTTTAAGACGCAAGCCAATTCAAAGTCGGCGGATCCTTTCGAAGATGGCGACACCAAACAGCGCAGGGAGGTGCGTGGCCAGCTCATAGGGTATGCCGCGGAGATCTTTGCACGTCAACATCGCACCCATGTATTCTCTCTCCTCATCCTTGGTGAATACGCACGATTTGTTCGGTGGGACCGTTCTGGCGCAGTATTTTCCGACAAGATCCACTACGCGCAGAAACCTAAGCAGATCTCCGAGTTTATCTGGAGGTTCGTCTGCGCTACTCCTCAGGAGCAAGGTTACGATGAGAGCGCCGAGGAGATCAAGAAGGATTCCCTTGAATACAAAGCTATGATGGACGCGCACAAGTACACGGACGTTCCTTACGTGGCGGACTATTTCAAAAAGACGTGCGACTCGGACTGGCCGTGGTACAAGCTCCGCGTCGACGTCGAACCAAGTCCATTTCCCACCGACGCCCCTCACCCCGAAACGTCTGCTGACGATCCACGCCTACCGACCCGGGGCTCTCCGACGACAGAGCCTCGCTATTTTCTAGTGGGCAAACCACACACTCCGACGGCCGGTTTGACAGGCCGAGCGACGCGTGGATACATAGCCTGGGACCTTACGGGCCGCAGGCTGGTGTTTCTCAAGGATTGCTGGCGTGTAGACTCGCCGCGCCTGGAGAAGGAGGGCCATACTTTGCTCAAACTAAAAGAGGCTAAGGTTCAACGCACGCCTACCCTAGTATGCCACGGGGATGTTGGGGGTCAAGTGACATTGTCTTGCAACTATTGGCAGGAACGAGAAGGTGTGGTCAAGGCAATGAAGCCTCACGTGCATTATCGTCTTGTTGTGGAGGAAATCGGGTGCAGGCTTGACGACTTCGCCGATTCAAGAGAGTTGGTCTTGGTCATCTATGAATGCCTGTACGGTTCGTACGCGTTAATCGCTGGTTGCGATCTTCTGACGTTGATGCCTGCTGTCCAGCACACGCTATGGCTTTCAAACAGGCCAAAATCCTACATAGAGATGTTAGTGCCGGCAACATCTTGATCATGCGGAAGGAAGTAAACGGGGTGATCTACTCCTCCGGTCTGCTGAACGACTGGGATTTATCAAAGAATGTAGACATCAAGGAAGTCCGGCAAGTGGACCGTACTGTGAGCGTCTAAATTTCCTGTTGATGTTTCATGTGCGCAAGCTAACTAAGTATCCGCAACTTAGGGTACATGGCAGTTCATGTCTGCGCGGCTTCTTCTTCACCCATCAAAGGTCCATATGGTGCAGGATGATCTCGAGTCCTTTCTGCATGTCCTTGTCTATGAGGCGGCACGCTGGTTGTCACGTCAAGGCCGCACCTCCCTAGACGAGTTCATGCACTCGTTCTTTGATGAAGTCGAACCCATGGACAACGAAACTATTGGTGGAGTTCACAAGGCTCACTGCTTTTTCACTGGTGCGCTCGGATTCACATTCAAATGCGAGCAACTTCAGCACATTATTACGACACTCTTCGGATGGTTCAAAGCCTATTATAACCTACACGAAGACCGTTCGCAGATTCCTGAGAAGGTTGCGAACCCTTCATTTAGTCTTAGCGAGGGGCACTCGAGACCGCCGCAGCCACTGGACTTGGTGCCTGAGGGGAGTTACTTGCCCGCTAAGGAAGCGCAACCCCTCGATCCCAAGGTGGCCAAACAGGCCTACGCAGAAGTGGCTGAATACCTGCAGGACCATAACCACATGATTGCGCTCTTCGCTGGCCAATTACGCCTGCCGGATTGGCCTCAGAACGATAGACTGCCTGAATTACAAGTGGACCCATACTATCAGCCCGACCCGCTGGGCCTTGAGTCCACTTCCAGGAGGTCGTCTAAGCGCAGTGCCAGTCAGCTTACTGGATTGGATACGGATGTCAGTGAGGAGCGGAGGGCAAAGGCGTCTCGCAGCAGAGGGTAGTTCGCGATGTACCTCTCATTTCCTTGCATACATGGCGATATAACCATGCACTATTTATTATATACTATCCTGTTGAATTATCCTAGAATGATTATATGCTGAGCGCACGTGTAGCAAGTATGTCTCAAATTTAGATGCTCATAGAGTAGGCTGTACTGAATTCCCACTCCGATGAATATCCAATTTACAACTAGAACTGAGATTGGTCGTCACCTTGGAATGATTGCCAGGGCAAAGACAGAGATATCTAATGTGCTCTTATCCCGTGTCTGCCAGTCCCTACCAGGAACCGATTCCCTGTTCTGAAATACGAAAGACAGTGCCCAGGGCCACTAGCAGCGTCCGCGTCGGATACCGAAGACGAGATTTAGTTTGAACCGATCATGATGATTACTTTATTGTATCCTGCAACGGGTCATTCAAGAACATGAGGGGGACCGATATGGGCAACGCTGCCTCAGCCTATGTGCCAATGGCATACGACCTATGCATTTGCATACCAGATAGGAGAAGAAGCGTATGCTGTCAGAAAATCGGACTGGATGGAGTAGATCTCCCGTACCCAGGGTTCTTGCGCCCGTGGGCCAGATATCACTGTATGCAGAGTCCCATTGTCTGGCATGGACATTTGCCGCCGTGCAGACGCCCCCTCGAGTAAAGGCCGACGTGTCTGGATCTTCATTGTTCTGCAGTGTCGCTAGTAGCTACACGGATATCACTTTGCAGCTACGCAGAGTGGCTTGCATCAATTTCACCCTCCAGTTGACGAACACATACCTGGCACACCACATCATGCCACTGGATCATTCCATGGGCCCCAGCGCGCACCATATGAGCACAGCGGCACAATGTGATCCCCTTTCCAGAACCTAAGAACCGGTCCAGCTTCGGTCTGTTACTCTCCAGCTGGAGCTTCAGAACTTACGCAGACTGCTGACAATTGAAGCAAGTCGTCGGCAATCTTGTATCAACAGTTCATTCTGCTTCAATGAGATCATGATGTCCCTACCTAGCCATTACCACTGACATTGCGTGGTCCGAACCCGAATTTTGCGCTCATAAGACATAACAGTGACAGTGAAGCATTCCAACAACTCGGGAAGCTCCGTCTGGCGCCGGCATCTTACCCCTCCTTTGCGGGATGGGATGAATTAATTATCACATAGGTGCTTGCACAAATGCAGCCAGAGTTTGGCTGGCCAGCTGAACAATTATTGCCATCCTGCGCAGTCCGGGAGATGTCCCGTCTCCCGGAAAGCGCAGGATGCATGTCCCAATGAATATAATTTAAAGTAATTATTTCGAATCTTTGACGTATACAAGAGATATTTAGCTCCTCCTTGATTTGGTGTGCAAGATTCACAGCCTTTAGCTGCTGTGGAGTGCAGTTCACAGCATGTAGCTGCTGTGGAGAATTGAGATGGAATTTAGTACTGATTGTTTACTTCGATATGTAAGTGAGATGCAAAGTATACTGTATGATTTCGATCTATTCGGCAGTCACACGTCACAGGGGTACCTGCCGAAGACGAAATCTGGCATTTGTCACTGGTCACAAGGCCTCTGGGATCGTGGGACTTACCGTATATGGTATCAGAAGCTGGCCTGCGGCGCCACTTTGCACCATATATAGTAAGATGCCGAAATGACGAATTGGTCAGATGAGTCACACGTCACACCGCCTGCCGAATAGATCGAAATGGTACAGTAGTCTATGCATGGACCGGAGTCTAGCTGCGCGAGATAAATTCAAGTGGTGTGCCACTGGAGCCAAACATGGCACGCCGGAACTTGCCCGTTGGTCGAAAAGTGCGACGTATTGCGGGTTTGGCATAACCCCTCTCAAAGGAGCGGCATTTATCCCCAATTCCAAGACGTTGTTGCATTCGGAGGATTTGTGCGCAAGCGGGCGACGTATCACCCTGCTTCTACCTACAATTCTTCTCCACCGAGCCGTATATCTTCGTTCATCCCGTCCGCCCATCTCATCGTCTCGCAGATCCGCCAATTCTATCGTCCTCCATGTCCATGACACTGTCCGCACTCTCGTACGTACTAAGCCTCCGAGATCGCTTACCAGCGTGCATCGCTTGCAACGTTGGTCTGCGAAGTTCCGCGGGATTCGCTAACTCAGATACTGGTGTACCCGGGATAGACGGAGTTACAGGCTTGGACTGGGAGGGCGTTGGCGCCTGCGAGTCATTCTGCGCTCCTGAGGGCGCTTGTTTGCGAGGTGAATGCTCGAGATCCTTGTCGGGTATCTGGGGATAGAAACCAAGATACATAAACAGCATTCATTAGAGAGAGGAGGAAGTCACGGGGTGCAACAGACTTACGGGCAGACGTGCGATGTAGGCCAATAGAGTAGAACATGCCGCCGTTATAAATACTGCCCTTAACCCTACAGCGTACGAATCCCTAGCTTTACGCTGCAAGTCCGGAGGTAGTTCGGCCACGAAACGTGCCGAGTGTCGAATATTCTTGATCAACTGCGCACGACGTGCATGAGAGAGTAGAGGAGTAGAGGGTGGAGACGGTACGCACTTCGTCAGCATCGGGGGTATCGATGCGCCTGCGAAGTTCGCGGTCGAGAGATGACTGGAAGATCGCCGAGGATATGGCTACGCCGCCCACTTGGCCTTGTAGTATGGTTTATGTTTCGTCGTAGCGAAGACAGTGAAGACGGCATACCTACACCTCGGAAAAGCTGCCCGAATCCAGTGCCGACGGCCATAGCATCGCCTGGAAAGCATGATTCATACTTCAATACTTTTGGGGCTGCATTACGTGTGCGTACTTACGAGGAAGGTGTGCGAGCAGAGCGACTGGATCATCCGACGTCAGCCACGAGATGGATGCCACCTCAAGAATAATGACTTACTCAACATCGTTTGTAGCACAACCGAATTCCCGAAACCCAGAGGCACCTAGAGTAAGACGTGAGCGGAGTAGGGCGCGGGGTACTGTGGACACACTTACAATCCCAATCCACTGATGCACGGGGTTGGAGTCCTCTCGCATGGTGCTGACAAGCACTGCTCCAATGAAGGGGCAGATCCCGAATATCAGGTTAATCATCTTGTACTTCCCCGTCTTGTGCATCATCCAGCTAGAGTAACAAATAATATTTAGGCTCTAGACAGTGGGAGGTAAAATGGGAGCGTACCCCGCAAACAGTGACCCCACCGATACAGCCATGCTGTTCGGCAGAACGTGCAACCCTAACTCAGTTGCAATAGAGCCGCTTGCCGTTACGAAGGATGACAAACTTACCGGCTACTGAAGCACTCGTCAGGAGCACCGTCTGGAACCACATCGGGTAGAAGTATTGGATGGCAAAGTTACAGTTCGCCACCAGAAAATTGCTGATCCCCACGAGAACCGGTACCTTCTGCTTCAGCAGGAAGGGTGCAAGCACGGGCTCGGGGGCGAAGTACAGCTCGATAACGACGAACGCGACGGCGAAGACGACGGAGAGTGCTAGCGACGTGATAACCAGCGGATCGCTCCACTAAGCACGGGTCAGTGGCCACCCCACCAGATTATCTGCGGCTCGAACGTACTGGTTGCTCGCCATTGTACCGCAGACTTAGAAAAACTAAACAAGAACCCACCTACCGAGCGACGTCATATTAGTAGATGCGGATAATCGCAAAACTGGACGCCAGCCCACCGCTCCAAGCAATGTCAAGCTTCCACCGTAGTCGATCCGCTTCAACACATCTATCTTCCGTTTGATCTTCCCCTGTTGAACTGTGAACCCCACAGGAGCCTCCGGGTCAAGAGAAGCACTTACCGGGGTCACGTAGTGCAGATGCCACGACGTGAAGAGGAACGAAAACAGAAATAGGGGCATTTGGAGCAGGAATGCCCATCTCCATCCCAGCCTAGAGGGCGATGTGAAGTACATAATCGAGCGCTCTCCGCTCCAACTCACCAGTCACTGATGAGCCCGCCAATAGGACCACCGAGCCCCATACCCAACTAACAGACGTTGAGCGGCCGGGATGATTCAAGCTGAGAGGGCACTTACACTGTTGAAGACACTGGCAATGCCTTGCGCCAGACCTCGAGACTGAGAGCTCCTTAGCGACGGTCGCCAGATGAGATCTGAGTCAACTTACACGTATACTATACATGTCGCTAGTTATGATGCTATGATACGACTCCTTAGACGTGGTTGAAGGAGACCCATTCGAGTGGAGGCTTACGTAGACGTCGTAAACGCGCCACCGCCCCCCATGCCTCCCAGCTATCCAACGCAATATGAATCAGTAAACGATTTCGGGTCGGCTTCCATCATGAATGATACCCACAAATCTAGCCACTATAAGCATCTCCATGTTGCCCGACAGACCACATGCTAATGTCCCCAGTCCAGCGAGGGCCACAGCCAACTGGTTAGCCCCTCTTCGCCCCATCACGTTACAAAGGCGACCGTAGAGGGGCGTAAACGTGCAAGTGGCAAGCAGATATCTATATGACGAGATGATAAGTGTTGTACGGGTCTCGGCGTTCGTACTGTTAGACTGACGAAGTGCCAAGCCAGCTAGCTTGATGAGATCTCTGAAATTCCGAAGAGATAGTCGGGAGCACTAGTCGCATAATTAGATCAGCTTAGAGGGCCAGTGCTGTAGATTAGCTCACGGGTCGCGACCAGAGTGGCTTTACACCGTGGCTTTGTCACAAGGCGCTATATAACCATTACAGAACCTGCGCACGCACTATTCATACTCTTTCATCGAAAGAGATATATACACGAGTGTGACAACCGTACAATTGAGCAAACCGGAAGTGAAACTAATGAAAGGAGACGCACTGAGAGGAACGTAGCGATCCATATGCCCGCCAGTATGCCATACCGTGTTGTACGCGATATCTCTAGAGGCCCTAGATGCTTGGGAGACGACCCCAACTCCTCAGTGGGCGGCGGAGCCGTAGCACTGCCAGGTAAAGTCTGTTGCAGCTGGGCATTCTGGATCAGAGGATCGCGTTCGGTAGGCTCTGACATCTGGCTGTTCTTCGACTCGCACGTTCAGTGTTTACTCCCCGCAGCACCTCCAAAGAATCAAGAATCGCAATTGTACTGTAAATTCACTTCGCCTTTGCCAAAACAGAAGGCGTTGTCCAGGGAGCAAAATGAAAACGGGGTATACAGGCAGTTGCAGAATTGGTGGCTGCAGCAGTCGTGACAAACATATTCCGGCAAACGCCGTAACTTGACGTCGCATGATCATGTAAACTTCGGTGCTGCCACCGTCTTCGGGCATGCGTGCTTGTGGCTTTGCATATCATGACGAAGAGGTCAGCTGAAACAGGAGGCAAGCGTGGAAAGCAAGCCAAGAAGTTTGTCGAACAGCAGGTGAGCGGATCAACCACCGCCCGAAAACTACTGCCGACCGTCGTTCAATTCGTGGGTGTAAGAACACTGCTATTGAGCTAGCGTTATCTGTCGCCAGTGTGCAAGAGAGCAAAGCTCAAGAGAAAGTAGAGAAACGACGGCAGAGTTTGGTACGCTTCACCCAACCTCAACTCGCCTACGCGTACTCATTCACCTCAAGTCAGCGGCGAAATCGAAAGAGGATCACAAAAAGAACTCTAGTAAATCGAGTAGTAAAGACAAGCTAGTACGTATGGTTTTCTCGAGACATCTGTCGCGCTGACAGGGCTTGGTATAGAAGGAGAAAAAAGCTGTAATCGCCGCTCAGAAGGCACAGTCGAAAAAGCAGAAGGCCAAGGCTCGCAAGGAAACGAAAGGGCATGGCGCAGGAGGTCACGGCGGTATGGAGAAGGGGATGGATGTCACAACGCGTCAGAAGGATACGCTTCCGGTCAGGAAACGAGTTTCTTTTGCTTGATACGCTCTATCCGGGTATCTGCACTGTGATGTTTCTTTCGTCAGATGCACTGCTTCTGGAAGTAGTCACACGGTATCTGGTATGGGACTCGGATGGGAACATCGCAGGTCCTGCAATGCCTGTGCCCCCTTTTGATTGCGAGTGCGGTTTGTATCAGTTTGACTTCGGACAGACAAGAATCAAAGCAGCTCACCATCTGAGGCGTACCGTGCGTTACTTCCTCACCAACCTCCAGCAGTCTTCTTTCATTGCCTGATGTTGCGCTTGGAGGGCCGACTTGCACTCCTGACAGAGCGAGTTATCTTGCAACATTTGAGCTAATACTTCTGCGAACAGACTCAGTGGGTCGTATAATTGGGGGAAGTTCTTCAACTTTTCTGTGTGAAGGTCAACTCTCGCGGCGAGAGTTGGAATTGAAGGGGAATCCACGCAAGCGAAATATCCTGCGTGCGTATAGTTCAGGGCACGCTTCGAGCAACTCGGGCTCTTCGGCTTGCACACTCGAACCTTCGCTTTGGAGAGGATCTGTAGGCGCTCCCGCTGCTCCATGACGACCTGCATGATCTCCCACGACAATTGTTCTACCGTCCCGTCGGAGTGTGTGAAGCCTCTGAATAGGTCGGCGATGGGAAGCTGGCAGCATTCATAGAGCGCAAGGTGGTAGACATCCAAGCGAAGCTGCAGAGCCATCATCACCACAGGAATAATGATACCGGGACTATCCGTCAGAAGTTTCTGCCTTGTAGGCCGAGTGCGCTCCCACTCAGCAAGACTGGTTTTGGGGAAGTGAGATGACAATTCTTTCCGTGCTTCTTCTTTCAAGTCGTCTATGCAGTACTTGTCCGCGAGGCGCAAGATTCCAAGGAGAGTGGTCATCGGTGTAGCCTCCGTAGACTTAAAGAATCTGAGGAGCTCAGCGTTCAGCCCGAGAAACACTCGCCCAATACTTACCTCCTCTCGTACAGCGCTAAGAACAGGCTTTCAAGGTCCTCTGGCTGATCCGCCAACCTCACAATAGGACAGCCTGCTATTTTTTCCGCGTCGGCAGGCTGGTTCAAAGACAGCATGTCCTTGAATATCGGAGAGTGTCGTGCCAGGAGCCCGCCATAGATTCTGAAAGCAATGTTCTTCGAAACAACCACGACATTGCCATCAGGGTACCATAATTCTGAGTGGCGTCGTAGCTGAGATGTCTCCCCATGGCTTGTGTTCCCGCCGTTTTGGTTTGCCTCCGTACGGGGGCGCTTGCGAGCAGCGTTGTCGCCGTTGGATGACGAGGCGTCCATCTTTCGTTACCGGTCGAGGGGCAGCGAATGCGGAAGAAAGGGGCGGATAAAGGGGTCGACTGTGGCCCATCAAATAGCTACTATAAATGGGGTGTGGCCGCCCCAAGGGGACCCTAGCCTAGGGTTGCCACGCGGTTGCCGAGGTGGCAACCGCACGTCAGGCTCACCCAGACGTCCTCTGTCCATGTTCCGGTCGTGTTTTCAATCTTTCCAAGCGAATGCAGCCCATGACTGAGTTTCCTGTGTATAGGCTTCTCCTCCCTCCAGCGGAAGATTGCTACTTACCTCTACGTTGAGGGGATGTGTGATGTGTCCTCCGCGATGAGTCTTATATTATATACACTTCAGTCGAGAAAAAAGTGTGTGATACGATTAATAATTTAATGATGATAGTGCGTAATACATATCAGAACAATGGTGCGGTCACAAGTGCAAACTGGACAGGCCACGGCCTGTGTGGAAGGAGCGCTCCGAGGTGACATCCGCGTCTGGGTGACGAATCCAATCCTCGCACGCCCACGATAGAGTACCATGTAATGGATCGCGCAGCAAGTCCTTTGGGCACAAGAATCGTATATCCTCTTCGCAGACGTAGACCTCCGGGATGACGGAAGCATCGTCGCCGCGAGACTGGGAGTGCTTGGATCTGAATGACAGAGGATGGTCGAATGGTCTCGGACCTCGATATCCAGGAATGTAGGAAGGGTTATAACCTCTTGTCCGTACCATATCCCAGTCACTGAGAACAGAGGTCAGTGGCTATTCGAAACCGTAGCTGCGGCTAGACTCACACTCTCGAGAAGAAAGGATGCGCTTTGATCTCTTCAATAGTCAGACGCTCGAAAGGATCCGTCACCAGAATCTACGGTTATGTTAGTATATAGATGGCCGGCGAAGTGAAAAACCAAGTACCTTGCTCAGAAGATCCCGTCCTTCTAGGTCGAAGACAACGGATTCAAGATCGATGTCCGCCTCCAGGATGGCTTGCTCTACTATCTCGTTGCAGGAGTTGTTGAAGTAAGGCTTCGAGTTGACACGCCAGTGAGACAGAAATAATATAGGAGAGGACAGCGAGTGCTTACAATTCCATCGCCAATGAACAGCTCCAGTAGGACAATCCCAAATGCCCATATGTCGACGCTACAGGTGTAGCCTTTCTCAGGACAGTCCTCCCGCAGCATCTCTGGCGCCACATATCCTGGAGTGCCGCATAGCGAGAACGCACGGCAACCCTGGAATTCCTGATATGACCGGCACTCGGAAAAGAGACGCGCCATGCCGTAGTCGATTAGACACAGGTGACCGGAGGGGGAGATGACTATGTTCTCTGGTTTAATATCGCGATGAATGATAAATGACCGGTGTAGGTCTTCAATTGCTAGAAGCTGGTATGGAATCAAGAGAATTGTTAGTCACGATCGCCAGCATGAAGGGGAGAACTCACCAGTTCGGCCGCGTAAAGCACGATATCCGAAGTGCCCAGCTCGTATCTCAAGTCCCCCATCCTTGGTCTCAAACCTTGCGGGTACAGTTTCTAGAAAGGTATACGTCAGTCATACAGGTTGGCCGGAGATAAATCTTGCTCACCGTCACAAAATAGATATTGGCGTCATCCTGGAATGACGTATGCAACGGGGCGAGAAACGGACTCCTGCAGTGCATCGTGATCCTCTCCCAGATATCTTTCTCCAGTACCAAGAAGTCGAGCTGGACAGGGTCCCGCGCTGCTTTCCGCTTGTTGAAGACCTTTACAGCAAGATCCTCCCCTGCTGACGACCTGACATGCAGAACGCGTCCATAAGATCCCTCTCCGAGGAAGCCCAAGAATGAATAAGAGATCTCCCCGTCGATGATGAGACCTTCAGAACGAGCACGACGCCGACGCTCAAGCTGAAAATCTTCGTCGCCGAACCTCACAGAGGACCTCTCAACAGGGGACGCGTCGTGATGTGGTAGAAGGGGTCCTACGATTCCGTTTCCGCAGACCGCTAAGGATTCAGACGCCGACTTGAAGGAGGAAGATAGCTCGAGGCTCAGCCGGTGAACATCATTACTGGAAGGCAACGATGGCGACTCCGGAGCCTGAGAGAAGGGCAGTACGAAGTCAAGGTCTTCCAAAGGCGTCACATATCCTAGGTAACAGGAATCCTCGCGGTGGATAGCTGGAGACGGTGGCTCTGCAGCCTTTGTAAATAGATCGGGGTTTTCATGTGCGGACCTGAACGACATGTCCTCGGGAGTTTGCATACCAACGTCGGAGCCACGGATAGAAGAGGCAACGGAATAGCCGGTCATCGTGCGTAAGGAGTGGAAGAGCTCGGGTGTCCGAGAGCCGTCAGAGTGGACACTGTTCAATGGGGTGGATGGGCCGGGAGCCACAGTCTCACTAAAAGACTGAGCAGGGTCGACCGCCGACGACATCCCGTTCGAAGACGCGACATCGCGAGTGGACTGAACTGCGGTGGACGAGTCTGCGAGGTACATCGACAGAGAACGTAAGTTGCCGTACCAAAACGTGTGGTTGCACTCGTACCTGACAAGTGAGAGTGTATCACCGCCTCACAAGCTTCCAAGAAAGCTTTGACAGTGTCGTTGAGGAGAGGTAATACGCAAATTAGCCCGAGAACGCAGGACTCAATGATCCCATGGCGCGGAGGAACCCGTGGTAGGCTGGTGGACACCATGGCTTCTGTCACGGCGGGAATCATCGGAGTCCGGGACTTGAAGATACCAGAGATCGCGTTGGAGACGCGCTGAGAAATGGCCATAGTACTACTGGAGGCAGGGGTTAGGGAGGTGTCGCGAATGAAGATGCTAGCAAGACGCGTCCAACCTTTATAGGGAGTCCCAGCGTGCCACAGATCTAAGATCGGTCAAAGCGCACCGAGCCACTGATGGCGCTTTGACCGGGCAACTTCCCTTGAGGATCGTGTGGGAACTTAATTAAATCTTCAATGGTTGTTAGGTATTCTAAAGGTCGTGGTAATGCAAACTAACCCATTTGACCAAGTGCCACAAGCAACCTTGTGGCAGAGAAGGCAAGAGTGACTTACGTAAGCGTGCTTCTTTCAAGACACCTGGCTCCGCGCTTGGACAAAGGGATGATAAAGGCGGACAACAGCGAGGCGATGTCATCCGACACTACGACTGGATCGTGCAGCCGCCGTCTCGCGAGAAGTCATCGAATTCGCGTTCTGGGCAAAATGCGGGAGAGAGGTTGTCCAACATTCCAGGACCGTTGGGCAGGATATGATAATACCCGATCACGAAGAGTTTGTGCTATGGACAAGCGGCGTTATTTATCCTTCACCTGGCTTCGCGAACAGTCTTGACAGCATAGTTTCACTAGGTCGTAGCACCGGACCCAAAAGCAGAGCAGTAGACGCACAACTGGCATGCCGCTCGATATCTCCGGTACATCGTTTGCGGTTCCGGGTGATGACCTGCGACCAGGGCTGTATCCGACCAGAAATAAACTCAAGCGTAAAACAGATAGAAATCAGAAATATCTCTCATAGTTTCTTGCGCGATTGACTTGGATTGTCCTCCTTTTGACCCGATAACCATCTGGGGAGTTATTCCCACACATCACGTGGTACTTCCAAAATGGGATATGTTTGAGTTTAACGCTGTTCGGATTCCTCAACCTCATGTCAGCCGCATTCTCTGCTGGGTTATTTCTGATTTCATTCTCGAAATAAGCCTCGATTGTGCGACAAGTCGAGCACAATGTCCGCCTCTCGCGCGGACACGTCCATACAGTCGACGGGAACGCACCCGGATCTTTCTTTAGGGTCGCTGAACTCGACGTTTTCGAACCACAACCGCCACAATGTACGGGTACCGTCTGCAGCGTCTGGAACGACCGCTGTCTCGTCGGCCGCCGTTTCAACCCCCTCCCCTCCCTCTCATCGACGCACTTTCTCGAGGAAGATCAGCGATGAGGGGACGCCGATGGTGAGCAGGAGACTCGGGGAGGGAGACGGCGACGACGGCGAGGCGGGCGTTCTCGACACTCCAGACAGGGAGAAGAAGTGGGGAGACGATCCCGAGACGCCTCTGCCCGGCCGGTCAAAGCGCACGCGGGCGAGCGGCGCAAAGGGCGTTTCGAACCTGACATTGCGCGACCAGGAAAAGGTAGACCTGCACTATGTATCTCTCGTTATCCTAATCAATGCTGGCGCAGCACATCGACCAGCTGAAGAAGGACAATTTCAACCTGCAGCTCAAGGTACACTTCCTGGAGGAGCGGCTGGCGCAGCTTGCGCCGGACCAGATGGAGACCGCGCTGAAGCAGAACATCAACCTGAAGATCGAGGTGCAGCAGGCGCGCATGGAGCTGAAGCGGTCGAAGAAGCTGCTGCTCGAGCAGACGAAGGAGCTCGAGCGGCTGCAGAAGGACAAGGGCCGCGGGCGCGAGCGGGAGCTGGAAGAGAAGCTGGAGGAGCGCGAGCGCGAGATCCGCGAGCTAAGGCGGCGCAAGGCGATTGGCCCGGACGACGCGCTGCTGCGGGACCTGGAGAACCGGAACGCGGATCTGGAGGAGCGCGCGGCTGCACTCGAGTACGAGTTGGAGAGCGCCAAGGCTCTTCTGGAGGATAACCAGGACGAGCTGGACAGGATGAGGGACATCGTCGAACGCAGAGGTGACACGTCGATCGACGAGGCAGGCGAGAGTAGGCGGGATCGCATGAAGAGGCGGATAGAGGAGCTGGAGGCTGAGAACGAGGATTTGAGGGTCGTGGTGGATGACCAAGCCGAGGTGATTCAACAGAAGGAGGACGAACGCGAGGAGATGGCGGACGCGGTGGAGACACTGCGGCTGCAGCTGGAAGATCTGAAGCGACGGCGCGAGGCGGAGGCGTTCGAGCGGAGCGAGTCTCGTGCGCAGATCATGGAGGAAAGGCAGGAGCGAGAGCTGGTCGAGGAGGACATGAACGCTGTCAGGGACAGGCTGGCGGCCATCACGATTGAGCTGCAGCAGAAGGAGGACGAGCTCGATATGAAGAATGCCGAGATCGACGACCTGATAGCGGAGCATGAACGGGACGTGCAGGTTCTGGAGCAGCAATGGCGGGGCGAGGTTGAAGAAGCCAGGGCGTTGGTGGAGGAACTTCGTGACGTAAGTTCTGTGCTCCGTCCTGTCATTGTCTTACCAAGTAGAATTCCTTAGGTCATTGCCGAGCGTGACGCAGAGTCTAAAGAACTGCGGATGCACATTGCGGACTTCGAGGCTAACAACGAGGATATGCACGCCAAGTTCGAAGCTGCCCTCGCACATCTCGAACGCGAGGCCGATGAGAAGGATGCAGAGGTCGAGGCTGGCAATCGCGAGATCGAACGTCTCGGGCAGCAAGTGTACAATCTTGAAGACGAGATCGAACAGCTGAGGTCGGACAGCGAACGCAATGCCGAAGACTGGGCGGTTGAGCGTGAACGGCTAGAAGCTACTTGTGCAGCTCTCAAAGACGTGAGTCCGCCAGTGTCTTCCTTGTGCGGGGAATTGCTGAATGGCATTGCAGAAAGTCGCCGCCTATAAGTCTGAGATGCAAGAGAAGGAGGAGGACATTGAGCGACTCATTGATGAGGTCAACAAGCTACGCGCTAGAGAAGATGAACTCTCGCGGCATATTGAAGATCTCGTGGATGAGCTCCGGCGTGAACGTGAAAGCCGAGAGGACGCTCAGTCCCAGATCACAGCGGTCCAACAAGAACACGACATCGAAATCCGCAGGGAACGCCGAGCACTTGAGGCCAAGGAATCGGCGCTCGAGTCGGCACTCAACGACCTTGCGCGGACGCAGTCGCTCCTTGCGCAACGAGATGCGGACCTTTCTGCAGTGCAGACTGCGCTGCAGACGCTCGAGGCGGAGTCAAAGAAGCTGGGCGAGTCCCACACTACCGCCAAGTTCTCGATGCAGCTGGAGGTCGATCGCCTCAAACGCGATCTGGAGCGAGTCGAGGATGAACTTGCCCGTGCAAGGAAGGAGCTCGATAATCGCGACGGCAAGACGCGCGAGCGTGATGGTGTTATCGACAAGCTGCACGCCGAGAACCGTGACTTGGCTGCTCAGCTCGCGGCGCAGACGCAGGCGAGGCTGAACTTGTCTGAGAAGCTGGATGGCGTTCAGGCTCAGTTGAAGACCGCCGAATCGGATGTGGCGACGTTCCGGTCTCGGGTTGCTGAGCTCGAGCAACGTTTGTCGAAGGATCAGAGGTCCTTACTGGCGGCGGAAGCTCAATACCGTGATCAGTTGACAGAGCGGAATACGCTCTTGTTGACGATCTACCAATATATGGACAAGATTCTCGGAGTTGACAAGACACCAGTACGTGCTGACCCGCCTAATTCTGACCACCCTCCGCTTACTCTTTGTCTTCTTTCTTTTAGAAGAAGGCGGGTCAGGCTGAGACCAAGCCATACACCAACTTCAGCGTCTTCCACGACAACTTGATCACCCGGTTGAAGTCTCTCAGTCAAATCCAATTGGACTTCGACAAGCGGTGTAAGGATGTGGAAGCCAAGTACATCGACAAATTGACAGACTTGAAGAGACAACTTGACCAGCGATGGAAGCAGATCGACAAGTTCGAGGCCAGCCTGAAGAACATTGCCGATGCCAAGGCCGCCTGGCGCCGTCAACTGAGCGCAAAGGATGGAGAATTAGAGGCTCTTAAGGCGAGTTCATCGAGTAGCTGTGCATGGACGTCGGAGCTTACACCTTCACAGAGCACCAATTCAGAGCTTACGGCTCAGTTGTCCAAACTCAAGCGCCCCAACGACGGCGAGTCCATGGAGATTAGGTCTCTCCGAGCAAGAGCTGCCAACGCGGAACGTCGGATGATCAACGCTCAGAATCAGCTAGCAGCTGCAGAGGAACGCCTTGCCACTGCCAGTCAGAAGACTACGGCCGCTGACAGCAAGTGGGAGGCTCGGGTGAAAGAGTACGAAGCTAGAATCAAAGCTGCCGAGGAGAAAGTCAAGCGCGAGAGGCAAGGGCACAAGGAGCGCATCCTCGAACTTGAGAGTCAGCTTGAGTGAGTGTTAGTGCTCTTCGTTGCTGCAGTCGTCTGAACCTTCTCCAGATCCCTCAAGAGGCAAAAAGAGCTTGAAACGAAGCGTAAGAAACAATTGGAAGAGATCATGGAGGCCAATAAAGTCTCCTCTCCATCCAAGTGACCCTCGGCATTATGAAGCGCATGTCCTCAATGTTTTGTCGGCGTGATTCATTACTCACATGGATTTTATCTTGCAATCATGCATCACATATCGTAAATCATATAATCATTGTATCCTAGTGCTGTAACGACGCTATATCCTGGTCTGTAATGATACCATTTCCCTCGTTCGGGCACACCTGCAGTTGGACTCGTCAACCCCTTCCTCTAAGCTACGAACACCAGTAAGTATGCTGACCCTCCGGGCCCGAGCAACCAGCTGCAGGCGATGTAGACGCGTAGGTTCGTTACGCAGTACTAGGACTGCCGCTGCAGTACGTGTACAGTAGGAACCGCGCCACAATCTGACCAAGCATGACCAAACAAATTTCTTCTATTTCAGGTGCATCGATGCCACATCTCTTTTCAACAAAGCATTCCAGCGTAGGCACCTCGTCTCAAGTATCAAAACCTCACCTCCAATTTTTCAATGGCTATCAACACTGCTTCCGACGCTACCCTACTGAGCCTGCCTGTTGAAGTAACGCGCGCAGCCACAGAGGTCGGCGTGACTGCTCCTCGCCACGACGACGACGGCGAAAACCATTCACGGCGGACATCCATGACCCAGGCTGATTCGAACAGCAAGAAGCCGATAGCGCTCAAGTCTACAGAAGACGCCACGGCATGCCAAACCACAATGACCGCCGCTGTGGCTAGCCCTCGCCACACCGACAGCCACGACCAGAGACATACCAACGATACCGAGCAGAACAAACCTACCGAGGTCAAACCAGAGTCGGAGGGCGAGATACCCGTCAAAGCGAGAAAACCTCTGTCGTCCGCGACGAACACGGTTGCGCGCGACGTGTCTGGCCACAGTGCACGACCGCAGCCACGCAAGGCCCGGAAGGCCCGGAAGATAGACAATGTCGAGGACACAGGCGCCAAGGAAGGCTCGCTCTCGGCCCGGCGTGCTACAGGAGTAGAGAGCCTCCCCGCAGAGGTTCTCTGCGAGATCTTCGCTCTGGCTATCGCCGACGCTTCGGCAAGGTGGGAATCAAGCCGAAAGTGTTACGAAGAGGCGGAGCTTTTGATGAAGGTTTGCGAGCGGTGGAAAGATATCATAATGGGGAACGGGACGTTCTGGAGCAACGTGGTCGTCAGCGGTGTCACGCCTGACTTTGTCGCTGAGATTATCCGGCGAAGTGGCAAGTCGACGCCGCTTTCTGTCCGAGGGAATCTAGTGAGCGACAGCGAGGCCGACGCGAAGAAGATCGAATACATACTTCGGGAGTCGAAACGGATCCGGCTGCTGGACGTGGAGATCTCAACAGGGAACTTGCAGAAGCTGGGCGCTGGCGAGGGTATGCCGAAGCTCGAGGAGCTCAGATTGACCAGGATCGTGGGCTCCGGGGAAGGAGGAGACGATGACTTGATTCAGCTCGGTGGCCTCCAGAGCACGCGCCTGAAGAACATCAGTCTTCGCAATGTGTCCTTTAAGTCCTACGAGCCGCTGCTCTCCGACGCCGCTACGGATCTCATCCTCGACAATTCTATGGTGGTACTCACCACGGATGATCTCCTACGTACTCTTGACGCTGTTCCGAGTCTTCGGTCGCTCGAGGTCTTGTCAAGCATAGATGCTCGACCTGTTTCACCTCATCCCGTGATATCTCTGTCGAACTTGGAACGAATAGCGGCGGATCCGATAGAAGTCGAGGACGTCCGGTTCCTTGGCTACATCCGCACTCCACGGCTTACACAAGCTGATTTTTCGATCCTCTCCAAAGACGACGAGACGGTACTTCCAGGAATCGTGGAGCTCATTGCGCCGATAGTGAACCAGGCTGCGGGGGACAACAGCTTCCACGCCTGCCGGTTCCGCGCCCGTGATAAATATTCTCTGGAGTTGGACTTTGCGCGAAAGATGGGCGACTTCGACAGATCTCCAAACACCCCGATCATCCACCTGGAGTTCGACAACATGCAGTTGAAAGAGAACTTCCTGCCAAAGATCAAGGATTACCTTGGCGACTCTTTGAGTGCGGTCCGTGATCTCAAGATCGTCGACGGCGAGTACGCGACTGGGACCCGCAATGACTGGACGGCATTATTCGAGCAGATGCCTGAGGTGCGGACCCTCCGATTGCATGATCGCACCGCCAGAGTGGTTTCATCCGGTTCCCTGGAAGCGGGGGACCCTGCCATATTTCCGAAGCTGGAATCCGTGACTGTGGCGGGCAGTACCAGGGGGCGACTGCTGAGATTATTTAAGCACCGCGACAACGCACGACGAATGAATAACCTCACTATTTCTGATGTAGCCGATGTCACTCGGGGTGACATTGATTCACTGGCCGACATCGCTCATAACATCTCATGGGACGGAATGGTCATCAAGCTACCTCGGCAGGAGCGTTCGCGGGCGAGAGACGAGCTGAGCAAAGGGGAGGTCGGAGGGGGCGTACAGGGTTTCCTGTAAGAAAAATGGCAAGTAGCGACCGGGCTGAGGCAGACAAGTAGACAGAAGACTCCAATACTAGCGTATGATAAACGCCGGATGACCAGGGTACCGATTGCCGGCCGGTCTTCGTAGTTTCCTAGATGTGTTGTCCCATATAGTTGTAGTTCTTCCTGAAGACGTTGAACCCTGTGTGTAGGGCATACCGAGCAGAAAATTGGCATCCGATGTCGTGAACAACTGATCACTTATCGCAGTCGCTGGGGGACTTGCCGGAACAGTTCGCGACAGCTTGCTTTGACTAGACTCGCGACCAGTCCTGTACGCAATGCACACGCCTTCCTTTTTTGGTTTCGGAGTGATGGAAGGCGACAAAATCGTCTCTGGCACACATTGTTCAATGATGTTTTTGAAGCGAATGGAGTTGATTGGAATAGGTGAGAAAAGAGGATTTTCTCCTTGAGTCAGTCCAAATTCATCGAAATTTGACCTATGTCAAATGAATCTATGGCCTTCAAAACCTACAATGGTGTAAATCTCCCAAGGCATGATTTTTCTGAGCTATGAGGCTCTCAAATCACGAAGTCCCACTCATAGTTGGCGCGTGTCACGCGCATCCCGCCAAAAGGGCGACCGTGTTTCCCAGCCGCTTCGCAGTGTAGCGAATATTACGAGCGGAGCTTGAATTGCGAAGTGGCTGGTATCGAGCCTATGCTTTGCAGCCGTTTGCAGATCGATGGACCACCAATCCAGAAAATCGCGTATAGTCGGAGTGGGTCGGAGTGCGTCCCAGGGACGTCGGAAGAAGGTAGGGAAGTCCTGATGGTCTGATTTCCGTCTCTCAGGGACTTAAAATTGCTTGTCCGACGTGGTCCGACTGTAAATGATTTTTAAAAGTGGGCCCATCAATCTGCAAACGGCTGTGACTACGATTCCGAATACACATACATAGGCTCGATACCAGCCACTTCGCAATTCAAGCTCCGCTCGTAATACTCGCTACACTGCGTTCGCAAGCTCACGCCTTCCATCACTCCGAAACCAAAAAAGGAAGGCGTGTGCATTGCGTACAGGACTGGTCGCGAGTCTAACACATACAGGCAATTTATCGACAAGTGTAATATGCTTCATATGTGCCCCTGGAGCGGATAAGGTCCTTTCTTCATTCGAAGCTTCGAGCAAGCGGCCCAATGCGAGTGCCATTGGACACGGACTTCGAAAGTCGGGTTCATGCTAGTGCTTCGGAGATACAAGTGATGCAACTCAGTCTACTGTGGCTACTTTCTTGTCATGAAGTAGCACCTTTTCTCATAATGGGACTGCACACTTTAGATCTCCGCCATATCACCATCGTATCGTAGCCCATCGACATAGATATCTATGTACATTGTAGACGACAAAGGCAACCGTCTGTGCAGAAGATCGATTTAAACTGCTCCAGCAGACCCGTTGCGACTCTGAAATTTCGAGAGAACGTCTACTATTGCGACTTACCAGTACACCCTCTAGTATACATACGGGATTGATCCAATTGAATGCCTTTGTAACGTGCATATCTGTAAACCGAGAGTATGGACCCCAATGCATTAGATACTCGCATTGCGTGCTGGATCGTCAATAATATGAGCCGACCTTTAGGCGCACGCATAGTACCCATGTATTCATATATTCACTCCAGATTCACTCGCCAAGTCGTTTTCTGTGCCACTGCCGCACGTGATCACACGCGACTGACGCTGCACTCACAGTGACAGTCACATTCACGCGTCTCTCCCCACAGCGATTCCGTCGTAGCGGGGGATTCGACAAGATCAGAGATAAATCTAACCAACTAACGTTTTTGAGACAATCTTGGTGTCCAAAACTGCTCGCGGATTTACGGCGGACGGATTGCATATTTGCCGGACCTACGTCGAATGGGGTACCGTCGTCAGGTCACATGCGCGAAGAACAACGATTGCCCAACAGTCGGTGCGGGACTATCCGTGAGCCACAACCTTTGACCTTTAAAACGTGGAACGTCTCGTGCAGGTCAGTAAATCCTCTCGTTCCACCGCGTCATCCGGCAAACCTCGTCTCTCAGTCTTCCCGACTACAGTACGATTCCTCAAGAGCACAGGCCTAGATCAAACGAAGATACTGTCGAGAAGAATCTTGTGCTGAAATGCCTGATTACTTCGTCGGACCGCTAGCCCTCGATGACTTTCTGAACAAGTTTGTGCCCGTCAGCAGCACTTATGATCCCAATGCATGTAGTGGTGCCTTTGATGAGATCAGGAAGTGCGCCGCGGAAGAAGATGTGTACGAGAAATTTGTGCGTGCTTTTGCTGACTGCTCTCGCTATATACTGAGACCTGTGCATCGTCAGGCAACCTGCATCGCCGATAGAGGGTTGTGTCCTGGCTATACCTTTGTGGCTGCACAAAACACTGTCCCTGAAAATCATATGAATATACTCGGCGCCCATAAGATGGACATGGTCTTGCACCGCGATGAGGATCCGCCGAAGTCTACAGGCTGTAGTACTCCTAAACCTCGATGGGACCGCATCGTTCTCTATGTCGACTCGCTCAACCACAGTCCCTGGGCAAAGTGTGATCCGTGCGATGATTGTGACACACAACTGGACGATAGTCGTGCCCTCCAAAGGAGAAGCACCAGAGAACAGCTCATGTCTCGCGTGGCAGTGAGGTTCGCCTGTCAGCAACGGACCCATATGTTCTCCATGATTATTCTTGGGGGATACGCTCGAATTATACGATGGGACCGCGCGGGCGCTGTATTCACCGAAAGGATCGACTACGTTGCGTGTCCCGAGAAACTCGCGATGTTTCTTTGGCACTTCGCTCACCTGGACCGCCGGCAGCAAGGTTACGACGACACTGCGGAGCTGATTGAGGAGGACTCGCGTCTGCACAACATGATGATGAAGAAAATTGCAGACGGGAGCAAGATGAGTGCAAAAGACAAAGACCTCCCGGAAGCCTACGTACTGGACTATTTCAAGGACTCATGTGACCCGGATTGGCCCAAGTGGAGGTTGCAGGTAGACGTTTCTGTATCTCCTGGTGACTCCGCCGCCTCAGCTTCGGGGGCCGCTTTGGGCCCGACAAAACCCCGTTACTTCCTCGTCGGCAGACCTCATTTCACTGCGCCTGGGATGACGGGCCGCGCCACACGCGGCTACGTCGCGCTGGACGAAGAGAACAATGAGCTCGTATACCTTAAAGACTGCTGGCGTGTGGACCTCCCGGACATGACGAGAGAAGGCGATGTCATACAACTTATGAACAACGAAGGGGTGCAATGTGTTCCGACGTTGGTGTATCACGGGGACATAGAGGGGCAACGTACATCGACCCAAGAGCACTGGTCTGGGGACACGGGCAAACCGAGCTCATTCAGGCCCCATCAACATTACCGACTAGTGGTGCAGGAGGTTGGCTGTCCTCTCTCAGACTTCAAGCACTCTGAGGAATTGGTTAAAGTTATTACAGAGTGTATAGCAGGTACGTTATATGGTTGCGGCTCCGATTGACACCTCATTCCGTTTCGCAGGACATGCCGACGCCTTTGTAAAGGCGAAAATCCTTCATAGAGACATCAGCGCTGGAAACATCCTAATCCTCCGAAAGATGGTGGACAAAAAGGGCCAGACATCTGTTGTGACACGAGGTCTCCTGAATGATTGGGATTTGTCCATAAGCGTGGCCGACAATAATGACGGACTGAGGCAGCCTAGTCGTACGGTATGTCCCATTATTATCAGGCTTCTCTCTTCTTTTGCTCACACCCGCATATGTTCCCCCAGGGCACCTGGCAATTCATGTCAGCGTTCCTCCTGCAGAAACCTTGGAAGTCACACGAGCTCCAGGATGACCTCGAATCCTTCATGCATGTCCTTATCTACGAGGCCATACGCTATCTCCCTCATAATTGCACGGACGTTGGGGTATTCGTCAAAAATTTCTTCGACATCGCGAGCAAATCCGGAAACGTCATCACTGGCGGGATCTGGAAGATCGCAGCCATACGATTCCGAACACTTGAAACGCCTTTGGGGAACGACCTCAAGTTTTACGAGCCGCTTCAGAGTCTTATTGATGACCTCATGTCGTGGTTTCAGGCCTATTATGTCATGCACGACCTCTCGACTCCAGAGCAGCCTGAGGAACATTTCAGCAGTAAGCTGGCCTACGTTGATAGAAAGAAGCACATCATTGGACTCCCGGCCTATCTTTCTGTTAAGCCAGTCGACAAAATTGACCCATCGCCGTCGAAGGAGGAAATGGAGGAAATGGACAAGGCGATATACGAGCCGCTGGCGAAGAAGCTAGACACTCACGACGCCATAATAAAGCTCTTCGTGTCCTACTATCTTCAAAGCTGGCCCGAGGATGACAAGCAACCGGACCAGCTACCGGAGAACTACGACTCCGACCATCAGACCCCCGATGACTCCCCTACGGCATCCAAGCGAACCGCCAGCCAACTTGAAGAGGAAGCTTCTGAGGGCGGCAGCGGACGGTATTACAAAGTGGCTAGGACCGGGACCCGTACCAGTGTCTCTCGTCGACAATGATGATGTCGTGCGGTGAATGTCACTCGGTTTCTTTCCATTGTTCTTGCTTTTCTTCTATCACTATCACTCAAGGCATCCTTGGTATGGGTCGTAGCTGCGGCCATCATATCCTTACTCATGGTACTTCAGGAAAACCCTCCCTGGCAAATTAGACATAATTTTGCATAATTGGCTCTAGGGCCATATAATGAAGATAACGGGTGGATAAGTTCTGGATAAGTTCATATAACCGACATAATCTCATACAAGAGAACACCACAGTCATAAGTCAATGTAATTTGGTACATATATACAATCTGATCATGGACATTTAGAGTAGATACATTCTACATACATAACCTTTGCCACAAGTCCCGACAGAGTCCGGTCCTTGTATCCTGCTATCCCTTCTACCAGTTGTTGCAATTACTTCTCGGGCATGACTGCAGGGCTTACCAGGTGTCGACAGTGGGGCAGTAGCTACGGCCGCACTCCCATGTTCTCGTGCATCCCATTATACCGTTATACATTCATGGACCCAGATTGGCACTGTTTGTGACCATCAGTATAGCTCACGTACTAGAAGATGTCAGCTGTGGGGTACTCGCAACGCCAGCCATTACATCGCCTCCGCCAGCCAAGGCTGGAGTTTGGCTGCACCCCAACACTCGCTCGTAGTGCGCAGAAAGCCTTGGTCAGTGGAATTGAGTGAGTGTGGAAAAGGTAAACGAGTCTTACTCGTATCAAACATCTCGAACCAGATGCATATCCCTTCTCTGATGTATCTACATCCTGTCTGTCGTCAGACTAAGCTTTCGGTCAATACAGGCGAATGAGCGACGATGAAGTTGGCGTCGTTGCACTTGAAGACAGGCTGCTCATGTGACCGGCCAACGCGACACAAGCATGTTGAAGAGTTGTACGACAAGCGTGCAGGTATATGGATATGGCGGGAGCCTGATGTGGGCATTTGAAAGATGTCATGCTCGTCGCCGTGGATGATAGAGCCGGAGATGTGGCTGCGCGTGTGTTCTCATTGTGGTGCCGTTACTTTGCAGCGGAAGCCTGGCCTTGCACAGGAACACGACTATTCGATGTCAAAGCTATCCAGATATTGCCGATTGTCCTAGCGTAGCCAGGAAATGCACCGTGCATAGGGGAGAGAGCACAGACGAGAGGGCGCCCAGTACACAATAGCCTGAGATCCAGCTTGCGGCGAGAGGCTTCGAACTTCCGTTACTTCGGGTTTGAACGCGCCGACGCGGTCACGTGAGTTTGTTGATACCGTGTTTTCAAGCTCCGACCGAATCTACTTCAACAGTCCTCGCGAGTCGCGACTTCCCTCTTTCGTTCTTCCCTCTCTCTCACCGTCTCCATCCAGTTCTTCTTGTGTGCCCAAACAGCTGTGCTCTTCTCGGGGGTCTCGCCTTTCAGCGCCGCACGACTATGGCGCTGCCTTCGTAACCTGAGCCACGGTAAGTCACTTGTAACTGTTCGCTGGCGCTGGCTTTCGCCGACATTGATTTATATGGCACATTTTCAGTGTGCATATAATTGTCATTTCCTGTGGAATCCAAGACCGAGGCCCCGCCACCCATCTCATTGCCGCTTGTCGACTTCAAGTGGAATGCATCAGTGGTAAGTATTTGTCGATTTTGAGTACTAGGATATCTGCTGACTCATTTATATGACTAGGCTGAAGACCGACCTACCGTGATTGGCGTAATAGATGAAGGTGGTCAGATGTGAGTTCGCCGATGTTGTCTCGGCAGTTGTCCTTACTGAGATACCATAGTAGCTTCTCTGCTGGTGGGTTAGTTGGTATCCTTGCTCACTGGGCCTTGGCAGCTGGGTTGGGTGTGGGCTAGCCTTGGGAGGAAACTTGAAAGTTGTGGTTGAAGGTGTGTATCGTGTTGTTACCTTGTGTGTATCCAGTACCCTAACCCTTGCTTTCCTGCTACAGACACTAGAGGTATTGTGATCCTTTCACGTACATGCTGGGACTAGATTTTGGGTGTAGATAGATTATCACAGTTTCGGCTGCTCTATACAGACTGCAACTATGTATACACAATACCCTTGCTGCAATGATATGGATTTTGCTCCCATCTATGCTATACAGTGTCAATAAAAGGAGATAAAAATAAGAGAGTGCCTTGTCTAAGGCTATGTTATTAGATATAAATGTTGGATAACCACGCATAATTACAAAGGGGCTAGTGTTTTAGTGATAATCGGGTATAATGAGATAATCTGTATAATTTTTGACAATTATGCTCTTTTATATCTAATTAGCGGGAGAGGGTTTTCCTGATGCTACTTCACTATTACTAGTTGCAGTTTACATATCCGATATCTATACTTCACTACTCATTATACGTGTGTCACCAGATTCAGAGAGACCCATCGTGAGGCTAGGATGCCGTCGACGCCTGCTAGGACTGAAACATAAAGGAATATTATCATATCGGGACCTTAACTTGCAGTAGCTTAACTGCGATGCGCGCCTGCGCTGAGATGCTAGCGAAGCGTGATATGGCACGACGGGACGCGCCAGGATGTTTAATGCACAAGGTGGCATCCATGGTGCAGCACACGTATCTGCATTCATAGGGCTCAAATCACTATATCCTCCGTCTGTTTGTGTAGTAGACAGGACAAATATGATAGACTGAGCAACGCCGGATACTTCCGCCTCGGTCGAGCGGTACGAGCTGCTCTCCACATCCGCCGGGGCACCCCCGGACATCCAATTCAAGCGTAGTAAGGCTACTACAACGTCGACGAGATCACTCGCCTCGGAAGGGTGCGAGTGGATGCAAGTGCTCGCGCACCCCGCCGCCGACGTCTACGACCTGTTCGAGCGGCTCCAGGGCAACTCCGACGCTTCGCAGGAGAACGTGCTCCACCTGTGCCTCCCGCTCCGTAGTTCGCTGCCATGCTGTTGGTTGCGTCGACGTTCCCGCGCGGCCACGATGAAACGTATCAGCAGGGGATCGGAGGATATTCTAGAGAAAACGGCCATGAGGATATCTGGAGGAGGTTAGCTGGTTTCGGCGGCATGGTGCTCGTCGCGGTGGCAATGTTGAGGGTCATGGTGCGGGTGGAGACGAGAGGGATCCGGAAGATTGTCAAGTGCAGTAGGAGGTATAATGCGCAGACGGCGAAAACCAAAGTCTCCGCTGTCTAAGCAAGCGAACCAGGTCGGGGGCAGCTGTGAAAGCATGTAAGCTACAGTTTAGTCTCAGTTGATACCTCTTCTGACTTGGTGATTCGACCTACTTTGCCAAATTGCAGGCGCGCCGCTGATCTACGCGTTTTGGTGGCTGATAACAACATCTATCAACATGAAAGTGTCAATACCATTAGACCCTCTTTACAGTCACCAGCATCTGTATCATGTTACTTGTAGAATTCTTAAAACGGTCAATTCGATCCATGCTGTCCTGGGTAGCTGCAATGGAATTTGAATACAGTGCCGTCCGAAGCCCATTGGCAGGGATGCAGAATAGGTCTTTCCAGCCTAGCAAGGACCGTCTCCTACTTACAGGCGAGCCTGGTAGACATGATAGAGAGCGAGTGCCTGTAACCCTAACCAATACCACGTCAATTCTTGCGTGGGCACTCACGTGACGAGCGTGTCCTTGTCACTGTCAGTGTCACCCTTCCCGACTCGCGCGTCGAGGACGCGACGGCACCATCTGTTCATCGGCGCAACAGTCCCGTAGAAATTACTGACGCTGAGCTCCAGAAAGGGAACGCAAATGAAGTCGAAGAGGAGCAGGTCTTCGTGCAAGACGGCCAACCTATATACTTCTACCTCCACCGATTAACGGCAGCACAGGTACGTGCAGTGTACAAGAAGATAACGGTGTGTGATGCAATAGAATTCACTTTGGATATGTGTACTGAGTGCGACGATATCTGATGTTTTCAACATCTCTCTCTTCCCACTACGTAAGCGACGTAAGACCCACGGCGGAGGCATCTGTCGTGACTTAAAGGACGCGGATGTGCTCCTCTGCGCACCCGAGCCAGTAGGCTTCCTTTAGAAACGATACTGGCTGGATTTGGATCCCGAGGTGGTGGATGTGGGGTTCGTCGACGTGTGTATACGGCGCGGGAAGTATGCGCATGCGCCGCCGGTGCGCAAGGGGATGAGCGGGCCGAGGCCTGGGCAGGGGTGAGTCAGTTCGTTCTATCATTATGCTGGGATTGTCTCTGACTGTGTGCGGTGCGGACTGCGCACATGGACAGGAAGGTGGAGTTCTTGGATCCGGACAAGGTGAATTTGGCGAGGTACCTCGCGCAGGCCATTCCGGACCAGGAGTCGGGCGGGAGGCAGGCGAGAGTCATCTACGAGAGGCTCATGGAGCGTGTCGGTTGCATCCGTCCTTCCTCTCTTCTCTCATTAGCCCTCGCATCCACGTCGATTATGTTCTAGGGCGAATGGGACCCTGCGTACGCGTGGGCGAAGCGCCACACGTGGGAGTCGTGGAAGCAGCATTACAAGATGAACAGGGAGTAGTTTGACGAGCAAATCAAGGAGATCGTGCAATTCCATCCGCCAAGGAAGTATGGGAAAGGTTAGTACGAGCTCGACAGGCGACGTAAGAAGGGGCGAGTGTTCATCTCTGAGTTGGAGGGCATCGATGATGACGAGTAGGAGGAGGAAGGGGAGGGAGAAGAGGAGGAGGCGGTGGAAAAGCAGGTAGAACAGAGACCGAGGAACAAGGATGAGGAGCGAGAGAGTATGCGCCCGCCGCCTGCGAAGAGAATGCGGAGGGCGAGCGAAAGCGTGACGTCGCGTGCATCGGAGGTGGAGTGAGAACGTGGTGCACGGGAAACGAGCGAGGGCAAGGGCAAGGGCAAGGGCAGCCGAGTAACCGTGGTCTCCTAGTTTATCTGTCCTTCCCTCACCGTGTCACAGGGAAGAAGAGGAAGAAGAAGAAGTGCACATGGATGACAACGACATGTTCAACCCCACCGGGTACTACGACTCCGCGGAGGACCTCCCCCTAGCAGGACCTTCCGGTACCCAACGCTCACCTGTGCCGGGGGCTAGCATGAGCTCGCAAGCTACGCTCGTCGGGCTGGTGCTTCCACAACTGCTTGGTGATACGTCGAGGCCTAAGGCACCTTCCGGTACCCAGCCTCTCGGGCGTACGCAGATAGCAAGGCGGTAGCTCCGTACCGGCTCCAGAGTGTAGCCACATCACCGAGTCTGGAATGCGAGTATTCGCAAGCACAGGGCCTACCAGACGAAGCGGAAGAGAGTTCAGGAGGTTCCCCAGCTGACGAAGACGTTCCGCCGCCCGAGCTGACTGAGGAGGATGTCGATGTTGTCCCCCGACAGAGGGAGAAGACCCTGAGCCGGAAGAAGAAATCGCTCCTCCTCTACCCGCTCCTCGACCTAAGGCCAGGCGCGCAGTGTAGAAGACGCCTTCGCAGATGACATATGACAGCCTGCCCGGAACACTCGCGTACGGTCGCGTTCCGTCGACCTTACACCAGCCCCTCCGCCAAGCAAGAGAAACACTCGTGGAGGCAAGGATAAAGAGGCGGGTACCGGGGGAGGGCCAGCTACTCGTTCTCGCCAGGCTGAACTCGTCGATATCCAAGACGCCTCGTCAGATGAATACATGATACCGCTCGAGGAAGAAGGCTCCAGCGAGGTGTGCGGTGTCCCACAGGCTGGTGGGAGCGCGCGCTCCCGGGGGTCGATTGGGGAGACCCAGGAGGAGGAGGAAGTGGAGAAAGCCGTCGACGCGCTCTCAGCCGCGACTGCGGAGTCGGGGGCGAGTTCCGTATGGAAGCGGCTGCTTCACGAAGACAGAAAGGACTACCAGCCGGGCCAACGCCGCAGCGTCAATAAACATCCGTTGGACTCCGATGACCAGGAGACGATTCGGGATTTGGCTGCTCCACGCGGCGGTCGGGCGGACGCGAAAGTATCGAGGATCTCACCAACGAGCAGCTCGCAGATGATTTGGAGCAGCTGCTCTCCCCCATTGGGAGCGCCCAGAGCGTGAGGCGCGCGGCGAGTACGTCGAGCTGGGCGGCGACGGAGTCCGGGGAGGGCTCCAGGAATTTCCCGCCGCCTGGAACGAGGGCCAGGGTTGCGAACGAGGTGCTGGAGCGGGCCCCGTATAGGCCTCCGCGGGGGACGAAGGCTAAGGAATATGCGAACAGGGTATGAGCGTGGATTGCGGTTTGAGTTTTTCTGTCTTCTTTGACTTTAGTCTGAGAAGTGCTACACATGTCTAGTTCTAGTTGTATATGCCTTATGTCGTAGTGATAATGGGAGTTTGGGAATGTATATGACCCTCCAGCATAGGACTGTATGTGGTATGCTCGCATTCAGATAAGGACTGCCGCGCATGCTTGGGGGCACGCAATGTGAGGCAACAGTGCGACCAGCGCGTGGCAGCGATGCGACTGCCCCGACCCACCCACCCCCCATATCAGCCACACTCATGCTGCCTTCGCCTTACGGCACGAACGAGCTATGGGTACGATTGTCGCGTTATGTCTACCTGAAGATCACTGACCACGCTATATACTAGTACCAGAGCGTGCGTGTCTCTGATTGCTACCTGTGGCTACCCTCATGTTGTGGTTCCAGGATACTGGATACCATGTTTTCATCTCCCTGATCCTGAGTCGTTTTTTCAGGGCGAAGGGCGCAGCGATGTGATTCATCTCACAAGCAACAGTAGACACGCCAAAATATTCTGTTTGAGTCTAGCGTAACCGCTCTGGCCTTCTGTCCAACACACCGAGAGCGGTATACGCGTACTATGAAAATGTAGACTCCTTACTTGGAAACCATTGCTTCTCTGACCACCTCTACAGCTCTTCGCTATTTCAGGTGTTGAATCAGCGCGACGAGGATGACTCGGGACTTCTTTCGGACCGGGCGTGTGGATCAGTACCCTCTCGGGAATATTTGGCTAAATCCATCATAATGCTGATTTGTATGACGAGGTTAAACGTTGAGCACGGCGTTCAGCTTGGTGTGGCTTGAGCCCAGACATCAGGAAGCCGCCACGTGACAGCGCGCGCGGTCCGAGTCGTGACAGTCACACTCTTGCTTCCCTCGACTTGTGGCTACAGCAGTGAGCACCCATTCGGCGTGGGCAGCGTTCCGATATATTCTAGAAGGTATACGCTGCTGTTATCACTTCACTGGTAGAAACGGAAAGTGTTTCCAAGGGATTGACGGCGTCTCCACCTGCAGATCTGAGGAGAACTGCAGAAGCCAGTCAGGCGTGGCTCATTGTTGTGACTCACGCACGCAAAGAACAAAGCCTAAGCATATCAACGTGTTGATGCACAGAGGTATCCATTGAGCCACCGTATTCACCCTATAAAAGGCAGAAACTCTGTTGGTAGAGTAAGTTCTCGCCCTCTCATGTCGTCCCGCATTCCTCATGTGTCTGGGTCTTCCCCTGCCAAGCGTAATCCCACTGGATATTACCCATTCTCTGCTGCAAAGCCAACCGCTGATTCCATCAAGAAAGACCTCGTCTTGGAGATGCGTGGCAAATTCGTTGGTCCGCTGGGGATGGACGAATTTCTGAAGGAGTTCGCGCCGGTCAACAAGCCTTACGACCCCAACTCACACATTGGTGCTTTCGACTCCATGAGGCAATGTGGCAGGCAAATCAAGGCAAAGGATGATGCGCAACGAGCAGACGCGATATCCGCCGCCCAGGAGACGATGAACCAGGTTGCAAAAGAAAAAGTCACGGCGACGGATGGAAACGAAGGTCAGGCGAAGAAGTCCACGAAGGAGGAGGAGATGTATGGGACGTTTGTACGTGGGCTACATGAATTACTCTTGTCCTGTTCTGATACCTCTGGCACACCTTTAGGCTTTCTGTGTTGCCGAGAAGAAATTGTGTCCTAGCTATACTTTTGTCCCTACACCGAACACATTCGATGCGAAGGAAGCGAAGATACGCGGAGGCCGGAAGGTGGACATGGCCCTGTACCTCGATAGGGATGTGGAACGTGTCCGTGGTCCTCCAGCCAAACCCCGGTGGGACCGTATGGCGCTCTACGTCGAGTTCAAGAGTTACAGCAACTCTGTCACGTGCGATCCGTTTTACGTTCCTTCCTCAAAAGTGAATCAAGCTTTCGCGTCTCAGGACGACACTGCGGCGATCCAAGAGCGAAAGCTCGCTGCCGACCGGAGAAGCACAAGGGGGCAGCTGATCGCGTACGCTGCTGGAATGTTCGCTCGTCAGCAGCGCACGCATGGATTTTCCGTTGTTGTCCTGGGGGAATATGTCCGGATTATACGGTGGGACCGGGCTGGCGCGGTATATACGGAGAGGTTCAACTATGTTGAGTATCCTGAAAATCTCTGCAAGTTCCTTTGGAACTTTGCCCACCTGGATGACCAGCAGAAAGGGTATGATGAGAGTGCAGAGACAGTTGAGGAGGGTTCCCCTCTCCACGAGCTTATGATGAAGAAGATTGCAGAGGGGAGCAAGAAGGGTCCTAAAGATACGCAGCTCCCGGAACCTTATGAGCTGGACCTTTTCAAGAAGTTGTGCGACCCGGAGTGGCCCAAGTGGAGGTTGCGGGTAGATGGTCCCGTTTCTCCTTGCTCAACAGTTTCGAGGGATGCCTTGTCCCCGACAAAGCCTCGTTACTTTCTTGTCGGCAAACCTCACTCCGCCGCACCTGGTATGACCGGCCGTTCGACTCGCGGCTATGTTGCTCTGGACGAGGAGAGCAATAGGCTGGTTTACCTGAAGGACTGCTGGCGCGTTGATATGCGAGACATGCTGACAGAGGGACAGGTCCTGAGAAGACTGAATCTTAACGCTGTGGACCATGTTCCGACCTTGGTATGCGACGGGGACGTAGGCGAACAACGCACCGCCACTCAGAATTACCCGTCTAAAGACTCAGCACCACTGAGGGCCCATAGACATTACCGAGTCGTTGTGGAGGAGATTGGTAGTCCTCTGGACGAATTCAAAAATGCAAGAGAGTTGATCGAGATTGTATATCACTGTCTGCTAGGTATGAGACTTCCCTGCATGATTCGAGCAGATATTATAACCTTATTTGATAGGTCATGCTGGCGCCTTTACGCGGGCTAAGATTCTCCACCGAGATATCAGTGCGGGCAACATCCTGATTGTTCGGAAGACAATCGATGACACTGGACGTGTTGCTTCACGAGGTTTACTAAATGATTGGGACTTATCAAAGAGTACGGTCGAAGGGAACGACCAACCGAGACGGCCGGAGCGTACCGTATGTCTCATTATTACCCATGTGCATAGGCCTTTCCCGGACTTATGATTATATCTTTCCAGGGTACATGGCAGTTCATGTCAGGACGCCTCGCCAGCAATCTGTCAAAGCCACATTTGCTTCCAGATGACCTTGAGTCTGTCCTGCATGTCGTAATCTACGAGGCGATACGCTGCTTAGATCACAATTGCACGCAAGTAGGCCAATTCATGGAGAATTTCTTCGACAACTCGAAGAGAGAGGAGAACGTTGTTTGTGGAGGCAGCGAAAAGATTCTTTGCATATTGAGTGGTGTTCTCACCACTTTGACTGCCACCGGGGAGAGAGTGGAGTTCACGTTCATCAATGAGCACTTGCAGGGCCTTATCAAAACCCTCTTGGCGTGGTTGCAGGCCTATTATAATATCAATAAGGTTCGACCGCCCACACAGGAGGAGATGCCCAAGCACCAAGAACTGATCTACGTTGAAAAATCCGACGACGTAGAGGAGATTCCGAGCGACCTTTTGCAGGGTGCGAATCCCAATCCCGACAATGCTGATCTTGGTCTGGAAGCTTTGGACGAGCCTTCCGAGAGGTACAAAGTTCTGGCGAAAAAGCTCGAGACACACGCCGCGATTCTGCTCTTGTTTCAATCGTATGTCAAGAAATCATGGCCTCCGGTTGACAAGCGCCCAGACCAGCGAATTAGAGGAAGAACATTCCAGCCGCTTGCAGATCGATAGACCATCAATTCAGAAAACCACGTATAGTCGGAGTGCCAGGGACGTCGGAAGAAGGTAGAGAAGTCCAGATGGTCTGATTTCTGTCTCTCGGGGACTTGAAATTGCTTGTCCGACGTGGTCCGACTGTAAATGATTTTCAAAAGGTGGGCCCATCGATCTGCAAATGGCTGTCAGCTTCTGCCAGGCGCGTCAAAGTGGCGAGGAGCGGGACACGCGCCAGTGTCTCTCGTGGGTTCTGATGACATTGTATGGCGAATGTGATTCAATTTCTCTTTTCATCGTGGTTTCTTTCTCGTTATACGCCAATGCTGTTTCTCTGCGCTGGTATGGTCGGCTCTGATACTGGTACCTGCGGAATGTATTCTTTCTCATCGCCTCTGCACTCTACTTGCATCTTCCGTCCCTGTGTTCAGATGACGGCCGATATATGATATGCTGGATTGTAAAAACGTCTGTTCACGGCGGTATCCCATACTCCCTATGCCCATCAAAAGTATCTGCCGTCGCAAACGACTCCATTTCAGGCGCATCGATGCCACATCTCTCTTCAACAAAGCATTCCAGCGCAGATACCTCGTCTCAAGTATCAACAAACCTCACCTCCGATATTTCTATGGCTGTCAACACTGCGTCCGGCCCTATCCTATTGAGTGTGCCTGGTGAAGTAACTCGGCCGGTCACAGAGGTCGGCGTGACCGCTCCTCGCCACGACGTCCAGGCGACTGGGAGGTTCGCCCGCCGAACGCGTTCGCGAACGTGTTCGGCGAATGTCTGGGCACGTGAGGGGATGCCACGCCACCTGAGCCTGGGGAATCGCCACACCGCAACTGTTATTGAGCGAGAAAGGCAATGGCGGCTATGCTTTCAATCCATAAAATACAGTTTGTTATGCACATATTATTGTACCATACCAGGGATATTGATGACGTGAATAGAGTAATTTCCATGAATTTCAAGTTGTCCATCACATTTTCAATGCAATGCCAGTAGTATTGACCATGGAAACTGTTAGGGGGAGGGCACGGAAGGGGCTTCAATGGGTTCGTGTGACCCCAATTGGACAGACAGCTTCGATTACTCACCACATTTTTTTTACAATAACCCAGCAATTTCAATCTCACAGACTGATACAATAAACTTACAAGTTAAAACCATCAGGCTATGCAGATTTTATCATAAGCAGAAGGGGTACGCGTCTGTGGCCGGTGGACAGAGCCCAAGAATCGAACAACGACGCCCACG